GACCACCGCCTCGATGACCACCGCCTCGATGACCACCGCCTCGATGACCACCGCCTCGACGGCCACCTCCCCGACGGCCCACCCTTCCCTCGGCCGCCCCTGCACTGCACAGCAAGGCCCGTCCAAGCCGTAAACAATGCGCGTACACTGCCACGAGGTTCACATAGGTACGCTGTGGGGCACTTATTTTTCATGCCCGCTGCCTTGGCGGACGTCAAAGGCACCACCATGATCGCCGCTCGCCGCGGGCAGCGCACAGAAATAAGCAATGTCGCGCGGCAGCGAGCCTTGCAGCGCGGGGGACACGCCCTCACACACACGCACGCACGCGTATAAGGAAGGCGTACATGTGTGACGAGAGCGCTTCCTATCGTGCGCTCGGTTCAAAGTCCGCGGCGCACCGCGGTGGCATCGTGGACCCGACCTCGCCAAAAGAGGGCCGCTGACCCCCGCAAGCGCGGCCTGCGCGGCCCGTCCGTCACGACCACGGCGACGGCCACGTCATCTTGATCGACATCAAACAACAACAACAGAGCGAATCTCATCAAGCCCTCGCTGACACCAATGCAGCGTAATGAATCCCCACTGCACTTGTTGTTGTTGTTTGCTACTGCCGGTACATGACAACGCGGGGAAGTGGCCCGGACGGTCAACAGCCCGCCACACTGCAGTCAGCGCAGCAGCCAGTCCGACGACCCGCTCCCGAAAAGGGCATTGCTGCACCAACTTGGCCGTGTCGGGCCGAGCGGCGGCGGCACCGCGGCGCCGTCGACAGCCCCGTCAACAACGACAACAAACGTTTCAAACCCGTGACATAAAAGTTGACTGTCAGTGTCCCCCATTGCCGGCGTGGCGTGGTGGTTACCGCACTGGAGAGCCGGACCTAAGGTCGCTGGTTCGACCACCGGTCGATACAGGAACAACCCGGGGACAAGGCTCCTGTTGATTTCAACGACTCCCGGTGCGCCAGTGCCACTAGTGCGACGCAAAGCTAAACGCCGATGGCAGTCCGTGAGGAACGACTCGCAAGCAAAGTGAGAAAAGGCGGAAAGAAAACAGCAAATTCCAAATTTTTTTATGGTGTGTGCACGTGATTGCAAACAGAGCCCTCCAGAATTTGTTTTCCGGACAGTTCCGCTATTTCTGAATTTTTTTTGGCCCGCCGCGATCCGCATCGGACGCAGGCAGGCGTCAAGAAGGCCGTCGAGACCGTCGAGACCACCGCGGCGACGTGAGGCGACGCGGTGCGACCACTCCGCGCAGCGACGCCCCACATCCTGCCGGCCGACCGCGAACAGTATTACCTGTCTCTCTCGCACACCTAAGGGAAGTCCCGTGCGTGCGAGAGAGACAGAGCGACGCGGCTCGGAGTCGGCCTCCTGGAGGACGACGCGTCGCGACGCATGCATCCGTGCGCCGTTGCGCCGCGCGTCCGCCGCGGCCCGGAGCAGTCCGGATCACCGGAGCGGAGCGGGCAAGCGGAGCGCCGGCAGACTCGCTCGCTCTGTCTCTCTCGCACCCGCACGGAGAGGCCCGTGCGCGAGAGAGACAGAGCGACTGCCGCGCGGCCGTGTGGCCCGCAGGACGACGAGTCGCACCAACCTGGACAGGCTGTCGCGCATGACACGCCGAGCGGCATAGCCACGGACAAATGGCGGCACGGCTCGCTGTCTCTCTCGCACTCACGGGGCGTCCCTTCGGGGTGCGACAGAGAGACCGCTCGGAATCAAACTGCAGGCTGGACTATGCGCAACACAGCAGTACAGTACCGTCACGGTCAAAAACATTATCTGCGCTCGTTAGAACCAGAGCTTTTTTCGGCCGAGGCACGTGCTGCCGTTGCAGCAGCACAGGTGCATCCGAAAACCAGAGGGAGATAAGGCTAATCTGGGCGGCGGCATCCTCCAGGTGCACTTCCCGCCACCACACTGTCAATCACGCCCTGCCTGCCTTTCTCCGCCCGGCGCTGCTTTTTCCGTGTTTCCGCCGCCAAACAGCGCTGCCGCTGCGGAATATAGGCCGAGAACACGTCCCGCACACACACGCAGCCCTCCCACACACTGCCGTGGCCGCGGCAGACGGCTCGGCGCCCCGTCGGCCACCATAAAGTGCGCTAATACGCGCAGCTGCCACCGCGCCGTGTCGCCGCTCCGTCTCTGTCGCACTCACGGGGCGCCCCGTCGGCGCGGGAGAGAGACAGACGCTGGCCGAGGGCGCTGGGCCCGGTGAGCCGCGGTGCGAAGGGCGTGGGCGCCCGCCACATAATTTGTCTGGTGCCCCCGCGGACAAGATCGCTACCACGATCGAGCGGCGGACGACCGGGACGGCTTTCCGATTCGGTCCCCGAAAAAGGCGTGGTTAAAAATAAAGACGAGCGTGGCGGCGACGACAACGCGGCGGCGGTGCATGGGAACGAGGAACACACGCCGGATTAGAAGCAGGGCGTGGGAAGCCGGCCTCGACGCGCACGTCATGCGAGCGCCGCCGCCACCGCCGTCGGCGAGGTGCCCGGAGCACGGAGTCCGGCCCGTCCGGCGCGGGGGCGCGCCAAAATGTCCGCGAAGGCAGATTCCAGTCCGCCAATAAACGGCCAGCTTTCCCTTCCCCCACGGCGCCCCGGCCGGCCGTTCGATCGACGGCGTGCTGCGAACGCGCACTCGTTCTGCCGCCAAGGCGGCTAGTTCGGCCGGCTCGTCCGTCCGCCGCCACCCTGCCCCGCTGATTTACGACCGCCGCGACACGCCGCGGAACACAGCCCCGGGGTCGCCGACGACCGCCACCACCCAGATTCCCCTTTTGGAGGGAAATTGCTTTTCCCTCGCCGCCAAAGTGGACCAGCGGCGACATTGCTCCGCGGAAACGCGGCCGGGACCGGGATTCGAACCCGCAGCCCGTCGCGCCACACGCACCGCGGCGCCGCGTTGCGAGACGCCAGTGCGGCAGCACGGCAGGGCGATACGCAGATATCATACGATGCTGCAACGGGGCGCGGGGCGGCGCCGCAGAGGAGCAGCAAAACGGTGGGAAATGATTTACATAATTCTCGCTAAACGGGCCGAGACGGGCGAGGCGGGCCACAACAAGAGTCTTGCGCCTCGCGCGTCTCGCCGCCACACTGTTTCAGGCGGCGGGGCGTTGCACGAGGCCCCCGCCTCCCGAACTCCCCAAGGACCGCGCCGGCGCACAGTGGGCCAGAAGACCGGTGGAGGCGGACAAAACTCTAGACGCGTTTTGAGCTCAAGAGTCGCTAAATGGGACTCGAACCGAACGTGTGATCCCATCAATGGATTCCTCGTTCGGAGCGCAATTCATTGGTGGGGTCACACGTTCGGTTCGAGTCCCATTTAGCGACTTTGGTGCTCAAAACGCGCGTAGAGTTTTGTTCGCCTCCGCCGGTCTTCTGGCCCACTGTGCGCCGGCGCGTTGCGGCAACCCCAAGGGCTCCAAGGCCTGGCGCCGCGGCGGCCGTGGCTAAAGACGGCCTCGATGGCCGCGACCGGCGCGCTGCTGCTGCAGCCCTAATGACGGCGCGGCGGGGATAGGTCAGTGGAGGCGCGAAGAGCCACGCGGACGCACTCGCGGGCCTCGAAACGAAAGTCGCAGATTATGCAAATGAGTGGATTAAGACGTAATGCCGCGGTGCGATGCGCGGCCAGTGTGCGGGGGAGGGCGTGCTGGTGCCGGGGCCGCCGGCCGCGGGGCACGGCGCCACCACCAGGCCAGGCCAGGCCGCACGCAAAGAGCTCGGCGAGTCAGCGCGCCAGTCCGGAACCGAGGAGTGTGTCCAGCTAGCCGCCTTGCCTCCCACACCGCCAACGCCGCGAACGCCGCGAGCCGGAAGGAGATGCGCCGCGTGTTGCGACTGTAGAGCACCGCGCGCTGTCTCTCTCGCACCCCCACGGCACGCCCTAGGAGCCCTACGAGTGCGAGAGAGACAGAGCGCGGCGTCTGGCCGGCCCCACCGCACGCTAGCCTCGTATTAGGCCCTCTCTATGCACCTCGCTCGGCGCGCCGCACCGCACCGCGGCACGCCACGCACTTTCGCACGCGCGCGGACGCAGGAAAGGAACAGTGCAAAGTTTTACTTTCGGCTCGGCGATTGTCTTTCACGCCGCTTTGCCCGGCCCGGCGACGCCCGGCGACGCCCCACGAGTGCGAGAGAGAGGGAGCCACGGCGCCATCCTCAAGGCTTCGGGACACTCTCGCGAGGGCATCAATCTGGTGCGTGGTTTGGCGCGTCCTGAAACCTGACCGCTACCCCTACTCCCCCCTCCGGTTCTTCCTCGTCGCAGACACACCGCCAGCCCCGACCAGCCCTGCGGCAGACCCATTCCGAACATTGCTCTGTCTCTCTCGCACCCCCACGGGCCGCCCCTGCGGTGCGACAGAGACGGAGCGGCGGCGGCACTGTCCGGCACCAGCCGGCGGGCGGGCAGGGCAGTGGAGGCTCGGAGGATGGCGACTCACAAAAAAAGGCGAAAGGGAGGAGCGAGGGGGAGAGGGCAGACCAGCACCAGCAGGACCAGCCCATCGCGGAGGTGGTTGGCACTGGCCGACCCTGCCAGAGCTGCGTTGTGTGCTGGCCGAGCTGGCGGCAGAATTCCAACAAGACCAAACCCAGCGGCGGCAGGGCCGGCAGGGCAACTGGTTCGGGAGCGCAAAAGATGCGAAGCACTGCGAAGCTCCGAGGGCGGGGGGCGGCAGGCAGCCGGCCGGCCGAGACGTTGGGAACGCTCGGCAAAATATTCTGCCGAGGCGGCGCTCTAGACAACGGCTGCCATGGGAGATAGAGCCGTAACCCGTGCCGAAAACGACCATCCCGCTTCACAGGCGCGTCAGTTTCGAGGATATACACTGGTCGTCTACAAAGCTTGTTGAAATTAATAGACTGGAAGTTGGACGTCGGCGCCGTGGGCCTTCCTGAAGTTCATCCGTCCGTCCATCGAGAGTAAACAACGCACTCAATGGTCGGGCCCACAAAGATCGGCGGATCCACTCACCTGGTTAGAGTCAGAAATCCTCAGTCGTTTATCCGTAAAGTGTTTTCTTTCTTGCAGGCCGGTGGGGCCGGCACCATGCCACAACACAAACCACAGTCACTGACGAGACCGGCGCGGTGCCGACGACACGACTCGACGCGAAGCGCGACGGAGGCTGAGGCTGCCACGGCGGGCAGCGTGCGTCCGGACGGCTCGGGTGCCCGCGCGAGACTGGCTGTGTGTGTGAGTGAGAGAGACTGCGCCGCACTGCCGCGCCGCGCGCCTCGCTGCTGGCCGGGCTTGGCCGGGCTTGGCCGCGCCGGGCGAGGGGGGCGGTGTAGGGGGCGGAGAAGGGGGCGTAGGGGGCGCTGGCTGGCGGGCTGCGGCCGGGAGCCCGAGGAGGCGCCGCTGCCGCTGCGTTCCTCGAACAAGGGTGGCTGCTTGCTCACCTCCACCTCACCGCCGATCTGTTTGAATCTTCCTGGTATTATGCCGCTGCGGCCATCGCTCGGATTGGTTTGTCACGAGTCCGCCACCTCCGCCACGGTCCGCCGATTTGTTGTTGTCTGAGGACCGCGGGAGGCGAGAACGGCGCCACTGTTGGAGCGAGATAATCGCCCGGATCGCAATCGCAATCGCAGGGCCAAAGCAATCGGCCGGGCAATCGCAATCGCGAAAAGGGCTATCGGCGCGCGGCATCGCCGGCAACAATTAGCAGGCGGTGGGCTGCTCACATCAGCCGCGTTGGCCGAGAGCTTTGGGCGTCGTGTAAGTACATACAGACGACTTGAGCTAGCCGAAATAAGAAGAGAGGAAGAAGAAGAATCTTCACGAACATGGCGGCCGGAGCAGCCGACGGCGGCCGTCCGTCCGTCATGTTCGTTAAGGTCCTTTCTTCCTCTTCTTTCGTAGAAGTATACTTAAGTGAAGTGGCATGCACGCTCTTTTCGTGTGGGGGTTCCGGCCGGCCCGTCGCCGCAACCATCTCGATTCGAATCTGTTTATATGTTTTCCCCCTTTTACGTGCGTTGGCGGAACCCTCCGCGAGCAAACAGGTGCTCAGGCTCGGGGCGGCGAAAGGAGAGGGCCGGTCGAGCCTTCGGCCTTTTACAGTGCGCCGGGGAAACGGCCCCAAAACGGATTAAGCGGCAAACGGCACTCGGAAGTGAAGCGGGGACCGGACCGGGTTTACAGGCAGTGCGTCGCCGTCTCGCCGCGTGCGTTATTTCTCATACGGCACAGGGCGGCCACTGCGGCGGTCACGTGGTCACATAACGAGGGGCATTAACACACGGTTATTAGCCGCAGCCACTTTCGCCCTAAGTCGCGTGTCCCGACAGATCTCAGCGATGCCGGTGGGTGCTGTGAGTGTGTGCGTGTGTATGAGTCAATAGCGCTGATGCGACTGACGGTTCGACGGGCTTGGGCGTCTCCGCTCCGGGCGCCGGCAGCTTACCAAAAGCGCCACCAGGGTGCGCGTCGACGTCATGAGAGCCGATGCTGGCCATGTCCACCAATCCACTTTCGCTCGGTCTGCGCATAGCGGGCAGGACGACATAAGACTACGTGGGCAAGGCGCACTCCGGACAAGGCAGCTGGATCTGGCTGACCCGGGCCGGTGGCAGTCTAACAGTGGTCCCCCCGAACGCTCCCGGCTGCCACACTGTCTTCGAGTCCGCCCCTCGCAGCCTTTGGCTAGGCCACCCATCCGACGGAGTGGCGTGCGCCCGGACACCGGCAACCCACTCGCCAGCCCTGCCTGCAGTGTAGGCCTGGCGCACGGGGCAGCGGGCGCAGCTCTGCCAGTGTGTCGGAAGGGTGGCCTGCCTGCACGGCGCTCTGGGCGCGCGTTACGAAAAGTATCTTGCCGGAAAAAATGCTTTTGGCCAGAAGAAATAGGCTTTTGCCCGGAAAAATTATTTTGGTCTGATTAAACTTTTTACCACCGCGGGTTGGACACCTCTTGGTTTCTTACGTCTTTTGTTCAGGAAAAAGGGGGGGGGGGTAATAAACACTCACTGATGTTCTTATTTACATATTTTTTATTTAATACAACTATATCACGCACATTTATACATACAAATTGTTACATACATACATACAAGGATAATATAAGCTTAATTTTGTCATAGGTATCAAATGACTCTCTCGTAAATAATTTGAGACATTATAAAGTTGTCTAAACAGTTGCACTGCACAGTATCACAAGAAGAAACAATGTTTAAATTTCGTCAACAGGAGCGGCAGTTTATAGTAGTAGTAACAATTTGCAATTTCACATTTATTCACAACTTACAATATGTTCAAAGTTTTTCTCTTGAGCATTATAGTTAAGGACTTTCGGGTCAAACAGTCAGTCGGTAATAATCAAGTACCTTACTCATGAGACATGAACTCTCGTGATTTTTGAACAGACACTTGGTTTTGCCTACATTACCCACTAACAAGCCTAAATATTAGGCAGGTACTGCGATTAAACTTCAACAATAACAACTCACAAATTCGGATCGGCCTTGCCTCAGGTGGCAAATGAACGTAGAGACACTAACAATTAACAGTCATACTGTCGGTAAAACAAAAAGAAATAATAATAATAATAATAATGATAAAAGTAATAATTAAATTGATGTTTTGGTAGAAGGTTGAAATTTTAAAACGCCGGGAAGGCAACAAATTAAAATCCGCTTTCTGAATAATGAAAATTTTGAACTTGGCCGCACTGATCGGCCACCACAGAGGGCGGCCTGCCCCTCGCTGCCGAACGGGTTGCCTGGCAACCGGGCGCGGGGGCCGTTTTGGTTTTTAGGGGGGTTTGGCGACGCCTCGGGCTGCCTCTAGAGGTGCGCGAAGGTCGAGGACGTCGAGGAACATGGCCATGCCTCACACCTCGCACACGAAGTACGTCTCGAAGGAGCAGGGCGAGTCGTTCCACTTGAGGCCCTTGCCGTCGCGGTTCCACAGCTCCAGGCAGTGCTCCTCCTCGCCGTTCTCGTAGCGGAAGTTGTTGGGCTCGCCGGTGTTCCAGTTGGTGAAGGTGATGGGCCTGCCCGTGGCCATCCAGAAGAAGGTGCCCTCCTCGGCCTGGTCCGTGCCCGACGTCCAGAAGTGCTCGTGGCCCAGACCTGCGAGACAACGTTTAAGATCAGCATCGTCGAAGACCGCGCTGGGATTTTCGAGTCACTCCGTGCGCGTGTGTGCGTGAGTGTGTGTGCCTGCGGCCATTCACGGTCCCTACATGGGCACGCCGCTCCCGTTCGGGTCGCACTCAAGCCACCGCTAAAAGAGGAGTATTGTGGCCATCGGCCGCCGTGCCTGCCCGCGTGCGCCTGCAGGCAAGCCTACAGGTGCGGTGCGCGCACGCCGCCTTGGCCACTTCTTTCCAGTGTATGAACCCCGTCGCGGACTCCCGCCCATGACTCCCAGTCCATAGAGGTGCTGACAGCCGCGGCTGGGGCCGCTGCTTGCCCAATCGTTTTATACACACACGAAGGGCGCACCCTCTGGCTTGGAAAATTCCCTAGCACAGCGATGATTTTGTTCTCCTCACCGTAGTCCCTGATGTGCTTCTCCAGCTTGTCGTTCTCCTCCTGGCTGCTGATGGACGCCAGGTGCATGCCGTGGTAGCGGCAGTACTGCGTGGCTCGGTACCAGTTCGCCTGGAACAGGAGAGGGGGGTCAAAAACCGGGGCAGAAAGTCCGGAAAGAGTCGCACTTCCACAATCAGAGTTCGTGTTCTGGTGACTGCAAACATTATTCATACAATCGTGTATTGATTTAAACACCTTTGGGTAAAAAAAATCCTCCAAAAATTTTTAGACTTTATAAAAAACCCTTTTTTCTGGATGTCGCGCTCCCGAAAATGGCCGCCGATCTGCTGCTGACGCCCCCTGCTTTCACTCACTCGCGTTTACATCAGCCACATAATTAGGCGGCAAATCGATTTCGGAGCCTCCGAGTGTTACGTGGCGGCCCCGCGAGGCGAGGCGGTGCGGGTTTGTTTTCATTCCCGGGACGCGTGCGGAATACCAATCGACGCGATGAAGACGAAGACCGTCGGCACGTCGCTCGGCCAATCGTCATAGCTTTCGAGCGAGGAAACCTGAACCGATCGGCCGCCGCTCCTCCGCTCCCTAGTCCCTGATCGCCTGGCCGCTGCAGGTCGGGGCCGCACGGCCACTTTGTTTGCGTTTCGTTTCCACCATTTTTTGGAGGTTCAGACTGCAGAGTCGTCTGTCTCTCTCGGACTCACGGGGCGTCCCATAGGTGCGAGAGAGACAGAGCTACCCTCGGAATCAGTCTGCAGGAGGACGCCGATTGCGATTACCAGGCTCTTCACCAAAACGCGCCTCTTTCGGCACGGCGCCTCGGCGTCGCGAATCCCTTGCTGACGCGGGTTAGGGCCGCCGGGGATAACCGTTGGCACCTGTCGCGTTGCAGGCGTTGCAGGCGTTGCAGGCGTTGCAGGCGTTGCAGGCGCTGCTTGCAGGCGTTGCGCACGTCTGTGTTGCATGGCTCACCTTGAAGAAGATGCCCAGGTAGAACCTCTTCTCCCCGAGGCGCAGCAGCGGCATGGTCCACCGGTTGGGCAGCAGGCTGGCCCCGCCCTCCTCCAAGCAGTTGGCACTCGAGCACTCGTCTGCAATCCGAAACAACCCAGTCAACAACAACAACAACAACAACAGCTGCGGCGGCTCATCAGCCACACTCGTTGCGTCGGGCCACCGCGTCATAGCTGGACACGATGATGACCGTCAAGGACGAGGATCAGGCGCGCCACCGTTAAAAGGTTGAGTCAGATCCACTGTAATTCGGTTCATCAGTTTGACCAAAGATCACGCTGTGAATGCCTCACTTGGACATTTGGTCGACTCGACTCGACTTTGTTTTTTTTTTGTCACAGCGGTACTGCAATCGGTCGCTCTCGTGCGGCCGTGCGTCTCAGTCTCCACGCGGTTCGGAAAGAAAAAAGGTTTCTGTCTCTGTCGCTCTCGCGCCGCGGGCTCGGCCGTGGGAGTGAGAGAGACGGGAGACGCGGCTCATTACTGCCCGTCTGGAGCGGCGCTGCCCCCGCGGGCCGCGGCCGCCACAACAGTCACTCAGTCACCGCGATGACGGCCGGGAACGGCTCAATTCAATTTGATGAGTCCCAAGGATGGCATCGCCGCACTGCCGAGTCAACACCGTCCGGACTGCTTTATTTTATTCATTCAAAAAAAAGAAGAAGAAGAAGAAATTGAATGCAGGGAAGAAGACAGAGATAGCAGGAAGATAGTTTCAATAGATCCAAACGATTTCAATAGACCCGTAGTCGGAATAGAGCGTTACGTGGAATCGAACGTACCCACAACGCCTGCGGCTATGGGTCACGCTCTATTTAGGTTTGACTGCCGCGGTGGAATATACCAGTGCGCCCCGGTTGCGGTGGCGGCTGTCAAACTCACACTCTCTCACTCTCTCTCACACACACACACGCGCGGGGTCGCACACCACACGTCACAGTGCGGGGCGCAGCCTTGGCCTTGCCTCAAACCGCCACTGCCGCTCGCACGGTCTCGGGGGGAATATGTCACCGTGACATGACTCGGCGATCGAAATAAATCAGGCGATTAAACCCGCGGACGCATGCAGGCTGCCGGTCCGAGACCACAACGACGCCGTCGTAAATTTTTCCCTTAAGCAGGTGGTAGCCGTTCGGGCCTCGCAAGGGAACCCAATCGAAGATACCATGTTATGACTAGCGATCGGATGCGGAGCAGTAATTTCGTCGCTCTGTCTCTCTCGCACACACGCGGCGCCCCGTAAGGGTGCGAGAGAGACAGAGCGATCGGTTTCATTTCCTCGCGTGCGTGTCCCGCGAGAGTAAATCAATCACGTCGCGGCGCACGCGCGCTAAGCCTCTGACCCACTTGCTGCAGGCCGAACAGCGTCGCTCTGTCTCCCTCGCTCCCGACGGCACGCCTGGGCACGCCGCACGAGTGCGAGAGAGACAGAGCGACCTGCAGTCGATGCACGGCGGCCGTTAGTCAGAGAGCCGCCGCATGCGATTGTTGTGCGTTTCGAGATTTGAAATATTGTCAACTGCGAGTTTCTCCCGCCGCGTGTCGCCGTGCGACGCCGCCAGAGGGCGTTGCCGTGCGCTAGAGGGCGGTGGGATGGGTAATCCGAGCGGCCGCACCCGAGCCGCGCGGCTAGAAGGCGGTGGAAGCGCTTCCGACGGAGGCTTCGAGTTACTTCCACCTGCTGTCGCGCTGCTGGGCTGTCGCCAGGGAGCGCCTGCGAGGTAGGCCGCCGCTGGCGTTCGACGCGCGCGTGGTGTGCGGGGCGGCCCACCCCGCCGTTCGCAGGCGCTCCGCTCAGCGCACAGTGGGCCAGAAGACCGGTGGATGCGGCCGAAATTCCGGAAGAGTTTTGATTTCCAGAGTCTTTAAGCAGGACTCGAACCGAACGTGTGACCCCATCAATGGATTCCTCGTTCGGAGAGCAATCCATTGGTGGGGTCACACGTTCGGTTCGAGTTCCATTTAAAGGCTCTGGAACTCAAAACGCGTTCAGCCTGCGCCGGTCTTCTGGCCCACGGTGTGACCCTTCGCCCTCCACTGTAATGACGCCTCCACGGGTCGATTTTCGGTCCGAAGCTAATCCCGACTGCTCCACCCACGGCCGGCGTACGTGCGCCGCAGTGGGGCAATTTGACCCAGGGGGCTCCGGAATGGAATGGAGCCACCAGTTGGGCGGACAAAAAGCAGCGCCATGATTGGCTGCTTGAAATCCCTGACACACAGCAAACTGCCAGCTGCGGGACCATTAGCCGCCTGTCCGGCGGTTAACTACTGCGAGCCGCGGACAAGCTGGGGAAAGACGGGCGTGTCATCGACTCGGTGCGCGGTGCCCGGCCCGCACGCGCGCGTGGTGGCGGACGGCGCGGGTTCGACTCCCGCTCGCGGCCGCTCGCCTTTTCGTTTTCTCTTGGCCCTGGCCGCCCCAGCGCGTTGATACGCCTTCATTCCTTTCACCAGAGACAGATGCGGCGGCCCGGCCCGGCCCGGCCCGCGTATGACTAACTCCATCGCGGCCCTCTGATGGGCCGGGGAAGTCCCTGAAAGCCTTTCACTGTGCCGGCCGCGCAGCCCCACCTCTGTCTCGCACTCCTTCGGCGCGAGAGAGACAGAGCGGCGCTGCCAAGAGGAAGCCAGGCCCCGGCGGTCCGGCCCGCGTGCCCGGTAACGACCAGCCGTTAAAACAACTCGGAAAAGCGAGCGCCACTGTCTAATTGTCCGGACCGCGAGTGCTTTTTCCAGCGTGCTGGTTTCGAAACGGCGTCGCTCTGTCTCGCTCGCTCCCACGGCGCGGCCCGTAAGGGTGCGAGCGAGAGAGTGCGACTGTTCGGAATTCGCCTGCAGGCGGTGCGTGTGGACCACCGCGCCCTGCCACGCCCGCAATGGCCACGCCACCGTAACACCCCCGCTGCGGCCGCCGAGATACGCTGGCCGAGCCGGGACAGCCAGTTAAAGGTCAGAGAAGCGCAGGCATGGTCGTCCGCAGTGCTGTCTCGATTTCGGAGTTTCGGATGGACTAACGATGAGCCTCCGCACGCGAGCCAGCCCAGCCCGGCCGGCCGCTCCAATGGAGAGGCTGCCGTCGTGGCGAAACTCGCTGTTAACTTCCCGCGCGCGTTTATGGCTGAGCGGCAGCCGAGCAGGGCGGTGGCGGAAGCGGGCGGGAGCGCCGTCCGCACTAACGCACCATTTTTATTTGGCCGCGCAATCCGGTGTGCTTTCCTTCGGCCTGTCCTCATGAGTGCCTCAATGGTAGAGCCCTTAATTTTTCTAGATTTTTTTCCAGAGTAATTTTTAACCGGGCGCTTGAGTTTGGCTCTAATGTCTCATTTGATGGCAGGGCGGCCGGGCTCACGTCGCGGCCCGGGTTCGAGTCCCGCCCCTGGTTGATTGATCTCGCCGAAGCCAGCGGGCCAGTCGGGCAGCCGAAGGCGCGTGTTGTTGTCTGGCGACTGCACTTCCTAATATTGACCGCCTGGACCGCTTCCGGCTGGAGGTGCAGCGCGCGTGGCGTGTCAAGCTGCCGCTGCCCTTCGGGTATACTGCTTGAATTGCCCCAGCGGCCCCAGTCCGCTCGATCAACATGCGAGCTTTCCATCGCACACGATCGCAGAGGTACACGCGTACCGCCACCAGCAGTGCACGCGCGCGCACACACACACCCTCACAGCATACATTTATACATGAAACCCCGGCGTGCACGGTCAGTTCCGCTCGCGGAGGAGGCCAAGACCGCCACCGCCGCGAGGCCCGCGTCCTCTTCCCGTCACCGTCACCTGCTCGACGGCGAGGTGGGGGAAGGGCGGCCGGGGTTCGAGGTTCGAATCCCGACGGGGGCAAGGAGTCGCGTCTTGTCGCACAAGGCTTTTAGCTGCTCGGCGAGTGGCTGTAAAGTGATTCGTTTGGAAAGGTGGAGCCACTGAGCGGGGCGGGGCGGGGCGGGGCCCTTGGCGGGGCCTTCGCGCAGCTGCTGCCGGACTGTAAAACACAGCCGAATTGCATCGCGCGAGCGCAATCCGGTACTGAAATAAAACTCGAAATAGACCCGATTCGCACTGAGTGGCGGAATGAGTGGCCTATCCGAGTCCATCGCGGCGTGGAGGGGGTGGCGCTGTGACGTCACGCGTCGTCAGGCAGGTTGGCGCATGGCTGCCGGGCGGGTTCCCCTCCCCTTGCCGTCCCCGCCGTCCCTGGCGTCCCTGCCTTTGGCATGCCACACCGAGTCCAGTCTGTACCATCCTCTGTTACGCACTTCTCTGCTTTCCCTTTCCCCGGCGGTGCTGGCGGCAGCGGCCAGCCCTTGGCGTCGTCGGGGACCCCTCCCGGACCCCTCCCGGACTCGCCGAACCAGCTGGGTCGGTCCAAACGGCATAATGGTGGCCGAGAGTCCCGCCCCCTCCCTTTCCCCTCCCCCGGTCATTCCGCGTCACACTCCTCGTCGTGACAAAGGAGGGCCCCAGCTTGATTGCACCCGGGAATCGGGCCCCCGTCATATTCACTCGGCGCGCGGGCGGGCGGTTCTCATTAGTCTGGGCTCACAAGGACTGGGCACCGCGCGGCCTGCACTAGCCTCGCAGCCTCGCTCCGAATCTGAACGTGAATCTAAACCGGCGCTGCGGGTTGGCGGGTTGGCACCTCACGGAAGTAGCGGCGGTCCGCGCAGCGCGCAGCGCGCAGTGGCCCCCAATCGGCGTCCTCAGTCCGATCCCTCACACTCCGTTTCTTTGGCGGCGGCGCTCCGTCAGTACCCCCGCACCGACGCCGACGCCCCCCTCCCCGGCCGCGGCCGCCCCCCGCGAGGTCGTCTGCTCGCGGCGTCGAGGTTCGCGCTGCCTCTTAGGGAGTCGCCGCCCTGCTGGGTCAGCCTCGGCCGGCCGCGGCGCCGCGGCCACGCGTGCCGCATAGGTCACCGAGGCACTGAGGACGCCGACGTGCGCGCCGCTGCCGCATTGGAAGGAGGCGAAGCAGGTCATGAGCGCGCCGCCGTGCCGCCGTGCCGCCACGCGGTCTTCGTCTCCGCCGGCAACCTTTAGTCGCGGTGGGTGGCGGTGGCACCCGGGAGGCGTGGCCGGGCCGGCCAGGCGAGCAGGCGGTCGCGGACTCAAGGCCGGCGGAGTTTACATTCCGTATTTTGATAGGCCTGACTGTGACCCCCGCGCCGACGGAAAGGTGCGAGACACTGAATCAGCTGCCGGACGCCCACTGCCCACCTTCACCGCGGCCTTGGTGGAGTGCGAAGCGCGACGCGGACCGTTTTATGGAGCGCCGAAAAGGCGGCGGACTGTCGCCACCTAGTGGCCACCTTCACCGCCGAGTGGCACCCCTATGACCGCGGTCCCACGGCAGGCAAACCACTGGACTGGGGCCTCAGATATTAATCACGCCCATTGCCGGTGTACTACTCCACGCACTGTACGGCAATAAATCAACCGGAACCGAAGCACCGCCCGCCGGGTCTCATTTGTACCAAGAAAACCGAGCAAAAGAACGCGTTTAGTTTTGATGTTATATTCTTGCGAAGCGAAAAAAAGCGGCCAAATAGCGAGTTTCCGCCGCGGAGGCCGAGGTCGCCGACGACGAGGGCGAAGCGGACGCGGAGTGGTCGAGTCGGAAGGCGGCCGGGGCGGCCAAAGTGTGCCGGAGTGTGTCCGAGACTCGGCCCTCCAGGCCCGGCATGGCGATGCTTGTATCGGTATCGGTGTGTCGCCACGTCGTCATTGCCCCAGCGTATGGGCCGCCTGGGCCGCATGCCATTGCCGTGCACCGCCATTGTCGCGTAGTGTACCGTCGCGTACCACGGTGCGCCGCTCCCGCCCGCTCTGTCCTCGCCGTAAAGTAGCTCCGCGGCTATCGGCGCGACAGCGCGCCCCGCCCCGCCCCGCCCCGCCCCGCCCTGCATTGCCCACCGTGCGCACCGCTGGCAGGCATCTCTTGCACCGCGACACACTTCTCTGCGAGGCCCAGGCCGCTTCCGCGTCAGCCAGTGGATCGGACCGGCGCCGCGGGGCGGGGTGGGGTGGCCGCATCCCCTGCAGCGGGCACGTCCTGCGACGCAGCCCCGCCTGGAGTGCATACAGTGCAGCAGCAGGCCGGTGGTTCAAAGGGACCATTTTCTCCATTTGCCTGGCCGGCGGCGGCAGCATCGGGTTTGCGGTTACGAGAGCGTGATCCTGGGTACAGTCCAGACCGCCAAGGTCACCCCGCCCCGCCCCGCCGCGGTCCGGCGGTCCATCCCGTGTCGTTCCTGCTTCCACTCGTCATTCCTTTGTTTCGACGGCCAGCGGAAGAAAGTGCCTCGGAAACGGTTTTACTCGTGTGGTCTGCCGGCGTGCGTGCGCGCGTGTGAGCGTGACGATGGCCGAGTATGTCGAGTGACGGCTAACTGAGAAGCACGTGGACAATAAACTGCAACTTTGTTGCTTGGCATTTCCATAAGCCGTGGCCTAAGTGGCTCCTTCGCGCCTAGACCGAGGCCCAGTCGCAGCTGGGACAGCGGGGCGGCCTTGTCCCTCTGTGTGAGTCCGGCCGGTCAGCCCCCGGGAGGCAGGCACGCCCGCCAGGCAGCCCTGGCCGACGGGCTGGCATCCCGGCAGAGAGAGAGAGAGAGAGAGAGAGAGACGCCACTCCACGCGGCCGAAGACGCCTCAGATCGCGGCAGGATCGCTATCAGAAGCAGTGGGCGACCTTCCAAACTGGCGGACTGGCAGTGCCGGCGCCAGCAGTGACCACCCGGAAAAAAGTCGAGCAGAGACAACGGGCGGGCGGACAGGCGGGCGGACAGTCCGACAGGCAGACGGACACGCACGGCGCACGCACACTGAAAGGTCGGCGCCAATGCCGGCGAGGGCCCCGGCTGCCGCGGTGGGTCGCGCGGCCGCTCCAGCCCCTCCTTCTGCTCGTCGGCCGGATAAAGCGCTGCAGCTCCTTCTTAATTGTGAGGTCGCCGCCGTGGCGCAACTCATCACGCGCCGGCCGGCGGTGGACCTGCATGTGCGCCGAGCAAGCGCGCCGAGCAAGCGCCAAGCGCACCGAACGATTATTCGCGGCTTGCGCAAGCGCCGGGGCAAGCGCCGGGGCGAGCGCCGCGTCTTGAGGACGGCCGACGGCGGGCCGACGGGCAGCGGGGCGGCCGGGACGGCACGGCAGCACGGCGGCAGCACGCCGTCTGGACGGCAAAGGCAGTCGCCGGCATTCGCCACGCGTCGGTTTGGCAACGATAAAGACACCGGGATGAGCGAGCACGCCGTCGACCTCACGCGCCGCCACCGCCAGAAGAAGCGGACAGAAGTGCGCAAGCGGCGCCGGGATTCGAACCGCCCATCTCAAAAGGACGCCGACCGCCAGCGAAAAGAAAACACATGAAAAGTACGCCGCCGGGATTCGAACCCGCGATCCGAACGGAAGCAGCCGGGGCACCGTGCCATTGTCTGGGTAAGGGACTACGCGTTGCCGAAGAATGCGGCTCGCGGGCAGAGCCAGGCAGAGATGGTGGAAGCAGCCAAACAGGCGAGCAAGCGGAAAGCAGGCTTGTTAGCGAGGCTGGCCAAAGGCTGGCAGTGCTTGGTGGCGGCTTGGTGGTGTGGTGCCCACGGCATGGACTTCCCCGGCCAGTCCGGCCAGTCCCGCCACCCCAGTAGACTCATTCCCAGAGCGGTTTTCTTCGCTCTGTCTCTCTCGCACCCATCAGGGGCGCCCCACGAGTGCGAGAGAGACAGAGCGACGAAAACGACTCTCGGAATGAGTCCGCAGCTGGAGACGTCGTATACCTATGGGGTCCAGCACGTTGATGGGAGGGGGTGAGGTGGGCGGCGGACCCTGCTTCCTGGGCGTCCGCGTGCTGGTGACCTCACCTGCAACAACAGCATGCACCGCGTGGCTCAGTGACTAGCGACTCAAGCCGGGGAGCGGAAGGGGCTGGGTTCCAATACTCGCACGGGGCGTTGTGTTTTTGTCAGTCGATCGAATGACGTCAGTCAAGACGAGCAGGTGCACGGTCACGGCGAGAGGCCGCGCCCTTGAGTCTGTCGAATGTTCGCACCGCGCTGCACCGCACTGCGAAACTCGGCTTCAAATAACAAACGCAACGACGCAGCTGTGCGGTTCTTTAGAAAACGACAAAAATAAACTGCGATGGGCCGTCGCTTGACTAACGCTACCCGGGGGTATCCGGAGCGGCAAGTTCCCGCCCTCGCGGGGAAGAAGACCCCCCAGCGCCGTGCCAATGAATCACAGCCAATCGTGCCTTTCCGCCGGCGAGACAGAAATAGCCATCGTCGGGTGTCTGCAGTTTGCAGCTGCGCTCTGCGCCGCTCTGCGCCCTACACTGTGAGGGGATGCGCTTCGCCGGCCTTGCCGCGCTGCCGGTGCGATGCGCCTCGCGTGGCGCCCAAGGTCGAGCCCAAGGCCGTGGCGGACGACTCTCGGACGACTGCCGATCTGGTTCTGGAGACTTTGACGCCGGGGGTGCCGAGAGCGCGGCCCGGCACGGCCCGGCACGGCCCGGAAGCAGGGAGGGGGAGGGAATCCCACGCCGCCCTCGCCTCGCCGTCGACCCGGACCGCTCGGACCGCTCGGACCACTAACCCCCCCGGCGGTGCGCGCCTGAGAGAGCCATTTCTGCTGGAATTTGGATCGGTACGCGATGCCGGGGCTGGATAGAGTCACATCGCGACGGCGGCACGCCGGGGCACCGTAACAAACGACGGCCTGTCAGCAGGGTTTCACTGACGGCGGCCCGACCAGCGCGTACACTGTACGGGGTGAATGCATGTGTGTGTTTGTGTGTGTGCCGGGCCCGCCCACCCTCTCATGTTGCCAACCGCGGAGGAAAAAAAATGTGGCGTTAAAAAGCCCTACTCCAGTGGTGGGGGCACGCGGCGAATCTCCCGCGTGGATAAGTCAGGCGAGCCGAATGCAGACGCGGCGTTACGTTGGCAGCATTGTGTGCCGACAACGGGCCGACACCCACATGGCGCCACGACGGCCGTTTGCCGTTTGTCACAAACACACTGCCAAAAACACCGCCGAATTTGGAATTTTTGCTCTCGAGCTCCTGTCGGAGCCACCTTGATGGGCCCGCCCTTGATCGCCTTGATGTGGTTTTTGGATCCGCTCCTACTTCCCGTCGGTGCAAGATCAGCCTCCGAAGCCCGCGACCACGAGCGCGCTCCACTCTGCTCGACACGCCACCCGAAAACCGGATCGTAACAAGCGGTCGGCCCACGTCGCGCAGGCTCCGGCTTTAGGCTCGGCCCCCGGCCCCCGCGAGTCAGACTTAAGACTTTTTTCTGTTTTCTTTTTTCTGGGAGACTGTAGCACACTGCCTTCCACACAGTGGATCCGCCCCTGGGCGCGCGGGCCTTGGCCGGCACCTAGCCGAGTGGCCCAGGCGGCGGTCGTCCTCCAGTACTGACAGTTCAAACCGCGGGCCGCTGGCTGGTGACACGGGCCCGACAGCTGGAGGCCAGGGCCAAGACCCTCCAGCGCTCTGCTCGCTTTTTCCGTCCGGGTTGTTTTTGCCTCGCGGTACCTAACCGACACTGCCCGCAGGGCGCGCAGCAAAGTCTAAAGTGAAAGAAAATAAATGTGAGTAGTGGCGGGCGCGGGAATCGAACCACCGACCTCGGCCTGTTGCCCTTCGCGGCGCTGGGAGCCGCCGTGCCGCCAGCGCTGCTATCTCGGTGCGGTCATTCATTTTCGTCACGTCGCCTTGGCCGTGCCGCCGTGCGAACGCCAGCGCGACGCGGGGACAACCCGCGGACGGCACGACACTGCAAGTACAACAAGCACACCAAGAGGGGGAGCCGCTCGGGGGCCGCCAGCAACGTGCTCCCCTTTGCCTCACACTGCAAGGCATCCGATCAAGGGCATTCCTCACTTGTAATTGTAATTCTAGTTCTGTTAACAAGAAAATCAACAAAACCTTAGGCTGAAAAGCCTCACCTCGGCGCACGCACGTCATACACCGCAAAAAATGCGGTCCTTACGTAAAACGACGAGTGTCGCTGCAGAACGCGATAAAAAGGCCGTGACTGCCAAACCTGCGAAGGTTCGGCCGTTGGGCCGTTGGGGCCGCCGGCGTGGTTTTTTCCCGGGCCACCTGGCCGTGCCTGGCCGTGCCTGGCCGTGGAGGCGTGCCCGGGCTGCCCGTGCTGCCGGACCGCCTTGTGCCGACCGGGCGATCGCGATTCATTACCGAGCGCTTGTCTCTCTCGCACCCCTACCGGTGTACCGGACGCCCCGGCGGCGCCCCGGCCGGGCCGCGAGTGCGAGGGGGGCGGCGCGACGACGTGCCGCGGAATCAGTCCGCCGAGTCCTTTCCGGTATGAGCAACTCGTCGCGTGGCCGCGGCGCATACGGGCAGCCCAGCCCGGGGTCAGTCCGCCGCAGGGCCGGCAGGCCGGCACGGCACCGACAGCACCGCCAGGCCGCGCAGGTTACGAGGATTGGAACACGGTTTCGCACGACACAAGGGAAGTGGCCCGCAGCGACTACATCAAGCGGCAGTGGAGCTCATGTGCGCGGGTACACTGTAGGCAGAAGTGACGTCCTCGGCGATTGCCTTCGCGTCGGTCAGGGTGGCTGTCAACATGACGTCTATCGAGTGCTGCTGGGGTGGGCCATTCAAAATGTCAACCACAAAATTTGAAACTGTTATCCGTCACTGGCCGCGCCGCTTGTAAGGCAGTGGCACCGGCTGATTTTTATTTCCGAGACGTGGCCGTGGATTTTAACAGGGTACCCGCGTGTCGCCAGCCAATCGGAACAAACACTGCTACTAACGCGTCAACAGCTCGGCTTGTCCAGTCACGCTAGGTGCCGCGGTACCCAAGGCGGTGCCCTAGGCGGGGCCGCCCCTGTCGACGCGACGTCCTGACGGGCATGCAGCGGGGCGGGCGGCGTGCCCGCGACCAGGCCGGCAAGTGCCTCTTCCTCCACCCCGGCCTGGCCGCGGGTCGCGCGGAGAGGAAAATTGCCGACGGCCGGTGAGGCAGGGCTATTCCATTACGCAATAATTGGATCACTCACTCCGGCACACACACGCACACATTCGCACACTGTTTGAGGGGACGGGTGCGTAACTAGCTGAGCTCTGGGCTCGACTTCGGCAGTCCGTTTCCTCGGACTATCACCCTGGGCGGGGTGGGGCGGGGCTGAGCGCGATTCGCACCGGGACTGGACTTGAAGCCAGCTATTCTCGCCCTGCCACTCAGGGACACGCGAAAAAAGATCTGCCGTATGCATGTTATTTTACGCGATAGAGACAACGTCAACTCGTTCATCAAAATTGACAAATAATTTTTCCCAGCGAATAAATGGTACGCAGAGTGGGTCTGGCTACTTCCTCCGCGTGTTGGTGCAGTTTGGCGGCCGGAACCACGAACCGCCACACTGTCTGACCGGTCGCCTTTCTCTACAAAAGAAGCAGCACGGCTCCTTGCCGCCTTGCCCACACGGCGCGCCCCGCCCTGCCGCCCCGCCCTGCCGCCCCGCCGCGCCACTGTCACTGCCGGAGAAAGGCATAGTGGCCCGTTCACACTGCACTCACTCACACACACGCACACACACAGAGCAATGCAGTACCTCCGCTCCTGGGGGATTGGTTCTCCTTGCCGGCGGGGAGCAGGTGGCCGGCCGCGGACGCCGAGTCGGCCAGCAGCGCGACGCACGCGCACGCGCCGGCCAGGGCGGCGACGAGGAGGCCGAGGAGGCCCCGGGGCACGCAGGGGGACCGCATGGTGGACCTCCGCGACGCAGACTGACTCGAGCGGCTCGAGTGGAGCGGCGGGGCTGCGGCGGCCGGAGCCCGGCCGCTGGAGCCGGCCGCGCGAGCCCCCGCCGCGCCCCGCCAGCCTCCACCGCGCCCCACCTCGGCCGCCGGCAGGTGGCGGGGCACGGCGCGGCGGCGCGGCGGAGGCTGGCGGGGCGTAAGCCCTTACGTCTGGACGGGCGTGGCGGGCGTGGCCTGCACTGCCTGCACAACAACGGCCTGCTTTGGGGAGCATAGGCTCTGCGATGCGACGCGCACGCTGCACGTTGCACGCGTGCCCCTCCGGGCCTCCGGGCCCTCGTCCGCGTGTGTGCGCCGCGGCTCGTCACGCGTCGCGCGGAGAAAGCGGTTTTTGGGATGTCGATCCTTCCTCGTCACTTGCATCCGCGGCGATCCGCGGCGCGCTGCAGCCCGAGCAAGCGAAGTGCGTCTTCGCCAGCCTCTCCGCTTCGCGACCTTCGCCGCGGCCTCTGGGGCCTCCGCCCACGGACGGGCGTAATCCCCTGAAAGACCCTGGCTACGGCTTGCGGTGCACATTGTCAAATTTTGAATATTAGTGCGCACAATATCCACAAAGGCATGGTGTGCTCCATGGAGTCAACAGCCACGGGAGTACCATAATGCCCCGTCGACACGGACGCAGGGTTGAAGGTGCCACGCCCCGCGTTCATTGATTCCGGGCGCGAAAGCGCAGCCCGCTCCTCCCACACTCCGAGAAGTGCGTCAGGCTGCACGGCAGCACGCGGCCTTCCTCATTGCGACAGCGCGTCTGCGATCTCTCCCCGTGTCAACAAAGGCATTAATGGGCGTCGCGCGAAATTGAAACGCGCCCCCGCCAGCCGGCAGTGCGCTCTCGTCGCTCCGTCTCTCTCGTACCCTTGAGGCACGCCCCGCGAGTGCGAGAGAGAGACACACAGCCGAGGAAAGCGATGATGTTCGGAATGAGCCTGCTGAGCCGCGGCGACAAACACGGATGAGCCATTTCGTTCGATCGAAATGACACACTTTGTCGGTTGGGACGGCGACGGAGATTATTTCCCGTCTTCTCGGCCCAGAGCAGCGAAAGGAAAGGGGGTGACGTGGTGGATTCCGTGACTCAATCGGAAACTACGTCCGCCGTTTTATCAACGCAGTGTGTGTGAGTGTGTGTGTGGTCCCGGATACGCGCGAGGCCCGAGGGGCGGCCGGGCCGCGGGCCCCGAGGAAATTAGTGGCGGGAATTTCAAAAAAGGGGGCTGCTTGCCGATGCTAAGCGATACGATACGAAACGAAGCGAAATGGCGGGGAGCTGGTGGAACGCAAAGCACGCCGAAGTCGCGGCGACCACGGCGCCACGCGGGTAGCCGCGGGCACACTGTCCGTACAATGCGTGGTTGCGTCTCGCGCCCGCTAATTTGGCAGCGCGGAAACGTTGCAGCGGAATGCAGCGCTGCGCGACACTGCCTTGTGCGATACGCGAACAGTCCACAAGTCAAGTTTTTTAGCAGATGATACCTTCACACTTGAAACATACTTAAAACTACTATACACATGAAGGTGTCAGCGTGCTTTTACTCTCGAGTCCAGAAACGAAGCGCGTATCCTAAACGATATAATAGGGGCTGGCTGCCGGGGCGGGCTGGTGCGTGTGGCTGGCTGGCTGGCAATGAGGCGCAGCCTGCGCGGAATTCGACAATCCCTCCACGGTACAGCGCCAGCGGCACCGGGCCCCTCCTCGCTCGCGACGGCCTGCCACGGCCTGCGCGCAACATTGACAATCCCTCCCCGCCTGCCACGGCGCGGAATATCGCGCAACAATGCCTCCCGATTCGGCCCGGCCCGGGGCACTCGGGCCAGCTCGGGCTCGGCGGCGGGCGGTGCAGGCCACAGCTCGGCACGGCTAGTACCAAAGTACCAACACCGGCCACCTCGCTCGGGTCTATATATTTTGTTTCATACACAATTTTAATTACTATCTTTGGAATGAGCCCGCATACTACCCCGTATAAGGAAACCGAACGAGTATTGACTGAGAAATTTGAAAGGGAAAAGAAAAAAATTTGAACTCTACACCCCCTCCCCAGTCTTAATGGGGAGGCCTCCTGCTTTACTTCGGTGTTCGGGATGGGAACCGGTGCTATCAGGTACCTGGGGTTAATCCCGTCAGCGACCCAAGCGTTCGCCGGGGGACCCAGTAGGACCCCAAAGCTCAGGCAGCTGGGTGAGAGCACCCAGTACGAAGCTCTTTGAGGGGCGGGACGTAGAGTGAGACGACAGAGAGACAGAGAGAGACTCAGACAGAGAAGAGGTTTGGTGGGAGCTTCTTGTTTTCGTAGGGTTGGTTGTGTACCCCATGGTACCCCCACTGTCCGGCGCTCCCGTACCGAACATACAGCGTTTTAGGCCAGCTTCAAAGGACTTATCATCGCCTCCCCGACGAGTCAAGGAGGCACCACCCGCAACCACACACCGGATGGTCTGGATTGATGGATCAAATACTCCATCGCTCCAGTGCCGAGGCCAACCCGCCGAAGCGGATTGCTTTTTAGACACCCACAGCGGAGTGGCCAGGTGAATGTGACTCTGACCACTACGCTATCACGCTTGTACGTCTGGCAGCGTGTTCGACGACGGGTTTGAGTTGCAGTGGGAGGAAGGCAGTCGAAAAATGTAACGAAATGATGAGATTCGATCCCCGGACCCCGCCACCGGGATCACACGACTTTACGCTCTCGGCCACCACGGCCCATGATGAGGGGACCGGCGTGAGGTGGGTTCTTGACGCAACAGGACTCGACCGACCCGGTCAAAATTTCGCAAGAAGTTGGGGGAGTCGAACCGCCGACCTTAGCTTTGGGAACCGACGCCTCTACTCCCTGGACCACCACGTCCCATGCTCGGAGTGGGCTCACGTTTACGTGTTTCAACCGCACTGGGTGAGGCAGTAAAATTAAATGGAAATATTTGTTAGGAGTCGAACCTCCGGCATGTGGGCCTGTTGCACACGGCTCCGCTCTCATGGCCCCACCCTTAGGATAGTAAGTCGAAAAAACGTATGTGACGCTGGTATTCGAACGCCCGCCTGCGGTAACTCGATCCCACGTCTCTAACCTCTCGGCTATCACTGCAGTTGTGAAACGCGACGGATCATCTGCTTTCATTAACGTTCGTTGAATGAGATTTTTTGTGTGTTTTTTCCCCTCAGGAATGTTTCAGATTTTTGTTGTTGATTGCGGGGGCTGTGTGGATTTGTAGTAGCTAAACTAGCCATGCTGTGAGTAGCGCCGTGCAGCAAAAGCACCGATTATCGGATTAGATTAAGCCCGCAGCGATTCTCAGTGCGCCGAGTCTCGGTCCGAGCCATTAGTGAGTGCAGCCTTCCGGGCCGAGCCGCGCGCCACTCGGCAAAATAAGCGATCTGCAGACGGATTCCGAGAGTCGTTTTCGTCGCTCTGTCTCTCTCGCACTCGTGGTGCGTCCCTCAGAGGAGCGAGCGAGGACGGGGCGACCAAAACGACTCTCGGAATCGGTCGGCCGAGAGTAAAAGTGGCAGGCTCCCGCTTACCTTCGTCGGGGTCGTTGAAGTACGCGACCTGCTCCGACTCGAAGGTCTGCAGGGCCTCGTCGTCCGCGGCCTGCGCGCCCTGCGCGCCCTGCGCCGCGCTGCTGGACGTGGAGGCCGTGCCGCTGGCCGTGCCGCTGGCCGCGCCGGCCGCCGCCTCCAGCGTGGCCTTGATCTGCTGCTGCAGGTAGTACTGCGGGAAGAGGCGGCGCTGCAGGTACTGCGCCAGGATCTGCTGCGTCTTGAGGTTCTCCTTGGCGATGTCACCTGCACAGTGCACCGGCACCGAGCACAAGGCATGAGCATGCATACAGGCGGAACAGGCAAGCGCGGGGAGGCGGGGACCAGGGCCAGGGAGTCTACCAATTCCCCATTGATGAAACATTTTACTCGTTTGTCAGTTTCCACCAAGTGGGCGGTTTTTACTTTTTGCCGTTTTCCATGACGCTAAGCTACATTCCTCCCGTCGGCGGCCCAGCGCTGCAATACCCGGCCCACGCCACTGGAATGACTCGCTGAATCGCAGTTCGGCGTTCTGTCTCTCTCGCACTCGAGGAACGTCCCGAGGGTCGCGAGAGGGACGGCGAGCGCGGCCTGCCGAGGGACTTCCGAACGGGAGCGGCGCGTTGGCGCGTCTATGCACCCGCGGCGTGGAGTGCGCGGGCCCTGGCGCCGCCCGAGCCCTCCAGACAATGCCCTGCCCTGACCTTGGCCCGGCCCAGCCCGGCCCCTTCGCCGCCTTGGCCGCCACGCCACCGGAAGCATTGCGCCAGTCAGGTCCAGGGCGGAGGGCCCGCGCCCCCGGCGGCCCCGGCGCCCCCGTGCCTCGCGGTCATTGGGCCGGAGCCTGCGGGCCGATTCACGCCCCGTCTCTCTCGCACTCACGGGGCGTCGCCGTAGAGGTGCGAGAGAGGCGGATCGACGGTGCGGATTCAGCCGCCGCGGCACACGCCAGAGCCGGAGCCAGAATTCGCGCCGAATAAAAACACGCAACGCGACCTTTGGGCGTTCGACGGGCGGGGCGTCGTGAAGCGTGGCGAGATAACGAAGAACGCCACATTGTTGCATTTTGCAGTGGTCTTGCAGTCGTCCACAGTGGTGGCGCACAATGGGCCACACGCCACACCGGGCGATCGGCGCCCCGCCCCGCCACGCGGCCACCGCCTTCCAGCAAATAATGCAGATGCGGCTCCCGCGATAGACTTGTTGCGTTTCAATCGATGGCGCCCCTGCGGGGTCCCTGTCGCGCCAAGGCCGCGCCAGGAGGTAGGCCGGCCCGCAGCGCAGCGCGACGCAAGCGGGGCGGCAACCACACTGCGAAAAGCGAGTTGTTCCTGCCGAAGACAAAGTCCGCGCCGGCCGAGGAGGGCGTTGACGCCGAGGCCCCGGCGTGGCCCCGGCGTGGCCCCGGCCTCGCCCCGGCGCGGTGCGCTCACGATCAAGGTCACGACTGGCGGCAAGGTGCTCGCAAGGTGCACTCGGCATTCCCTCGCCGCCTCGCTGCATTGTGGAGTTGGAGTGCGTCCAAGAGTGAGGATCGCTTCGCTTTGCCCGGGGTTGCCTAGCCGTACCGGCAACATTTTTTCCAGTGCCGAGGCTGGTCGGCTCCCAGGCCTGTCCGACAGTGCCGATTTGTCACCTAATCATCCTGACATCGGCGAACACGGGCCATCCCGGTCCTAGAGTCGGGAGGGTGGCAGGGCAGGCCGAGGAATCCAGTGTCTACGTCTCGAAGCGCGCGCCGGGCGGTCGTTGGCTCCGGAGAGTCCGGGGCTGTCCGGGGGCTCTACACTCGGTTTGCTTCGGATCGGACTTGTTGATGCTGATCCGAGCGACGGAGACAGAAGGCGTGGCGGGCCAGACGTGGCTGGCGGCCGTTGACCGGCCGCCCATCCCAGCGCCACTACACGCGAAATAAATCCTCGCCTGCGCCTTCGACTCACAATCAAGCCTCTTCCTCCGAGATGGCGAAATTATGCAGAGTGAAGTGGACCCGCCCCCCACGCGGAGGGCAGTGCAACCGGGCGCATTACGTGCAGTTTTTGTTTTGTTTTGGCCCGGGTCGTTTATCAGTGTCGTCTGCTCGCGATGCAACGCCACTGCAAGCTGCTGCAGCCCCGGCCGGCCGAAGCCCCAGCCGAGCGCAGCGCAGCGCGGACGGGGAAATTATAAGAAGAACCGACCGGCGAGCGGCTGCACGGGCCGCATCACCGCAGTCGGCGCGACGTCGGGGGCGGGGCGGGGGGAGGGGCACCCCGCCCCCTCTCCCGCTGGAACGCCACCCTCAAGGCCAACCAGTGCGGCATCCTGCAGCATCCCCTGGCCGCCTCCCAAGTCGTTCTGCATGCCTCTCCCCTTCTCTCTCCCGCTGGCAACAACAACGCGCCGAATAAGTCATCACTGCGGAGACTGCGGAGTCCAGGGCGGAAAAGAGAAGCGCCAATCAAGAAGGGCGCTGTTCAGTCATCAGGCGTCTCTGTCTCCCTCACACCCGTGATGAGTGCGAGAGAGGCAGAGCGACGAAGATCATGCCGAATGCCCGGCGACACGAACGCGGATCATTAGTGGCCCTCAGGGTGGGGGCTGGACATGGCTGGGCATGCCTACACCACCACCAGCGTGTCAGACACGCACACACACACACACACACACACACACACACACACACGTCATTGCGTCACGGGCAGCCATTCCAGCGGCGTGCCCTAGACTGCCGCACGCCCTGGCCGTGCCTCATGCGGGCTCGCGGCGCGCGGACTCGCCATGGAGTTCCAGACGTCAAACAAGGGACAGGCGAGCCGCTGACAGGACGACAGGACACAGGGCAGCTCGGCGCGATACACGACGGCGTGCTGGGCGTGCCGCTGGAGGATGGCGCTGGCACACTGGAGCCGTTTCTCCAGCAGATAAAGGCAGGCCAGCGAGATGGACTCGTCGCCTCGGAGGCCGAGACGCAGCCTGTGCTGCTCGCAGGGCCGATGACGAAAGGCTGCGCCATGGCTGCGCGGATCGCTCTGAGAGTCGTCGGGCGGCGGCCGTAATCGCCCGTAATCCACAGCGCCTTCTCGGGGAGCACCGACGTTCTCTCTCACTCTCCCACGGGGCGCTCCACGAGTGCGACAGAGAGGGCGCCGGGCTGGGCCGTCCGGCGCGACGCGCACGCTCGGCGGGTTGGCCTACCCTAGACTCCGCGGGCGCTGTGCGCAAAAGCGCGCGCCGCCGCCGGCGAAAAAGCAAGCTAAACGACATAATTGCAATAACGTGTTGATTGGCGCTCGAACACGGAATAATTTGTCCACGCGAGCGAACGTGTTTGCGTGCGAGTGCGTGCGACAGAGAGAGAGAGGGGGGGGGGAGAAAGGCAGACAAGTCGCTGAATGAGAATGTGGTGGCGTTTCACGTTCAAGGCCGATGGTGGTGATGCAGTGCACTGTTGTGGTGGTGCGACGCCCGGCCGCGCCTACGCGTATGACTTCACCCCGCGCGTGGAAGCGAGAAAGGGAAGGGGGACAACGCCCATGGCGCCGCGCGCGTGTGTGTGTGTGTGTGTGTGTGTGTGTGTGTGTGTGTTGGTCTGCGAATCTCCCTCCGGTCTCCTCTATAAATTTGTCATCGCCGAGACGGCCGGTGTGCGTGTCTGTGTGCGTGGCTTTGTGTCTTAGAACCCGACGGACCAGTTCACCAGCGTCGGCCGCAGCTAGTGACGTCCCTTCAGGCCGTTCAGGCCGATCACCCCGACGGGCGGCTTAGGAAGGAGCCTCGACTTGCCCCCGCCCCCACCCCTCCTCACTCCGCCGCCCCCGTCGTCGGAATCCAGGAAACCAGACAAAGAGGCCGTGCTGGCGAAAATGCAATTCTGACGCGTTACACGGCGATCCACTCCAGAGAGTGTCGTCAACGGGAACGGACTGAAAAAATAACGTAAGAGTAAACTCAATGAAAATCGGGGAGCCAAGTTGTCACCGTTGCCGCAGAGCAGCTCCCAACCTTGCTTTGACCCAGAGAGGCTCTTGTTTGTTCCTTCCATTCCAAAACAATGGCCATTCCATTCCACGCGGCAAACGATCGGGGCGTCGTGGGGCGTTCCGTCCCGGTCAGTCACACTGGGGCCCGTCCTGTCGCGGTCAGGGAGAGGACACGGCGCGGGGCGTAGTCCTGCCCCGATGAGGCTGGATTCCCGATTCCCGCAGCAGACAGAGCTCCTTCTGGTCTCAGGCTCCCGAATCGCGCAGAAGCAGAATTAAAAGCAAAAGAACGCTCGCCGCGCAATGACTGTACACTGGAACACAATTGCCTGGTGCGCGTTCCTCCGGAAAACGAGTGGTGGTTTTTGTTCTCCAATAAGCCAAGGCGGCCAGATCGGTCAACCGGTGCGAACGAGTGCGTGTGATGGTGAATGCGGGCGTTGGTTGGGTTGCCTGCCACGCAGGGGCCCCGCGGCGCGCCGCCGCCCCGCGCACGTCGTGCATACCGGCCGTGATTGCTTTTTAATACCCCGCGTGACTCGCCCCGGCACCTTCTTGCATCTTTTGCATTTTGGCGCGCAGACGGTGTCGTCTGTCCGATAGGAGCCCGAAAGACGAATGCTAATTGTGGCGGGGGGGGGGACACGCACTCGCGGCCCTCGGCGGTGTCTGGACCGTCTGGACCGTGCCGTGATAAGCACGACCGCAGCATCGCCGCGTTGCCTAACGACGTCCGGGCGGGCCGACGGCGACGCGATTTAGTGCACTGCGTCGCTCTGTCTCTCTCGCACCCCTGCGGCCTTGCGGGACGCCCCGCGAGTGCGAGAGAGACGGCAGCGTTGGTTCGGGATCGGCCTGCCGGCCGGCCGGCTTTTCGCACGAAGATAGCGGCCAATACTTTGTATCGGCTTCGCTGGCGGCGGTGAGGTTTATTCCGGGGCAGCCGAGTGGCCACACCAGCGGGCCGCCGACGTGGACCTCCTTCGAGAAGGCCACCGACGGCTGCCTCGCTGTTTCGCTGGTTGGGGCGCGCGTCATCGCCACCACACTGCATGCGCTGCCTGCGCTGCCTGCGCTGCAACGCGGCCAAACGCAAAGGACGCCGGCGTGGTGATGCGCCGCGCCGTGTCGCAACAACGCCTCTCTGTCTCTCTCGCACCCCTACGGGCCGCCCCGTGAGTGTGAGAGAGACAGAGCGAATGAGCCCCCTGGTGCGTCTTGTGTCTCCCCCCGCCGCGAGACGGAGAAAGCCACGCCAACATCGGCAGGATCCGGTCGCATCCCGACTGCCAAAACGGCGCGCGAAACGGAGCGGGCGGGGTGGCCGGGGAGGCCGGGGAGGGCAGCACCAGCAGGACCAGCGAGCTGCTGCCGAACGGCCGCTGTCTCTCTCGCACCCGTGCGGGGCGCCCCACGAGTGCGAGAGAGACAGAGCGACTCGCTGGTTGGTCGATAATTCCCGCCAGGACGGCCCGACGGCCCCACGGTCCTGCCCTCAGCAACGCCACACCACGGCCACACCCTGCTCGCACCGCCCGCAGACGGCACTCATCTCCCATCAACTTTTTGGAGGCGAAACCGCTTTCCTTGCCGACGGTGGTGGCGGCGGCGCCTTCGAGACAAAATGCGACAGTCCGCCGCACCCGCCCCGCCCCGCCACGGCACGTCCCGGCCCTCCTGCATTGCGCCTGTCTGGGCCAAACTGTAAAAAAATTCACGCCGAAACACCACTGGAGACAAAGAGACTAAAAAGTGGTCCTCTCCAAGTTGGTAAGAGCTCTGGCACTGCAAGCATCCATCCCATGAATATGGACCCCTAGGTGACCATGACCTTCGGCAACCTCTGATGGAGCAATGTGTGTCTAGTGTGTCTAGCCACACTCTAGCTGAAGCCGACTCTCCTCTGACCCGACATGACAGCAGAGGCCCGAACCTTTACCCCACCTATCATTTTCAACTCGACAAAAATACTAAAATTGTAGTTTTGATCCTTCAGCGCCTCTGTAACTTTACACGAAAATTCGTTGATTCTGCGAGAACCGGTGAGGCTGGACGAGACTAGACTAGGTTTTCCGTAGAGTCCTTAAGCTGTTTTTCCTGGCCGAGGACGGCCTAGCGCCTGGCGAAGTGCGGGTAGGCCACCAGTGTGGTTGTCGCGCTCCGCAGTGCGCCGGGTGGCCTACCCGCACTTCGCAGGCGGTAGCAGGCGGCGTGCTGGTGCGCGGCGACGGCGCATCCTGCCATGCCCTGCCGTGCCGTGCCGCGCGGCCGCGACCCGAGCAGGACACCAGTACGCGCTTCGCGGTTGGTTAGTAAAGCGCGGGCCAGCGCCAAAGCCACAGGCGGCTTGGCGGCTACGAGCGGCCACAAGGCACCGTGGCGCGCTCTGGCGGCGAACACTGTACTCACCCGCGTCGTGCTTGGGCTGCACGTTGAGGGCGCACGCCAGCACCAGGACGGCGACGACGGTCCAGCTGGCCTCCATGGCCGTGCCGGAGAGGGGCGTCGACGGGGACGTGAGGAGGGCCCAAGCCAGCAGGCGCGGCTCCTGAGCGCGCGGAGCCGAGGCGAGTGAATGTTTTGGTACAGCAGGGAGTTCGTTGCGCCTGCCGCCTGCCGCCTTCCGCGCGAGGCTCCACGGAGTCCACGGAGTCTCTCCGCCCCTCCACCCGCGGCACCTGCCGGGCTACCGTGCTACCGCGCTACCGCACTGCACCGGGGGCCCGCGCTCCAGCCGCTCCAGCCGCTCCAGCCACCACGCGGCCCTTGTCCTGCAGCTATCCCTGCAGCCTCCAGCAGCCTCCAGCAGCCTCAGCGAGCGCTGGACTAGTGTCCTGCTGGACCGGGCGCCGGGCACTTCGGCCAGCCGCGATCCGCTGCCCGGCCTGCCCGGCCTGCCCGGCCCCCTTCCTTCGCTTTCTCGGGCCTCGCCTCACAGCCGCGCGACACGCTCGCCGGGACCCCGCCCCGCCCCGCCCTTGCCCCGCGGTGCAGCGCCATCCCCTTCCGGCCCGACGGACTCCATGACGGCGCCGCGGCTTGGGCAACCCGACGCGTGCGGCCCGTGCGGCGCGCTGTCCGCGTTCGGTCGCTGACTCTGGCGCCTTATGTCACACGCGACTGGGACTTCCCTGGCGTCCGGCGGGGCTGCGCTGTGCTGCAGCTGCAGGCTGCCTGGATGCAGCGGGTCACACGTCGTCACGCGTCGGGAGGGGCGGTGCGACGGCGGGGCGTTGCTGCATCGTGTAGTGTACAACACTTGCCGCGTTGTTCCTCCGCAGGACCATTTCGTCGCTCTGTCTCTCCCGCACTCATGGGACGTCCCATAGGGACGCGAGAGAGACAGAGCGACCAGGCGGCAGGCGACGTGCATCGAGGTCTCGCGGGGGAAGTCCGAGAGCGAACCAGAACCAGTAACCAGTGCGGACTGGCCTGGCCGAGGGCCTGGCCGAGGGCCTGGCCCTTGGTGCCCTTGAGGGGCATGGCAACCGTGGCCGTCAAATATTCGAGTCGTGTGTCCCGATTTCGATTCCACCGCCCCGTCGGGCCTAGCAAAGTCCCTTCCCTTTCTAGCGGCACTATTTCAGCGCCGGCTATCCGGGCCGCGGCTTTTGATGCGATGCGCCATGTTTGTTTTGGCGCGGTTCAAGTGGGCCATCAGACTGATTCCGAGAGTCATTTTCAACGCTCTGTCTCTCCCGCACGCATAGGGCGTCCCGTGTAGGTGTGAGAGAGACAGAGCGACGAAAACGACTCTCGGAATCGGTCTGCAGCGTTGGCGCTCTGACTGCGTCCGAGAACGGGGGCAGGGGGCAGGGAGAGGGGGGAGGCGGCGGGCTAGCAGACGACGCAACAGGCAGGACGGCGCCGACTGACGGGACGGGACGGACAGCGTTCTTCGACAATCAGGCGCCGTCTGCATTCTGCTCCGAATTGACACTCATTGGCACCACAGTGCGAAGCGCGTGAGGCTTCATAGTGTTGGTTCACTGTGGGTCCCGTCCTGGATCCGCTTCTTAACGTCCGTGTGTTGTTTCAGTGATTTGGGAGCAGAATCAGTCAAAGGCCGGCAGTGTTTGCATAACGAGAACCTTGTTACGTAACCCTGACAAACGTCAAGGAGGCTGCTGATAAGACTGAGTTTGCTGTGGCTAACAAGAATTTCGGTCGAGGATGTCCTCTATCAGTGTCGCTATCCTAACAGGTGAGAGTAATATTGGCCTTATCTACATAACCTGATGTTAAACTCAAGGAGACATCAACACTCAGGGGTTCAACCACCTGTTAAAAACAACATTGATTTGTTGAAAAGTATTGCTTTGAGGTAACGTAACCTATCTCTTCTATTGCAGTTAGTGATACTTGTGCAGGTGGACAAGCCATTGACAAAAGCGGTCCCAACTTGGAGCATTTGGTTGAAAATGGATCTCTCATTCCGAACGCTAAAGTTATCGACCTTGCGTGTGTTCCAGACGACGTTTCACACATACGTGTTAGTAGATTATTTGTATTTATTCTTAAACTCAAATGAAGATAGTTACTCATTTCCTGCTCATATATCCGTCTTTAGAAAAAGCTGGACGCTTGGTGTACTATTGGAATTAACGTAATCCTTACAACTGGTGGTACTGGGTTTTCTCCCAGAGATGTAACACCTGAAGCCACTCGTGAAGTTTTGGACAAAGAGACCCCAGGAATTACAATGGCTATGATGAAATATAGCCTTGAAGTTGCTTTTCCACATGCTATGCTATCAAGGTGATTTTGGTTTGTCCTCCACTCGCTACTTTTGTTTCAATTTTGTGTGTGTTGAATTAAATTTATCTGTTTACAAATTCCTGTTTCCAGAGCAATTAGTGGCATTCGTGACAGAACTCTGATAATTAACCTGCCTGGAAGTTTGAAAGGTGCTGCAGAATGCCTCAGTGCCGTAAGCCCATGTATTCCTCATGCTGTAGCTCTCCTCTGTGACAACTCAAAGGATGTGGGAACTGTGCACAAATTGATTCAAGCTTCAGAGCCTAAAGTTAAAACTTTGGACTCCAAACCCGAACATACTCACAACCACCACCACCACCATCACCACCACCACAGTCACAGTCATTGCAACCATGGGGACAAACATCTCGAGAGCAAGGCATGTTTCAGTTACCTTTCTTTTCTTTCTAATCGTGGTGGCAGATCATTGCTTAAATTCTTTTTGTTATGGAAATTGACAGGTGGATGTTCATAAAGTTGCTGAACGGTCAAGACATTCACCCTACCCCATGATGGAGGTCCCAGTGGCTCAGTCAAAAGTCTTAGCTGCAGCCAACATTCTGGGTACAGAATCAATGTATTTCAGGTAAGGGGATCTAAAAACCCTTCTGTAAGTTCTCCAACAAGACCTCTTTCCTTTTCTCCTGTCTACTTTTTAAAAAAAAAAACTGTTCTCTCAGAGATGCAATTGGCCGTGTATTGGCAGAGGATGTTTTTGCCAATGATCCTCTTCCTCCTTTCCCTGCATCGATTAAGGATGGTTATGCTGTCATAGCTGCTGATGGGGCTGGCAAAAGGAAAGTGTTGGGCTCATCTGCTGCTGGTCAAGTGGTAATACGATGCTCTGATTTTTATTTTTAAAGCTACTGTTGATACAATGGTGATTACTATCTGACGCTCTTTTTTGTCGGACAGCCTGGTGGAGTCTCTTTGCAGAGAGGCCAATGTGTTCGCATCACAACTGGAGCTGCCGTCCCAGCAGGAGCAGACAGTGTTGTCCAGGTTGAAGATACACATTTAGTGCATGCTTCTGCAGACAATACTGAGGAACTGGAAATCAATATTATGAAAATTCCAAAAGTTGGAGAGGATATCAGGTTGAGTTCAAATTGTAGTCCTCTGAATAAGTATTTGTGGCAGTAACAAAAGACATAATAGTAATTATGGTTTGATGAATTGCAGGCCTCTAGGCAGTGATATTCAGGCGGGTCAGTTGGTTTTGGCTTCAGGAAGTACCTTGGGGCCTGCAGAACTTGGATTACTGGCCACAGTTGGTGTCACATCTATACAGGTTTATAGGTACAGAGCATACTGCATCATTTTCATTTTTGCATGTTGAAAGGTTCTTTGTTGAACTTTAGTGAATCTATACTTTCAGATGTCCAAAAGTGGCTGTGTTGTCAACCGGAAATGAACTTCAAGACCCCAAAGAAGGAGAGCCCCTGAAAGCGGGCCATATCAGAGATTCAAACAAGACCACTCTCCTCGCTTTACTTCAAGAGCATGGATTTTCTGCAATTGACATGGGCATTGCCCCTGACGAGTGAGTATAGGATTAATAATTTGTCTGATTTTCTCAAAGCCTTTTCTCAATGCATAATGCTTTTTCATTGCTCTGTTTCAACTTAAGGCCACAGGCTCTACTGGATGCATTGCAAAAAAGCCTAAGCTGTGCAGATGTTGTTGTCACTACAGGTGGAGTCTCCATGGGAGAAAGGGATTTACTGAAAAGTATTCTTACCACTGATCTTAATGCATCATTACATTTTGGACGTATCAACATGAAACCAGGGTAAATTTAGTTGCTAAAATGAATTTTTGCTCCTTTTTTCTTGAATTGTATTGTAATACTCCCTTGAATTTTTTTACCCAAGGAAACCAACTACATTTGCTACTTGTAATTTTATGGATGAGAAACGCTTGGTATTTGGGTTGCCTGGCAATCCAGTATCAGCAACTGTTACTTGTCATCTTTTTGTCTTGCCTGCTCTGCGCAAAATGTGTGGATATTCTAATCCAATGCCACCTACACTAAAGGCTACAGTAATGATATTTTACCTATTTTTTAATTTTTGTTCTTAAGAAAGTGCTGAATTATTCCTGACACTGATTTTATAATTTTCCAGATTACAGAAGATTTGCATTTAGACACACGTCCAGAATATCACAGGGCTGTCTTAAACTGGCTTCCTGGTGAGGGCATTCCCTCTGTGAAAAGCACTGGTGAGAAACTGGTTCAAAATTGATGCTAAGGATGCTTTGTGCACAATGACATTTTCTGGATATTTATTATCTCTGCTTGTATTGTAGGCAATCAACTAAGCAGCCGCCTCCTCAGCTGCTACAGTTCCAATTGCTTCATAGTTCTGCCGGCCTCAGAAAAGTGCTTTAAGCTACCAAGTGGATCAATGGTAGATGCCGTCTTGCTTAAAATGCTGTAGTTTTGGAAATATAGATTTGCTTCCTACCTACTTCTATATGAAACATGATAGTTGGATTCGACCAAAACCACTGAAACAATTTAATTGTATGAATGTTTATAATTTGATGTGCCCTTACATCCCCGTTGTGAAGTATGAATAAAAATAAGTAGTAACTGTTCCTTTCCTACTTACTACTTCCCTTTCATAAATTCTTTCAATCAGACCCTAGTTATTCATATCCTCCTTTGTATACAGTATCTAGCCACTGGCAGCAAAATCAAGCCCTTGCTTTGTTTGGAATTGGAATTTTTTGAGGGGGGGAGTAAAAGACAACAAAATGAGCTGTGTAGCTATAATTTAATAAACTGCAAGACCTTTACAGCCCTTTGAAAGATTATTTTACACTATTTCACACAGAATAACAAAGTTTTCTTAACTTTCTACAAAAACACTGGTTGTGGACCGTGGCAGATGTACAGTAAAGAAAGAAGATACTGTGAGATACTTAAAAGAATCAAATCCATGTTGGCTGAAAATTTGATTGGATACTTCATGATTTTGATACTAATACAGAACATTTTCAGGCCACTCAGAACAGCACAGTGCAACAAGTAACAAACAAAATCTCTCTATTTTTTTCTCCTACCAGAAGCAGAGGAATAAAATATACAAACAAATTCACAGGTACAATTAATTATATAGGAATGGGCAAATCTCTGGCACAAAGTGCAAGAATTTGCTCAATCGACAACCTCCAGTTAGCAATGTCTTTAGAAACAGCACACCATGCTTCACCATGCTTAGGCTCTGCAGCAATACATCTCTTTTTTACATCCTCTTGGGCTTCTTCAGTTCCATTCAAAAGTTCAAATTTGTAGAAATATGCCCAAGCATCTCCCAAGTCAGGTTCAATTTTCACAGTCCTATTGAACCAGTCCCTGCACTTCTGATTCTTGCGTTCACACCAAAACAGCTTAGAAACAGCTAGCAGAACATGCGGGTCATGTTCACATCGTTTAAGGGCATCCACACTCTTTGTTTTGCGCTGAGCTCTTGGTTCCAAGAATATTGCCTCAGCCCACAATATACCAGCATTTGGACATTCCTGAAAATGTGAGACAAAAAATTAGTAACTTGGACAAAATTACTAAAGTACCAAAACAAAAAAAAAATTATTTGGTAAGTACCTGGATAGCTTTAGCCATTAATGTGTTAGCAATATCCTTAAGACCAGCTCGGAATTCTATTCGGATAGCTTCAAGCCATAATTGAGGATTTTTGGGATTTTTCAAACGGCCTTTCTCCAATACTGAACGAGCTTTGGTCAATAAACCAGACTGCTCCTCCAAGCGTGACAGCAACAACCAAAGTGGAACAGACTGGGCTGCAGGCACTTTCTTCAGCCCCTTGTTGTATGTTTCCCTGGCAGCATCTCTTTCTCTTTTTTGATCTTCAATTTGTCCTTTCATTAACCACAGTTTTGCAAAGTCAGGGAATATCTGAAATGGAGGATAGCAAAAAGTTTGAATAATTAATATGACATAAAATTTAATTGAACAGAATAGAGCTAGGAAAAAGTCATAGACAGATTTCTTTCTTTATTTCTACACACCGTGATAGCTTCAGAAAGCAGAGACAATGCTTCATCAATGTTGTTAAGACACCACTCCAACTTGGCTGACTTCATCATCACTCTGGGTGTAGGTGCAGAGGCTCTAGCCTTGGCCAGAAGACGCCTAGCTCTTTCATACTCATTGTTTTCAGATTCCAATTTGACCGCAGCCAACCAAATCTCTTCTGAGTTTGGATTCGCTTGGAAGGCTAATGACAAAATGCCACGAGCACCAGGGACATCTCCAGCAAGCCATCGAGACTTTGCTCCCATGAGCCAAAGTACCTGCACAAGAAGAGAAAAATAAAGTCAGTAAATAAACTGTTAGAACAAGTGCACAGCAATGAAACATGATGGGTAATAAAGAAAAATACGTACTTCTGAATTGGGACAATGTGCTACTGCTCGTTGAAGTAAGGTTTCCAGGGACTCCCTTGTTCCATGACTCTTTTCAAAGTATGCAGCTCGTAACCAAATAGATTTCTTACTAGGGAAAGCACTCAGAGCATGGGCATACACGGCTCGAGCGCATTCATACGCTCCTTGACTAGCACAGGAGTCTGCATCCTCCATCCATGTATGCTTTCTGTCCTCTTCCTCTACACTGTGATCAATGACAGATTTAACAAGGGCTTGGCATGTATGTACAGATCCAGCCTTCTCCGCTTCTACAGCCTCCTTGAACCAAAGTTCTCGGTTGATTTCTACACCATTCATGCTCAGAGAGTTGATGGCTCTGTCGATAATTTTGTCCACCATGGCGGTGTTGCCATTAGCTTCTTCCAATTTTGCTGCTGTAGTCCAGATTTGACGATCTGTTGGAATATTCTCACGAGCCTTGTTCAAAACCTGCAAGAATTAAAAAAAGTAAATTAAATGTAATTGAATGAACCAAGAGAAATAATTACCTGGAAAAATACGTACCTTTCGAGCGTTTTCATAGCTTTCAAGCCGGGCCAGAGCCAACCATAGATCCACACTGGTAGGACAGCATTCCACTGCTCGGCTGAGCAAAATACGAGCCTCTTCTGGTTCCTCCAATTCTACAGCAGCCTTCCACAAACGAACAGAGTTAGGAATGTGTTCCAAAGCTTTGCGGTACACCCTTCTTTTCGCTTTGGTTTCTGTTTCAAGGGCTGCGGCTTTGATCCATATTCTGACAGAGGTTGGAATGTGGCGCACTGCTTGAGCGATAACACCACGAGCAGTATCTGGTGGTTGCAGGCGGGCAGCCTCAAGCCACAGGTCTTCTGATTTCTGATTAACCTCACAACCTTTCATGATAAGATTTCGAGCAGCCTGCACTTTACCGGTGACTTCCTCAAGTCGGGCTGATGCTATCCATGCTGGTGGATGGTTTGGATTAGTTTCACGGACAGACTTCAGTAAAAGCCTAGCCTTCTTGATGTCATTGATGTCACCACCATAGGTGGGAATCATGCTTTGCAAATCAGTGAGGTAACCTTTGGGATCAACATGTGTTTGGCCTTCCACAGAGTCAGAGACCTGGTTCAGTTTTACATTCATGAGTGTGTTACGAGCTTGACCCATCTTACGTAAGTCAAGATCACCCGTTGGGGTAAGCATTCCAGGTGTGGAAACGCCTGGGATTGCACTCGCCAGTCCACTGCTGGGGTCTAGAGATGTGGAGGACTCTCCACCCAAGTTACGAGACAAAACAGAATCTGGCAGTGGAGTGAACTTCTCCGCCCTTGGGTTACGCTGCTTCCTATTCCTGGCATCGCCGACCTCTGGTATGTTCCTCCATTCATCTTCGTCGACAGAGCCAAGCTCTCTCTTCAAGTCGCTGAACTGCTGCTGAATCTTGGGTCGCTCTTGACGGTACCTCTCCAACTCATCCCTCAGTCTCTTCTCACGGTACTCCTTTCTCTTCTCATCCATACGTTTGTCGATGGCTTCGTAAATAAGGTCAGCTTCCTCGTCGTCTTTGTCGTAGGGATCTTTGTTGAAAAGAGAGCCTCCATAACCTGAGAACTCGTCGTAGTTGGAGTCGTTGAGGTCCTCGTCCTCGTCTTCATCCTCGTCCTTCTTCCTGCGCTTGACAGGAGGGGCGTGTCTGTCGTCGGAGACGTCGTTGGCATCGCGAGCAGGACCAATATCAGAACGGGTGGTGAAACCAGTGGCACCGCGACCTACACCAGCAACATAACCTAGCGGGGCAGGCACCCCCATGAAGTGCTTCTTGTGCCGGGCCAGCGGGTTCGGCGGCTGCGAATGAGACGCCATGGCGACGAGTCAGTTCAGCCGACGGTGTCCAAGGCAGTTGCTCTCCCTTGGCGAACTTATCTTAAATGCAGGCGGACACTCAATGTTTCAATCACGTAAATAAAAACAAACATTCATAAACGTCGCTACGAAAACTTTTCTTATTCCTTCCTTCTTCTCTTCTGCTATCTTCTGGATTGCTGCCAACCTTCACATTTAAGTGAAATTTTTCAGAACATTTCTTGGCGGATGCCCACTGTCTTAAAACAAGCTTGGATATTTTAAAAAATTTAATTCTGCTAGATTCATGTTTTTTGTGAGAAATGTATCAAAAGTCCATTCTCGAGTTTCGTAAATGTTGGCTATCTCGGACGATGAACCTACTTCCGCTGCAGCGGAGCCATTTTTAGCGCCACGCTTGAATGAGCCGGCAAAGCAAACATTCGTTTACAAGCGTCTTGGGTTCCATTCGACGGTTCGTATTGAACGAGTTTGAGACGAGTCGGTGTTCTTTTTACGCTGAAACGCTTTGGGAGAGGGTTTATTGATAACAGGAGGGCAGCCGGGGCTTTATGCAGGCTGCGGTCTGCCATAAATCCTGTCGCTGTGAATGGCGTCTAATCGTGCGTCCCATCGTGCGAAACAAGGAGAAGCGGCGACGGAAACAAAAGTAAAACAAGGAGCGTTGGATCGTGCGGCTCAGCGACGGCGGCACGGCTTGACTGGCGCTGTGCGGTGCGTGCGTTGCGTGGGAGGAAGGCGCCCCACGCTCGCCGGAGCCACGGAGTCCGTCAGGCCGCCCCGCCGCCGTCCCGCCGTCCCAGCCGCGTCGCGCCGATTTCCGACCACGGATCCCGCCGCGCCCCGCCACGCCCCGCCGCGCCCCGCCACGCCCCGCCACACCCCGCCACCTGCCCGCCTTTCCGCCACCAACTTCCGGTGAAGCTGCGCGGCGGTCACGCCTCGTCCCGGCCCGGCTCGGCCCGTCGCTCTGTCTCCCTCGCACCTGCACTTAACGCCCCATGAGTGCGAGAGAGACGGAGCGACGAATACGACTCTGGGAATCAGTGTGCAGTCCATGGACTCAGTCCAGCCCACGGCCGCCCATTCGTGCCGATAGTTCAAAAACCTTCCCGGCATACATTATTTTGAGCAATGACTGTCCTGTCTGCAGGCGCCACGCAGCCCTGCCAAAAAAATGCCCTCCAAATTTTGCTATTTTCTTCTTTGCACTCGTGTGATTTTTACTCTCGTGAAATTAACCCCTACGTCGTGAAGTTACGTACAGACCTATCTCTGTCTCTTTCTCTCTGCCACGCTGCAGATTCGTAATGAAGTTCTTACGGGCGGCAGCAAAAGCAACACTTTCAATAATGAAGCCCGCTGGACGATCACCCCGATCGGGACGCACGAGTGGGACGGCCGGGGCGGCGCGACGGCCGGGACTGGGGAGGGGAAGGGACGCCGGGATGGAAAGATGGAAGGTGGCAATTATCTCGTCATGTTCATTTAGTGTCAAGCGCAGTGCTGCCAGCGCCGGGACGACGTCCACGACGGACGACGTGCACATGCCGCGCATGATGTCATAGGCCAGCGCGCCTATTCCGATCTGCTCGAGCAGTGCTTTCGTCGCCCCGTCTCTGTCGCGCTCGTGGGGCGCCGCCTAGGGGTGCGAGAGAGACAGAGCGACGATGCGGCTCTGCAGCCGACGGCCTGGCGACGGCGTGGGGGATTCCCATTATTTACTGCCGATGCGGTGGCTTTCCTAATTACCACGCGGTGTTTAGTGTCTCCTAACGAGAAAATCGCCGCTGGGTATGCCATTCAATTTTCTCTTTCGAAACTAAAGCAAGTATGCTCAGAAATTTTTTTTCAATTTTTCTTAGCTGGTTGTGTTTTGTGAGGATAAAGGATGAATGAAATAAAACTCAATGTATGATTTCTGTAGTTCTGCTATTTTATTTTTCTAACAAAACGGCGTGTCAAAATCTCTTCCAATCGCAGCATAATAATGCATACTTATATTTGGAACAGTGGATACATTTTCGCAAACGAATTTAAAGTTTCCTCTGTTGAGTTGATGAGGGACACCGCAGAGAATCTGTTACTCATCGTTTACCGAAAGAGAAAACAAATTAAAGAAGGTAAGCGCTGCAATTTAGTGTGCGGCACGGTTAGGAATCAGTCTATGTCGTCAGGAATCAAACAGCCACAAGAAACGAGAGCACGCATAAATAGATCACGTTACACAAACACTGACCGTAATAAATAATAAAGAAACAGTTCAAAAGTTAATAACTAAATGTACAAGATTCTTACAAGACGAAGGAATGCTGCAAAGCCGCCCCTTTTTTTTCACTGGAAACCAAAACACTAACGAATGGACAAACAAATTGAACAGTCTGTTCACGCGTCGTATAAAACACGTGAACGCTCTCTATCTTCCTCTTATTTCTCCCTTCCACGCACACACACACACACACGCTCTTTCACACACACATACGCTCACTCACTCGCACTCACACCTGTCTTTTTCACCCCGTCCCTTCCAATAAGGTCCACGCAGGCCGGCACCACGTTGACGAGGACGTCGCGACCCTGCCAGAGGGAGGGATGACTAGCGAAGGGAGGGGCTCCGAGCCGAGGCCGTCTAGGCCGTCGAGTCCCTCCACGTCTCTGCTGCTCGCGTTCGAGGCCGTGCGTGCCGTGCGTGCCGTGCCCTGGCGCAGGGCTGGGGGCTACGAGTACCGGTCCTCGGCGCAGCCGCACGAGCACTCCGTGATGACGGGGTACTCCACCTTGATCCAGGCGCAGTGGCGCGCGGCCTGCTGCTCGAGGTCTTGCGTGGGCGCGGCGGCGCCGGCCTCGTCGCGGTCCTCGAGGTCGTGCTGCGCGTGCTGCAGGACGAGGGTGGGCAGCGGGCGGCAGTGCCACCGCAGCAGCAGCTGGTGGCGGCTGGCCGACGGCTTGCAGTGCATGCCCGCGGGGATGGAGCAGGGCGTCTCGGGGCAGCGGCCCTCCTTGAGCCAGCGCGGCCAGAAGCGCACGCCCAGGTCGCGCCAGCGGCGCTGCACGGGGCACGCCGTGTACGCCCACAAGAAGTGCTGCAGCTTGCGCCGCAGCCGCGCCGGGATGCGCGTCCGCAGCCGCGAGCCGTCGGGCAGCCGCACGCCGCGCAGGTCCAGTGAGGCGATGGACTCGGGCATCACGCCGGCGGGCACCAGGCGGCCGCGCGGGTTGCGCCGGAACGGCGAGTCCTCGTCCAGCTCCACCTGGTCGTCGTCCAGCAGCGCCGAGTCGTCCGAGTCCAGCAAGTTGGTGTACCTGAGGGCCGAGACGCGAGAACTTAACATTTTGCGAAATATTTTTCGATGAGTCAGCAGCAGCCCGAAACCTTTTTATTTTTTCGTCAAGAGTAATGGGGTGGCGGCCCCTAGCGGCCCCCACGGGAGTCTCCCGGCCGCCCTTCCCTCCCTCTCTCTCCCTCCCTCCCTCTCCCTCTCCCGTGCACCTTTCCGCGCATTTCTTTCTCTTTTTTCCGTGCCAGCCGTACAAGGTGGCGTTCCCGCGTGTGACAAAATTACGACCACATTCGTGCGCCCCCTCCCCCTTTCCACTTGTTTCTTTGCATTTCCTTTATGCTTCCCTTCCTCCCACTCCGAACTGAACGACGCTGGCCGGCGATACACCTTATTTCTTCGGCGAGCGAGCCAAGCGCGGCCCGGCAGGTGAGGCACGGCGGAAGGCGCGGATGGCGGCGCGTCGGGCGCGTCTCGCGTCGGCGCGGCCACCGCCACCCGCTGCGCACAGTGTGTCTTCGCACGTCGCTAAGCCCACCGCGCCGCGCCCGGCCCGCCTGCCAGCCAGCCAGCCTGCCCGCCGAGTCGGCGGCCCCCTTTGGGCGGCCGAGCCCGGACAACGGATGAATAATGCACGAATGAATGACGAACGAATGAATGACTGAATGAATGAATGCACTGCTTACCTGATTTTGTGCTGGCGCCGCTGTGCCCGGGACGGCCTCTGCACGCTCATGACGCGGGGGTCGAAGTGGCGGCCCAGGCGGGCGCGGAGCAGGGTGGCGTTGAGGTCGCCGGGCGTGGGGTCGAACAGCCGGTCGGGCCTCTCGAGCAGCGCGGGGACGGGCACCAAGGACGAGGACAGCCCTCCGGGTCCCCCGCCAGGACGGAGTCCTTGCCGCTCCGGGGACAGCGCCGTTCTCAGGGCGCCCCGCAGCCCCTGCAGGCCGTGCTGGCCGTGCTGGCCGTGCTGCGGCGGCGCGTCGTGCTGCAGGCCTTGCTGCAGGCCTTGCTGCAGGCCGTCGGCGGGCGTCGGCGTGGTGGTGAGCGCCGCCAGGGCCAGCAGCACGCAGAGCAGGGACTGCAGGGACTGCGGGGACGGACACAGCAGCGGGCCGACTCCGGCGGGAAGGCGCATCTGGAAGAACAGGCCGAACAGGGTGACGGTCAGCATGAGGACGCGGGAAGGCGGTCGTCACTTCCCCGCGGATCGTCGCGCGACGGCGGCGACGGCGGCGCCGAGCTGCGGGACGCAGGGCTACGCGGCGCCCGCGGCCATGCCGCCATGCTCGTGGGTGGGAGACGTGTACCCGACTGAGTCGAGTCGTTGAGTCCGCTCCGCGCCGCGCCCGGCCGGCCGGCCCGTCTCGTCGGTCGAGGGCTGCAGGGGCCGGAGAGGAGTGCGCCGCCCCGCCGCCCCGCCGCCCGGCCCAGCCACCTTCGCCTCCTCCCTCCGCCCCGCCCCGCGCCGCCCCACCCAGCCCCACCGGCCCAGCCGCCAGCCCGCCAGCCCGCCGCGCTCGGACGTCTGGCGCCAGGCGCCACTACGGGCGCTGCGCTGGGCTGCGGTGCGGGCGCCATGGCTGGCGGTGTGTGCCCCTTCGGGCCCCTGCGGCCCCCTCCCTTTACCTCCCTGCCGCACCACGCCGCACCGGCGCGGCGCCGGGTCATGCGTCGTGCGGCCAGCCGGCTGCGGCCCCCTACGGCCCCCTACGGCCCCCTGGCTGGCGCTGAGGCTGGCGCCCTCCCCCCGCCCCCTCCCCCACCGCACCGCCCGTCTGCCCTTGACAACTCTTTACCATATTCGACACCCCTGCCCGCAACATGTCGCATGGGGAACAGTGGAGGGCTTCACACGCTCCTTCCGATGAAAACAGTGTTGGGAAAGGAAAAGGGCTTTTTCCTGGAACCTCTCTGAAATGAACGTAGCACAATCAGTGCAGCTGTGAATTTTTAAACGGCGATAACTACAAAAACGATGTGACAAAACAGAGTAAATCAAGGAAAAAGTATCAACATAAAAATTAAAAGAGACGAAATAACCGCGAGGAAGAGGTCAAAACCGTGAAAAGCCAATGGGTAGCGCGAACGCGTTTTAAATCCAGACGACGAGAGCCATAAAACAAATGAGCCCTCCGCCAGCAGCGAGGTGGCATGGCAGGCCGGGCCGGGCCGGGGGCACATTGCCAAAATCAGAGCGAAAAAGTGTGTGAGCCGCGCTGCGCGGGGCCGCCGCGGAACTGCCGCCACTCACTCGCGGCTACATCATTAAGTGTCCAAGGTCACATCTATTTTCAACATGAGGGATCCCTTCGCCTGCTCCGCCGCGCGCCCTGCCGGCCCTGCCGGCCCTGCCGCCCTAGGGCCAAAGGGCAGCTGTCAGCCAGTCTCGGTACATTAAATGCTGTCAGTTTTGAATCAAATTTCAACTCGAGGCTCCATCAAGCGCAGCACTCCCCCTCCCCCTTCTTCCCATCCCACCACCTTCCCCCTCCTCGACCTCGTCCTCCTCCTCCCCGCAAATGCCTGGAATGTACCATACGTCTCTCGGAGTCACCGAGTCACATCCACATCATGAATGCCATAATGGTTAGTGTTGTTTTGTGGCAGGCCGCGCCGGGCTGCGCCGGGCTGCAGCATACGCCCCTGCATGGCCGGCGGGGCACGGCCGGCATGGCGCCGTCCCGCCGTCCCGGTTTCCTATCGTCTGGGCGCCAACAAAGAGCAGCCCAATTTCAATCCAGACAGAGAGAGAAGGAAATGTGCCGTGCCGCCGCGCCGCCGCGCCTCACGTGGTTGGCTGGCTCCGAGTCCTCCTCGTATATGATGATGTTGCGGGCGTGGCACGGCGCGGCGCGGGGCGGGGTGGGGCGGGGCGGGGCTCGGCGGGGTCGCACAGGTTGTGGGGCGCCGGCGCGCAGACGAGCTCGCGTTCAAAAGTTCCAGGAGGGGCCTCGCCTCGCCGCCGTGCCGCACCAGACCGCGCCCTCTACCCTATCCGTCAATCAGCAACTCGGCCCAGTCGTCACTGGAAAGCACGGCGCGGCGCCGCGGCCCTGGGGGTCATTATGTGCGCCAAATACAGCAGTTCGCTTCTCGGACCTCTAGACTCTCCCGCCGGTCCGCTGCCGGTCCGCTGCCGGTCCGCCACGCACGCATGACGTCAGCGCCTGAGTCACCTTTCGCGCTTTACTATGCTGACGGCCGCACGCACAGGATCCCCTCTTCCGCTGCTAGGCTGCTGCCCAAGCTGCTGCCCCGGATCCAGTCTAGGATCCAGGCCCGCCTTGCCTGCCTGGCGCCCCAGGCGACGCCGGCGACGCGAGGCCGCGAGGACGCCACCGCCTTATCGGCCTTGTTGATGGGGAAGGGACAAACCAGTAGCATCGCCCGGTCCTGGCCGCTGGCCGCGCTGGCCGCGCTGGCCGCGCTCGGAGCACGGCCCTACCTGAAGGCCTGACGGCCTGACGGCCTGACGGTCTGACTGCCTGACGGGATGTTATCTCGGAGACGCTTGTTGTTACAGGATGTTTCCGCGACGCGGGCTGCTCGGCGGCTTCAAAGGCAGACCCAGACCGAAGGCAGACGGCTCGTTCCGAAATTCGCTCTCGTCGTCCTGCCTCGCTCGCACTCGCGGCGCGTCCCGCAGAGGCCGCAGGGGTGCGAGGGAGACAGGGACTCTGAATCGGACTCACAACGAGCGCGGCAGAGAGGCCCGCCACGATGCGATTTACGGCAGCATTGAGCCGTTGGGTCGTTTGGAGCGTAATCCTAAGCCTTCATGTTTCTTTTTACTTTCCTTTATTTTTCTGGAAATGTTCCCCTCGGCCGCCGTTCGGCCGTCGGGACGCACGCTGCATCGCGGATTACGGGCGAATCGAAGGAAGGCGCACAGTGTGCCGCACGCACGGCCGCGCCGCGCGGATGGCCGTCGACATCCACGACGGGGACCTCACTGCCCTCGCCTGGCCGGTCCACGAGGACGGCGACGAGGGCCTCCCAGCCGCGCGCACGGCGCCCCGCCATTACTCCCCACAAAAACGATTTTCGGAAACGCTTTTCGGGCGAGACACGAAAATGATCGGCGCGAAGGCGAAGGTGAAGGCGAAGGCAGGCACCTGTAACCGATTCCAGGCGACAGGTGCGGCGGCAGCGCCGGCAGCGCCAGCCACCCGGCGCGTCGTGGCGGCCGGCAGTCGCGGCGGGGTCGTGTCACCTGTAGTGCCGCGCCGTTGTGGCGCGCGTGCTAAGGACCTCCGTGTATCCCCCCCTCCCCCTTGAAATAGTTAGTGGGTCGTTATTTGGTGGGCAACTCGAGAGAACGACGACCACCATATAATTAGGCAGTGTCGCCGAGGGTGTCGCCGTAGTCTCGAGTTGCCCACCAGGCCGGGGCTTCTCCGGGCGAGTCTCCGACAGCCTCCGGCTTTGAGTGCGCACCGCGCACCGCCCCTCTCCGCGCCTAGCGCCTTCTTTACGTGCTGCGGCGCGTAGGACGACACACGCCGTAGGACGTCGACGTCCCGACCCGAGCCGGCCTGGTCCTGTCCCGTTCTGACCGTCCGGGGCTGGGCTGGGCCAGCGGGGCGGGGCGGGGCGGGGCGGGGCGGGGCGGATGGCGGCGTGGTGAAGCCGAGCGTGGGACGCGCTCCTTCCGGTAGAAGCGCCGCACCGAGCCAAGCGCCAAGCGTCCCGCCGGCCCGGAGAACGCAGAACGCCGCGCATCTGCACTCTTTTGTTTTTGCAGGGGCATCTGTGGAAACCGCGGGAAAATCGGCCTGGTTGCGGTTTGCCTGTCAATAGAATCAGTGCGGCTTGCATTGAAGGGCTCAGTGCAGCCAAATCGCTCAGCAGTTTTCATCGCATTGTAATTTTTAGCAGACGATCCTAGACATCCAGACCTGAAATAATTTCCCCCGATCGGGCCGGGCCGTGTCGTGACCCTTGACCGTGAACCGCGGATGAGGGCTCGGCCGCTCCATGTCGAACGGAACGGCTAAGACGATTGACTTCCATTATTCTCCTGGGCCGATTCAAAGGCACGGCGCGGCACGGCTACGGCGGTGCGGTGCGTCTCGACATAATGTGTTGTGAGTGACTCACTCGTTGCCGGCTGTCAGACTTTGCCAATCACTCTTAAAAGCCGACGCCTCTCACTCGGACTCCCCGACTCGGCGGCCAAAAGGAAGAAATTCCCTGGCCGTCTTGGCGCTGCTTGGCGCCCCCTGGCCTCCCAGCCACGCCGGGCTGTGCCTCCCGGCGAGGCGTCCAGGCGTCCCTGTACAGTGGCGTTTATACTTTGTGTGAGTTATGGGATGGGCGGCGCGCCGCGGCGTGGCGGTACAGTGCTGCCCGCAGGCCGGAGGGACCCGGAGGGCGTCAGGAGGAGCATGGTTATTCACCACGCCGACGACCACCGTGCCGGCCACCACGGCCTCCATGGCCACCACGGCCATCACAGTAAAAAAAGATTCGCCGATTCGGTGACGTCTGGGCGCCAAAACGAGAATATTACAAGAACAGCAACACCCTCAAACTGTTCTGGCGGCCCTCTGTTCGTTTCGGCGACGCTCGGTCTAGTTTCGGTGGCGCTCGGTCCGTTCCGGAGCGGCCACCTCACCAGAACGGCACTGCAGTCACCCTCCCGCCAGCGACTTTTAATCGTCGTATTAATGTGAAATAGGACACAAAACAAGTCAGGGGCTGTCAGTAATCATTCGCGTGACTCATCAAAGCGTAACGTTGCCGGCGGGCACGCACAAATATGCACAAACAGCTCAAAAACAGTTGTTGTGGTCATCCTAACCTCTCTGGCGGAACACCACGGTGACGCAGGTCACCGTTTTGGTGACAGACCGTCGCCGGGTTTGTAGGGGTACCCGTTTCGGTGAGATTGGATATAGAACGACCACCAAAACAGCGAATCTTTTTTTACAGTGATCCAGCCGCGCGATTCCCAAAAGCAGCATGCCAGCAGGATGCGTGACGTAGTCACGTATGCGGGAATCCACTGTGGCCGCCGCCGTACTACCGACGCGTACCGCCCCCCGCGCACTGCCCCCCGCGTCGCGCTCTGGTCGCGAGCGAACGTGCCAAACGAAACGTGCCAGCGAGTGGCGTGCCGACAGCAGACAGTGTCGCTCTGTCTCTCTCGCACTCACCGGGCGTCACGCAAAGGGTGCGAGAGAGACAAAGCGACGTGTGACGTGACGTACCGGAACGCGTAATGCCGCCGCCACTTACGACCCGCTACGGCCCAAGCCTACGGGCCAAGCCGCCAAAGCGGCCGACCGCGGCGCCGGACCGTTTTCGCGGAAGGAAGACCGTTCTCGTTATTTTCCGCACAGGCTTCCATTCAGTACTCGTGCTCGTGCCTCACCGTCGCGAGGCAGGCGAGGCAGCCGCGGGTCAGGCCCGGAGGCCTGGAGTTGGAGGCGCCGGCCCGCACCGCAGGCCCGCACCGCAGGCCAATGGCCGTGCCGGGTAGCCCCGCCTGGGACGCACGGCTGCCTTCGCTCTGCCTACCTCCGCGGCGCTCTCCGACAGGAACGCTGGAAGAGGCGTCATGGCAGCGTTCAGCGGGTCACCGACGACCCTCCGTCAGCCCGCTGGGACGGCTGGCCAACCCCCACGGCTGAAGGGGGGCCAAAATGGCGGCCCGTTCGAATGAGGTGTGCATACTACTGGCGGACAGGGCAACATCAGCGCGCTCGCCGAGGCGGTGCGGCAGGGGCAGGGCTTGTCCGCTTGCCTCATCTGGATTCGAAAAGTGATTAGTCCGGCCAGAGCGGACACCTCCACGCCTTCCAGGCCGCGCCGCCGAGTCGCGCAGTCGCAGAGTCGCCGCCCCCATCTGCCCATACTTCGCGCCCGCCAGTCTAGGGCTCCACCACGCGCCCCGCCACGCCCCGCCACGCCCCGCCACGCCCCGCCACGCCCCGCCACGCCCCGCCACGCCCCGCATCGCCTACTTCATCCGCTGCGCGAGGCGCTGAGGCTCGCGTGCGGAAAGCCAGATGCACGCCGCGATACCCCGCGCGCTGTCGCGGACCGAATGAATGGAAAAGCAGGCGAAAAATGCACGGGACGCTACCCCTTCTGACAGAGACTCTCAGTAACTCACTCCCCGCGAGGACATAAGGACCTTGCTTTGTCACTCGGGTACAAATAATCAAAACGCGGCAGCACCAATAGTCTTTATAAAAAAATAAAGAAAATATTACTTTTTAAGATAGCCAAGCCAGCAGTACGGCAATCGTACAATAGTATGATCTAAATATAACAACATGAGCGACCAAAGGGGACAACTACTGACTTATCCATGTGGACACAAAATCATGCTAAATGTATAATTCATCTTTTTAACTGTCATATATTCTCGTCGGAACACCCACGCTCCAATCTGGGTGGAAGTATGCGTAGGAAAGACAGCGTTGATAATATTCAAAGTGATCCGCACAGTTGTCCCCTTTGGTGAGCCGAGTCCTCCCGAGTCCTCCTGCTTTAAGGTGGCCTTACAATGAGTGTCCGGCCGGCCATGCCATGTCCGTCATCCGATTATTCGCACTATTTGAACCCAATGTAACAGGAATATGACGTAAATTACTATTCTTGACCATTTTAAACCATCACATGCGAACTATTCTCAAGAAAAACGCCAACATCGGGAAGTCGGACGTGGGCGGACTTGCATTGTAAGGCCACCTTTACCCTGGCGGTCGCCTGGCGGCGGGTACGTCGCGGTGCTGCGCGGTGCGGCCACACTCGCAGAGGAGGGGAAGGAGTACGGCGTCGCGGTCCTTCGGTCCTTCGGCGGCGTGGCCAACGTCTGCGTGCGGTGCAGCTAAGTGCAGTGCAGCTAGGTGCAGCGTCTGCTCTGCGCGCGCGGTGCCCCGTCCGGCCCGCGGTACGCTAGCGGTACGTCGGTACGTGTCCGCGCTCGCCCGGTCCATTCACGGTGTGGCGGGCCTGCCGGACGCGGAGACCGAAGAGCGAAGACAGCAGCAGAGGAAAGGGAAACTCGCTCATCGCATAATCACCGCCGCTCTGCTCGCGATCTGATCCGATAAAGTTGAAACATTTAATTATCCTGTCCCCGCGGAGCCGCGCAGTCGCGGATGGATGGCGTCATTTGGCGGCCGAGGCGCCGCGATTCGCGAACGGCCGGCCAATAGGCGGCCAATCGGCGGCAGTGGCGCCACTTTCAAACCGAGCCCTGTGCTCTTGGAACGGGGAATCCTACAAGCCGTTTACAAGGGCTTGTAGGGTTCGAAACGAACCCGTTCAGAGTACTGTCTGTCTGGAGCTGCGACAGCGCCGCCCTTGGCCGGGCGTGCACTGGAAGGGAAGGGCGTCCAGGACGCGTCCTCCCATTGGTCCGTGGAGCCGCGGAGCTCCAGCGTTGATGTCACCGACTATATCGGTCGTTCGCGCCACCGCGCCGGGAGGGAACGCCCCGCCCCACCCCACCCCGCCCCACCCCGCCCCGTCGCGAAGAGTAGCCTCAGGACAAGGGGGTAATTACCGTGCAGTGCATCGCGCAGCCGGCCTGCCGGATTGGCTCGGCTTGGCTCGGGTTGGCTCGGATTGGCTCGGATTGGCTGCTGTTGATGTCAGGCTGGTCATCGCGGAGGACGCTTTCAGAGGGGCGGGGACAAGGGGGAAGGCTGGGGGCACTTCCTGGCTCTCGACGACTCACTTTACTGCTAAAATAATTGAAATATATCGGTGCCAACACGCCGGCGGCACCGCGGCGGCTCACCGAAGTGGCTCGCCGAATGGCGCTGCACGCATGGAGGCGCGACCAATGAATGGAGGAAGGGGTGGGGGCGAATGGAGGAATGGATGAATCAACATCTCGACTCAATGCCGGGGGAAAATTCAGGACATTACCTTCTGCTCGTGCCTTTTCCTTCGAAAAAGCGGCCCCGAAATTTTCGGGGCAAACATAGATTTAACGAAGCAGTTGAGGCGGAATGTTAATACTTTTGCCAAGGTGGAGATGGACAGACAGAGTCTGTCGTGCATTGGCCTAGTCGCGCACGCGGCGGCGCGGCGGCGCGACCCACCCACCTCTGCTCGTTTTGCAGATTCACGGAAAGTAGAGTACAGGAACGAGACAGTCGTAAATCAGGCGAGGAGGGGCCCGTCAAGTCCTGGGCATGCCATGGGCATGTAATCCCACGTAATCTGCATTTAAATATTCCGCGAGTCCGCCTCAACCGGCTACCTCACAGTCGAATGCCCCCAAAAACTTTTTTAAATCCAAGCATCATTAAAAATTTAATTTGAAGATACGCACACACACAAATAAAAATAACAAATAAAACGCCCTTTTTGTGTTTGCTGATTTAGAGCTTAGGATGAAAACAAACTGAATGATCCCTCAGCTCAGGATGACAGACAAGATACACTCACGTTTTGGATGCTCTGGCGTGAATCCCGTTCTGCAGTTAAGATTGTTGGTTTCGATCCATGTTCTCACTTGCAAATCGCCAATCACTTCACAAAGTCTCTGTTTCACAGCCGCAGCTCCGAGGGCCGAGGGCTCGGACGATTCTTGAGGCGATGTCTACACACTTTTCACTCGTCCCGGGCAGAGCGGCTCCCCCTCCGCGACACGCCGCTGGCCGGCTGACGGCGCTGACGGGGCTGACGGCGACCTGCTGGGCCTCCAGTCCTCCGCAGCCATCTCGACGAAGGCGGCGCGACGCCCAAGGACGCGACGGCTGGCGGCGGCCTCCTCGGTCAGGGCGACCTCCACGACGGCGGGCCGGGCGGGCCGGGCAGCCGGACACGGGCGTGCGCGTAGCGTGTCGTGCGTGCGGCGTGCGTGGCGCGGTGTGACGCGGCCGAGGCGAGGTGTGTCGTCCTGGGCCTGCGCGAGCAGTGACACCCCCTCAATCATGTCCTGCCGGCCCTACCCTCACGCCGCCCCGCCCCGCCCCGCCCCGCTCCGCCCCACCACGGCGGCCGGAGCGCCAGTCGGGACGAGCCGAGTCGAGCGGCGACCGAACCCAGCCGAGCCGTGAGGTGAGGTGGACGTCGGGGTTCGCCGCGCCTCTTCGGCCGCACGTTCGGGCCGTGTTCGGGCTCGGTTCGGGTTGCGTTCGTTGGCCCTCAGGCCTCAGGCTGCCCCCCGGCCCCCTCCACCCTTAAGGCCCCGCCAAGTTCAAGACCGGCGCATTCAATTTTCATTTTGTAATACAGTAACATGGTACGGAAACTAGCCCACCCTCCCCCAAAAAATGCCACTTTTGAACCTGTTTGATTTTAAAGTTTGCTCTGAAGATGGAGCTGGTGGCAGATTATACAGATGGTCTTAAATTTTGTGAGTGAACGCCTAAGGTGTCGACGGACACCTTAGGTCTGCCCTCGGCCCCAGGCCCTGGGGGGCGTCGCTTCAACAACACCACACACCACCAACATCGCGGCCCGTGAGGCAGGCCAGGGCGTGGTGGGGCGCGGTGGGGCGCGGCGGGGCATGGCGGGGCGCGGAGCGGCGGGAGCGACAGGCGTTCCAGGAGCCCCAGCACCTGAGCCGAGTCCGGCGAGCAGATCGTCCCCGCGATGCAACGCGTCCGCGGCACCCACGGCATCGTCGACTAGGTGCACTGGCGGACTCCGCCTGGCCGAGCTCGACGGCGTGCTCGGTGTCGGCGCGCAGCAGCAAGCCGCCGAACGAAATCCGAGCTTAATTTCTTTCCGCGTTCCGGCCGGCCATCGCAGCCCCGGTCGCATCGCATCAGGGAGCGCCTGTGGACCCGCGCCCGGCCGCCCGGCGCGCAGTGCTGCCGAATTGGTTGCCTACCTTGCCGGCGCTCTGCGCGGCAGACTGCCGCTGTTCGGTCGGCCTGGTCCGCCTGCTCCTGTTTTTCTCCCTACACCGCGGCGCCCCGCTTGGCCTCCTTCAGGGCAGCCTTGAGTCTGCCCCTGGCCGCTCCGGCACCATAAACACGGCCAAGTTAACGCCGATGGCGTCCGCCGTATTTGCCTCCTCGTTTGGCCGGACTTTGTCTGGATGACGGCGGACCACGTCGGCGGACCGGCCTGCCGGCCGAGCGTCCTAAACATGCGGGTCCAAGTCCGACTCGGGGACGGCTACAGGACGGCTGCCGTGCCGGAAGGGATTACCGCCTTTACGAGACTCATAGGGTTCACGGTGGGGGGCGGGGCGGGCTGTACGGTCGCCCTGCGTCTCTCGCGCCTCTACGAAACGCCCCATGGGTGCGAGAGAGACAGAGCGACGCGAGCGCTGTTCGGAGCCGGCCTGCTGGTTGCTGCTGGCCACGGCGGGGCGGGTAGGTTTGGCCCGGCCATGGCCCGGCCGGTCCTGACAATCGTTCTAATCCCTTTGTAAATCTTTTCTTATTGCCGCGCACTGCGGCTCGCTGGGGCGGCGGGGCGGCGTGAGTCTCGGGTAACGCCGAACCGCCGAACGCGCCTCCGGACAGGAGGAGACGCCGGTTCCCGGAAAACGGGCGGCGGCGGCGGGAATCGAACCCACGGCTTGCCCAGTCATCCGCGGCATCGAAGCTCCAATCAATGGCACGGGAAGGTGGGGGGCGGAATGCCGAGCCGCGCGATGACGCCCTCCCCTCCCTCCAGGCCTCCAGGAAGGCGCCCTCGCAGCCAGCGTGGCGACCCGTGAGTGCACTGCGCGGCGGCACGGCGGCACGGCGGTGGTCTCCGTCGAGAGATACCTGCTGCATTGCCACCTTGGGTACACTACTTTTGTGCCTGGCGGGTGTTCCCCCCCTCTTCTCTCTCGTCCTCGGAAGCAAATGAATGGACCGCGATGTACACTGTTTAATTGTATGCGAGACACGAGCAGAAAGGTGCGAATTCGAAGTCTGCGGCCCCCGAAGGCGGTAGGCGGCCGGGTCGGCAGTCCGGGCAGAGGAAGCAGCGACGCAGCGACGCTGGTCCATAACTCACACTACAGTACGTACCCCCCTCCCATCCTCACATTTTACACGATTTTTGTGGCGGTGCGAGTGCATCCCGAGTGTAATACAAGGCGGGCCGGAACGCCGTGGAACGCCATGAAAAACGAGGTGAGAAACCACACCACACCACAGCGCGCCGCCATGGCGGTGCACCGCCACCCTCGCGCCGCGGCCGTGGCCCTGGCCCTCGGCAGCATCACCAGCGCCTCGGCGTGCTGTTCCTCTCTGTCCCTCCCCGTCCCTAGTTGTCTCTCTCTTTCCCTCTCTGCCCCTCTCTACCCATCTTCGTTTTTCTTCGTCTTCTTCGCCTCCTCCCTGTGCCCGCGTCGGTGCTGCGGGGTGACTCCGAACTGTTTCGTCCCTCTGTCTCTCTCGCACCCCGACGGAACGCTCCACGAGTGCGAGAGAGACACGCACTGCTGGAGCCTGGGGCCTGGAGGGCGTCGCGCTGGGCGCTGCGGCGCTGCGGGTGTCGGCGGCCGGGGCTCGCTCAAACGGGAGAGCGGAGCGGGGCGGCCGGCAGCCCAGGCACTGCCCAGGCACTGCCCAGGCCGGGGGAGGCACAGAAAAGGAAATATGAAAGCAACGCCAAGCGACGCCAAGCGACGCCTCGCCTCGCACTGCCGGGGCTGGCGGGGCTGGCGGGGCTGGCGGGGCCCACTGGGGCCGACCGGCCAGCCAGGAATTCCATTCTTGTTTCTGGCGTGCCATCCGCGCCGGTCGTGCCTGCGCCCTTGGCTGGCGCGGCCCTTGGCATTGTTGCGTTAGGCGGTGTAATCCCATCTGACACCCCCCTCCCCCTCCCCCCCTCCCCCCACCGTCACCCACCCGCTGCACCAATGCATTCCATTGGGAGGCCCCCCACCACCTACCCCTGGCCAGCCCTGGCCATGAGGGCAGACCAAATCCAGCCCCAAATCCGTTTCACTTCGTTTCCTTCGTGTTGTTGATTCTTTTTATTTTCACACGGCCGGCCAAAAAATAAATTAAAAATGAAGAACGAAAATTATTTTTTTTTGCAACAAAAGGGTATTGCTGACTCAACTCCCATGCGAGCTCTGGTATTCATGTTGCGATTGCGGAAATTTTGAAATAAAGTTTTAATGTTTTTTTTTAAATTTTGTGTGGAGCCCTGAGAAGAGTCTTGCCAGGTTTTAGCTGGCACCAAGGCAGAAAAGATGTTAAAAACCCTTTTCAAATTTTAAACTTACTAATTAAGAAAGACCACTAAGAGCAAAACCAACAAGACACCGAAACATTTTTTTGTGCATCGTCACATCATCTAAAATGGGGAATAAACCAGACGAGTTAATCCCTTTGGCCATCGGTCAGGCCGTGCGTAAAAGGACCAAACTAACAGGCAGGACGGTGTGACTGGTGTGACGCAGAAAGGGGAGAGGGGAGTGTGCACCGCGACGTCCTATCTGCGATCTGCCCCCGAGGATGCGGGTGGGACGGCGGGGCCGGCGGGGCCGCTCCGGGGGAGGGGGGAGGGGGGGGGGAGTCTGGTGGAGTCTGGCCGGGCAGGTCGGCAGGATGCAGCGTGCACTGCCGATGCCGATAAAGGCAGGCAGGCACACTGGCAGGCACGGCGCCCAAGGGTCTGCCCGTGCCAAATTCCAGGACCGCCCTGCCACGCTGTCTCCTCCCATTCACAAGGCGGGGAGGCACCGTTGCTTACCGGGGTACCGGGCCGTGCCGCCGTGCCTGCAAGGCAGTCCGTCGTCGCCGTGGTGGCTGCAGTGCTGCAGCCTGCCCTTGGCCTGCCCGGCACGTCGGCGACCAAACTTTCCTGCTTTCCTCTCCTCCCACTTATTGAGGGTGAATAATAGGCCATAAGCATCCCCGCGACCCCTCTATCAAAGACATTCCGATTGGGCGGGCCAGATTGTGCCGCCACACACTCGCCACTCACACACAGACGTGGAGAGTCGGCGTGCAAGCGCCCCCGGCCCCGGCCGCCCCCGCCCCCGCCCCCGCCCCCGCCCCGCTCTATACCAACACACATCATAAGCGGCGGGGATGCACACAATGGGGTTCGTTTGGGGCGACGCGGCGACGCGGCGACGCCTCACGTGAGTCACGGCGTCCTCGTGGTTCTTCCCTTCGAGGAGAGGCCCCTTCTCCCCCGGAGAGTCCTGCAGTAGCACCAAACCCTTTGCTGCAAACTCAGCCGGCAGAGTCCACCACAGTGTACTGTACAGTCAGTCCCCCCACGTTCCAGCCGGGGTGTGCTCGCTGTAAGCAGCGCCTCGTGTTACGCGGTCCTCTTAATTTGATTAAAATCAGTGATCAACACGAGATGGAGCACAGCGCCGAGCGACCCCTTCCCGGCCGGCCGGGGGGCGGGGGGCGCAGTGCTGTGCCGAGGCTGTGCCATGAGGCTGTGCCATGAGGCTGCGCGCTGCGCCATGCCATTCCCCGACACATCCAGACAAGCGGCTTTACCGGCGCGGACACGGACACCAATATAAACGAGCCCGAATTCCTCGAAGGTGGCGGGGCATGCCACACCGCCACACCACGGCGTGGTGGTGCTGGCTGCCTGGCGCGCTGGCGGTGGCAGGGCGGCAGCAGACTCATTCCGAGAGTCGTTTTCGTCTCTGTCTCTCTCGCACCTACACGGGGCGTCCATGAGTGCGAGAGAGACAGAGAACGACTCTGTCTACAGGGGCACGGTGGACATCGCCAGCCCGGGGCCGGGCGGGCCGGGCGGGCCGGGGAGGGGTGTGCGCCGGTGGGTGGTCGAGGAAGCTATCACGTTCAAACACGTTTGTTCCGTCACCTGTGTGAAAAGGTGTCGAACTCGACGGGGAGCAGCGGCAGCCGGCCTGGCCTCGGCCGGCGGCTCCGGACACAGAGGCCGGCAGGCCGGTCGAGTGCCAAAACTATAATAGGTGCCACGCCGCGCCAAGATTGGCATGCGGAAGCGCACTCCACGGCACAACGCACTGCCGCAGGGCCACAGGCAGGCCGCGCAGGCTGCGTCCTGCACTGCTTGTTCTTCTGCGAAGCGATCGGACGGCCATTGTTTGAGGTGTGAAATGGAACCGGCCTCCCTTTGCCTTTACGAGGTGTTGACAAGGTGCGCGGCATTAGGCGCATTACAGACCGCGCGGCCGGCGGCCAGCACACTGCTCAGGTAGGATGCACCGGGTGCATTGCCTCAGTCTGACGGTCTCTCTCGCACGCCTGCGGAACGCCCCGTGAGTGCGAGAGAGACAGAGCGACGAAAGCGCTGCTTGGCATCAGCCTGCTGGATGCACACTGCACCCCCTTCCGGCGGACGCTGCAGTGCACTGACGCCGCCAACATTCCTCGGGGAGGAGTCAAAAAATCAGGAGAACCGCGGCCGCCTATTCATTCATTGGGTCGAGGCGGCACCGCGTTGATCCTTGACGCCTTGAGGTGCAGGTCTGCAGGTGTGACTCATTTCCGGCGGCTAGTGTGGCTAGACCTTCGGACCACCTCAGACTGCAGAGCACTGCAGAGCAGCTCGGCATTCATTGCCGCCTCTCTTTGAGCCTCGGGGACGCCAAGCTCGCCGTTGTCCACCCCGCACTCTCGCAACGCGATGCTTTCGCCCAGCTGCCTCAGTTTCACTATCGTTTTCAAATTGTATTTTTTTAATCAAATTTTTGAAATAATATTTAAGACGTGGTGGTGGTTGGCAACAAAGTTGAAGCTTGGCGCTGGCGAGTCGCTGGAGTCATGCTGGAGTCGCAGACTCGATGAATCAACCCGCCGGCCTCTCCCTGCGAAGGCCAAGCAAAGGCAGCGCCCTTAGCGTGACCGTGACACAGAGGACGCGCCGGAGGGCCAGAAGACCGTCCGCCGGGCCGGGCCTGTCGCAGGGTGCTGCCGTAATCCTCACATGCCATCGCCAGGCACGGCCAAAGGCTCGGCCCAAGCCACGGCCCCCAAGGCACGGTGGCGGCGGCGACGCGCTGCGCCCTGCGCCCACACCACCAGCACCTCGTTCCGCGAATCATGTTTGCGGTGTGCTTTCGTTTCAGTCGTTTTGTAGGCATTAAATATGCAGGGAAGTTCCCCGCCACAATCCCCGATGCATTTATTTTCAAGAAGTTAGTGTCTGTGTTACAGAGTTAGATAATTTGGGGGGCTACAATGTATAGTTAAAGTTGGAATTGAAGAAGACGTCCTCGTATTTAAAAAAATGAATCTTTAATATTTTAATAAATATGACTTAAGCTAAAAGTGTCATTTTTAATTACATCACAGGGATTTCAACCTAACCTGATTGACATTGATATTTCCGTTCCTACGTGCCATTTCTCGCGGTGAGAGTCAGACTTGGTTCAAAACGGCACGCACGCGCCGAAAAAACCGACCTATTTTCTAAATTTAAAAACGATCCTACGACTAAGTATCACGATAAGCGTCACATTTGCTTTTTCACCTAACGACATTTTTAAAGAGAGTTCCAAGAACCCTCTTGGTGGCTGGATTTCGTGCATTCGGACAACGGTGGCGGGCTTGGCTGGCTTCTGGGCCTCACACGGAGCAGACGCAGTCCTCGGGCACGGAGTACGGCACCTTGATCCACGTGCACCGATACTTGCTCCTCTTCTGACGGCCGTTCATCTTGGAGATGGGCTTCTCGGGGGGCGCCGACCAAATGGCGTTGAAGCTGGTGGCCTGGGAGTGCTTCCGCAACCTGCGGGCGGCAAGGGGCGCCAGGTTAGATAAGGTAAGGTCGGGTTAGGTTAGGGTTGGATAGGTTAGGTTGGGTCAGGTTAGGTTAATTCCGACCGGAAATGGGAAGTGCGCTTACCGGCAGTGCCACCGCAGGATGTGCAGGGTCCTCGTCAGCCCGGGGACGCACTTCATGCCTGGCGGCCAGGAGCAGGACTGCGTCGACGCGGTGGCCGTGGCGTTCCGCCTCGCGCCGCCGCCCAGGTCGTCGTCGTCCTCGTCCTCGTCGTCCTCCCGGAGCACGCCGTTGACGGTCCTCCTGGCGGTCGTCATGTTCTCCTCGTCCTCGTCCCCGGTGGGCTCGACGCCGCACTCGCCGCGCCGCAGCCAGCGCGGCCAGAAGTACGGGCCCAGGTCGGCCCACACGAAGCGCACGGGGCACGCGGCGCGGCGCACGAGCCACGCCTTGACCAGCGCGCGCGCCTCGGCGGACAGCCCCGCGGGCAGGCGCAGGTCCGGCGGGGAGTCGTCGCCGTCCACCAGGTCGCGGAGGGCGCGCACCGCGGCGCGCTCCTCGGCGGGGAAGTCCTGGAAACGCGCGAAAACGTCAAACTTCAGTACTAAATTGTTGTGAGAATTTTGAAAATCAGGGAACCGTTCCTGGCGCCGGCGCCTACCTGTCCTCCAGCGGACCTTGAGACGCGCATCCAGCCGGGCTGGTAGTCGCTGCCCAGGATGCCGAGCAGCGTGTCCTCGCGGAGGTCCTTGCGGCGCGGCCGCAGCTGCGAGCGCCGGGGGTTGGCCCACATCTTGAGGGGCAGCAGCGGCCGGTCGTGGTGCAGCGGGCCGCCCACCAGGCCGGTGCCGTCCGGGAGGGTGTCCAGGCGCGCCGCCGCGCCCGCCGACACCTGCAGCAGCGTCACCAGCAGGGGCACCAGGGCCAGCATCTGCAACAGCAAGGGCCGGATGAGAAGCCCCACTCGCAGCTCGCGGAAAGAAACGAGAAAAGAGCGGCGGTTCTAATTTTCCCGCGCTCGGTCAGAAACACGGCATCGTAAATAAAAGTCAGAGGGTGTCTGCGTGGCTCTCAGGTGTGTGTGTGTGTGTGTGTGTGTGTGTGTGTGTGTGTGTGTGTGTGTGTGTGTGTGTGTGTGTGTGTGTGTGTGTGTGTGTGTGTGTGTGTGTTTGTGCTTGTACAGCGACACCTCCGCGACGGTGCGCACCACGTTCACGGTCCACCGCGTCGCCAGTTCGCCAGGCCGTGCCGTGCCGCGCCGTGCCGCCAACACCCGAGCCAACACCCTCCGCAATTTTATTCCCACCATTTTTTCCCGTCTCGCTCTCGCTTGCTCTCGCTTGCTCTCGCTTGCTCTCGCTCCAGACACGCCGCCACGCCGCGCGCCGCTCGCTCAAGCATCTCACGCTGGACGTGGCGCGGTCTTCAGTCTTCGGTCTTTGGGACGGCGGCGAGGCGAGTCAGCGAGGCGATGATACCTCGTTGCTCGCCCCTTTTTCTTTCCCTTTTTTTCGCCTTTTATTTTGTTTTATTATTTTCGCATCTTTCTGTAGACGCTTTTCTTTTTGTTGGGGCTGTACGTCTCATACGTCCTGGAAAGAACATAGCCCCCCCCCTCCCCTTTCCCTCCCTTTTCTCGATTCACGCGCGGCGTCGCGTCGCGTTGCGTTCCATGCCATCGCGCCGCCGACAGCTGGACTTGACCGGCCTTCTAAGGCGGGGCGGGGCGGGGCGGGGCGGGGCGGGGCGGGGCGGGGCGGGGCGGGGCGGGCGAGAGGGGCCAGTATAAAGGCGGCATGTCGGCCAATGCGGCGTGGCGGCGCGGCGGCGGCGTGGCAGGCGCCAGCATGAGATCTTTTTGGCGCTGGCATGCTTTGGCACCGACATACACCAGTCCGACAAGCAAACGACAAGCATCGGCCAGCCCGGAGCCCTGAGCTGCCCTGAGCCTCGCCGGCCGCGGGGCTCTGGGGCTCTGTGCGGCGGGAATGCCCCCTCACACACACGCACACACACACACACACACTCGAGTCAGACTGCCTCGACTCGTCGCTTTGTTGTCGCCGTATAACGTGTGTTCGGTGTGTGTTCCCATCCTTGTTAAATCGTGTCCCACGGCCACAAAAACACCGAACCCACGACGGCGGCGGCGTCGGCCCGTGCCCCCCCCCCCCAATCCCCCCACCAAACACACACACCTTCCCTTCCAATATCTATCTGCTGGTTATCTGCTAGAACTTCCCTCTCGTGGGACAAGGGGGAGGGCGGGGGAGACTTTGCGAACAAGCTCAAGGGGGTGATGCTGCGGGTGCGCGGCGCGGCACGGCGCGGCCGTGTTTCACAGCAGTCTGGCCCACACGACTGTCACCCAATTAAGTTGGACGTTTTCTTATTCCTCTCGTCACTGGACTTTTACGACGAGGCGGCGGGGGAAAAGCATCAGTCGGGGGAAGGGGGAAAGGGGGAGGAGGGGAGGGGCGCCGGCGCAGCATCGTCGATCTCGCGTAAAGAGATCTGCACCAACTTTTTATGTCTGCCTTTTTTCCCTTTTTTTCGTATGCGAACCTTTTTGGAAGCCGCCGTGGTGCGCGTCTCCGTCTCGCCGTTACCCCGTCACGCTGGACACCCCCGGGTCGTCGTTGGCACTTCCAAAATGCAACACCGGTTGCAATCATCGTGCGAAACGGCGCGAGACGCGCAGCGGGAATGACCAGGGCGTCACCACGGCGTCACCACGACTTTGGCGGCGTAACGCTAACGACCCTGCTGGTCCCTGGTTGGCGAGCGAGCGGCCGAGGCCGACCAATCGGCGGCGTCCCGACAGCCGCACGCCGCTCGCTGCGGTCCAATCAGGGCCGAGCCTGCGTGCCTGCCTCGGCTCGAGAGGCTCGAGATGGCGCGGCCCGAGAGCGGGGCGTTTGGCGTTTGCGAGCTAAGCCGGGCGCCAGCAAGAATGCCAAGTTCGCGGACGAGACAATAGCGGCCGGAAGCTGCATTCGATGCGGCTTGACCGGGTCGGCCGGGTCGGCTATGCCGGGACCGACGGGACCGACGGGACGGACGCCGCGCCGGGGAGCCTCAGTCTCCAGCCTCCACCCAGCCGTCGCGGCCGTCGCCCATTTATTGACCACGAGTGGCATTGTTGTGAGGTAGGCGCATACCAGCGGTCCGCCGGCCCGGGGCTCCACGGGGCTCCAGCGGGCACCCCGACGGACCCGGCGGCACCCCGACGGCACCCCGGCGGCACCCCGACGGACGCCGCTACGCCGCCCAGCCCAATCATCGGCAGTTCGTCCCGATGTCCCAAGGATGTCGCCGCCCGCCCGGCTCAAGAAGGGCTCAACTCGGAAAGCGCCGCAGAGACGGTGGTCATGGCCATGGTCAGTGACGGAGCGTCCCCGAGGTCCCCGAGGCCCCCGTGGTCCCCGTGGTCGGTGGTGGCGAGGCGCCTCGGATTGTTTTGGTTTCGTCGGGGCCTAATCTCGTTACTTCATCTCCGTCCGGCCGGCCCGCCAGCCTGATGGCGTCCGAGTCAAGCAAACTCCAGGATCGTTTCTTAGTCTGTCTCCGTGGCGCGGCGTGGCGTGGCGCGGCGCCCTGACGGCCACCCTTGCTCACTGTGGACACACACACACACACACACACACACACATCTCGTTAATCACCTGTGTCGTGCGTGGCGCCAGCTCTGTGCTGACCTCCCCCCTCCCCCCCCTCTTTTCCAACCTCAAGAGAAGAAAATCAAACTTAAAAAAAGTACATATATTTTGAAAAATGGCGACAAGCGGACCCACACGGAAAGCCAGAGACAAAAGGGACGAAGGAAAACGGAAGACTCAGGGATGACTTCATAACAGAGAGGCATGCCTCCGGGGAAACGATGAGTCCGCGGTGAGTCAGGCTTAAAAAATGAAGTTCCTTTATGAATATTTTTTTGCACGACAGTGTGCGTTTCCGGCCCGCTATAAATTCACCCTGACGCCTCCCCGTCGAAAATCTTTTAATCCGTCATAAACGCTCGGAACTGGCGAGAAACTTTCAACTTTTTAAGCGCCCTCTAATTTATGGAAACTCAATAAAATAGCGTGCATGTTTTCAATTCATTGATGGTAATGGGGACTGCGCAGAAATTTTGATACTTAGAATTTTTTAAGCACTAGCTGAAAACGTGCAAAATAGACCGGGAAATTTTCCCCACGTTACTTTTTCCCCTTCCCCCGCCTCCTCTCCTTTCTGAAATTTATGCCCCCCACAGCGTTTGCCACAAATCTCGCGTCAATGGGTGCTTGTCATACTTCGTGGCCTCGGTGCGGAAGAAAGCAAAAGAAGAAAAGGGGGAAAGGGGGGGGGGTATCGGCGCTCCCCAGGAAGAGCGCGGGTCTTGTGCAGGATGGCTTCATCGGTCTCAACCCAACTTCACGCGAGAGCCACCAACTGCCGCCAACTTTGAACGGCTTCGACGCGAAGGACTGCAGCGCCGCGTTGTAGAACACGCACCTTTGAATGTACGACAGGACAGAATCAGTAGCGAAGTAAGCGCGTCTTATCTTGTCTCGCTTTTTTAGAACTTGTCCCGACCTGTCCCCCGGCCGTCCGAGTGTCCGACCCGGCCGGCCGTTCGTTGTAAAGCAATTTAGTATAACACCTAGGTCACACCTCGGCGAGGGAGGGGGTGGGGGAGGGGACGTCGCCAGGGATTACTGCGCCACCAACAAAGACTCCAGCGGACAGTCGCCCATAAATTCATCCCCATTACCGGGCGAGCACCGGCAGGCGGCAGGCTGGCGCTGTCTCTCTCGCACTCGAGGGCCATCCCGTAGGGGCGCGAGAGAGACAGATCTCCGTTCGGTACCGCGCAACTGCCGAGGCCCTGTCGCACTGCCATACATTTGGCATTTGGCACTACGTACTTGTACCTGGAGAGCACCCAGCCACAGCCAACCCAGCCCGCCGCGCCGTGCCGTGCGCTGTGGTGCCCTACTTCGCGGCGGCGCGGTGCGGCGCGGCCGCGGACGAGCGATAACTCGCCAGCAACACTTTGTGTTACAAAGCGGCCCCTTTAAATTATTCCCAACAGGCTGTGCATACGCACACGCATTTGAGAATTCAGTGTGTGTGTGCGTGTGCGGGCCCAATGTGTGGGAGGTGGCGATCATCCCTGTGGGGGGTACGACTGCTACGGCGAGCAGCCGGCCCGCTCGGGCCCGCTCGGGCAAGCCGGCAGGCTGTCTGAAGCGCGCAGTGCCCGGTACCCACCGAGGTACCCACTGTGTACGCCTGTACGCCTGTACGGGTACCGGTTTGTCAGTGAGAATTATGTCTGCCTTTATTTTGTGCGGCTGTTTTGTCCGTGCTGCCGCGCTGTCTGTGTGTGATCTGCGGCGATAGGAGCTGGAAGGCGAGGGAGAGGAGAGAGAGAGAGAGGGGGGGGGGCAAGTTGGGTGAATTTAACGCGAACGCAGGCGGTTACCAGCGGGCCGTGACTCCATGACCGCAGGGCGTTGTTGTTGCGCCTAGCTGCGTCTAGTCGCAGTGTCACGGTGCCACTCTTCCAACGGAAATTGCCCGGAAAGCCAGCCACAACATGCACCCTTCAAGCGGGCGCACACAGAGCTACACACACACACACACACACACACACACACACATCTCTTGAACTATCCGTTGATGCTGATCTAACACCGGCAGCATGTTGACTCACCCTCCTCCAAGAACTCACGCACGAAACCACCCCTTAAGCGCGCGCACACACACACACACACGACGCGCGGGGCCCCATGACTATAGAAAGGCTCGAATGACTCAAATCCGGCGGGGGTGCTTCCTGTCACGCGCAGGCCCACGGCCCTCCCTCGCCCCGTTGCCGTGTCCCCGTCAGGTTGCACTTACTAGTTGCACTGGGTCGCACTCACCGCTTGCAGCAAGCTTGCAGTAGATCGTAGACCGGCGTAGACCTAGTGGCACCTCCTCGTCTGTCTCGTCTCGGTGGTCGTCTCGTCTCGCCCCCTTCCTCCCTTCCAGGCAGACGGCTTGGCTCTGAGAGGACCGGCGTGAAGGCGGCGGGGCGGCGCAGGGTACCGGCCTGAGGGAGGGGGCTGGGCGGGGAGGCGGGGCGGGGAGGGTAGGTGCGGGAGGGCAGCGGGAAGCAAGGTGGGGACGGACAGGTCAGGACCGGGAGGACGATGGACGATGGACCGGGCAGGGCACCTGAGGACCTCAGCTGAGCAGATCCGTACTCCGTGGGAGGGAAGGGCGGGCGCAGGGCATTACCGCGTGGCCCTAGGCCGTTAGCCCCCAAAGTCCCGGATGGATCTAGGGTGTATCATAGTGACCCCCTTCCCATACAGGGTCACTAGTGTATCTGACCACTACGCCCTAGGGCAACGGTTCTCGACCTCTTCCAGCAAGCCACCCAAAAATGACAGCTGCAAATTATTGCGACCCCCACCCCCACTCAAAATCATTCAAAATATTCAAAATGGTATTTTTTTTTAAATTGTAGGTCATGCCACAATGGGAGTGGTGCTTTCCGTTTGAGGTGACGGATTACAGAGCAGGTGAAATGAATAAAAATGGTGAAATACTGGTTTGAAATTGCTGAATTGATCTTTATTTTCAACCAAATATTAGACATGTCTGAATGAGAGGATATAATTGAGGCTATTTTTACATGACAGGTAGCACTGTTCTAGGTCTAGCAAAGACGAAACATACAGCATACACTTGATTTAGACATCACCCAATAACATACATAACAGAAATGAAGTAAATACAGTCAGTTCCCATGATCTTCCATAAACAATAATGATATGAAGTTTTGGTTCTAGCATAAATACTTGCATTCTATGGTCCTTTCAAGCAAACACATCAGGACTCTAAATTAAGAACAATGAAATAGAAAAAACAAATTAAACTGGTTGAATCACAGGACATTTAAATGACAAAACATATACAGAACCTAATTAACACCCACAATTGAAGGCAAACATCACACAATGTCAAAAAGCTGGGTTAGTTGGACAATGCTTTCATTATGGAGTGGACTTAATAACATTTAATGGACAGAAATATAGAAAACTTTCACAACTTGTTGAATATTTCACCTACATATAAATAACTTGATGGATGCTCTGTAGAAACACCACAAACAGTATTTACAATGGTTTAACATTTGCTACAGTACATATATACAATTTAAGAAGGTATGCTCTCTTAGAGGTCAACAGGATGAAATTTCCAGTCAATAACAACAGTACAAAGAAATATAACTTATCACCAACAAAAGAGCCACATATTTATTTGGCGATGACTAAGAATGACTTGACACCATCTACTTCTGCACAATACTCAAATATTTACAATTATTACATTATCTATGTATTAGACATCTAATGTTATATGATTTTGGATGCCCTTTAAAGGCCTGCAATCATAGCAGTCCAAAATCAATCCAGTCACAAGGGAAAAACACACAGATCAAGTTCACCAATAAAACAAAAACTATTATGCATGCACCACATAAGAAATATATTATGAAAGCAATTTTTTAAATAAAAAGAACAAAATCAATTTTGAATCATAACCACACCATTTCAATTAGGCTTAAAACTTAAGTTCTGAATAAAAGCTTTTTATAGGTACACAACTTATTTAACTTTATGTCTTTGTGTAAAAAAAGAGTAACAAGTGGAGAGCTACTAAACACTATTACAGTGACACTTTAATTTTGCATTTTCAATCATAAAGAATTCTTTGGAGTAACTAATTAGTTTGAACAGTTTAATAAATTACAACAATAAATGCAAATCATTTTAAAAAGAAGTTATCACTCAAATATCACTGTCTGGTTCTGAACAACAATTACTCACAGAACATAAAGACAATATTCCTGCCACCTAGTGGACAGGAATCTGTGAACTAACAGAGAAATGCAACTATATTTATAATTCAACTGATTAACAAGTCTGGGCATGGAGAAAGCTGCCACAACAAGGAGATCTACTCACAAACCTTTGAGACAAGTTTCTCCATTTCCATGTCTGTGTCCGCATCGCTTGGTTCGAAGGGCTCAGACGGTTCAGAGGGTCCAGCTGGAATTGAAGCTGAGGGTCCTATCAGTGGCACAATCGGTACATTGGCGGTGCTAGATGATGTTGCTCCTGATGAAGTTGAGTTGACAGATATTGGCTCATCTTCAGCATCCGTCTGTTCTACTAAATCTTCCTGCCCAGGGGGTGGCTTAAGTTTGTTCAATTCCTCTCTCAGCTGTTCAAGGTGTCGCTGGAGTTCAAAGCATAATATTAAAATTTTGATAAGATAAGAGATATGTAGTCAAATATAGTTTCAAATTTTGATTGATACTAACCTTTAGAGCAATTGTATTGAGAGAAATGGTGCGTCCATTGCGTCGGTCACTCCCTTGGCCTTCCATTTCAGCAATCCATCCTTCAATCTGCTTGATCACTTCACGTCTCTTAAACCAGAAGTGCGTATGTATCACCTAAAAAACAGAAGGTTTACAAATAATTGAAATCTGCATCATGAATCAACAACATTGCCAAGAGTATCATTGAATTTGAATTGATACCTCTTTGAAGCATGGGCAAGGATTCCGAACTTGTTCTAGCATAGCCCATTTGACAGAAGCAGTGCAAATATTTGCATTATACTCTCGTGAACTCTGATTACCAGAGGGTGTTCCCCGAGACCTTTCATATCCAGGCTCATTGAAATATGGCTCAGGTACAAGAATTAATGATTGAATAGAAACTAACACCTGCAACAAAATGGAGCCATGAGATAAACTTTGAATAATAATAAATATAAAAAAATGGACTTTAATGAAAAATTATCAATTTGTCACAGTACCTGCAAGAAGCTTGAGGTTTGAGCATTCCACTTTTCTTCAGGACGGCCATGCCAAGTATTCAGTACACTTAAGCAAACTTTGCCATCATTGTAGAGATTTGGGTTGAAACGAATGGTGTGGTGGCCAGTTGTCTCCATATTGATGAGCATTGGTGAATTTGGGTAGTCAGGAGGGAAGTATACATCAAACTCAAAGCAGCCATTAGCATATGGTGTATCAGCTGGTCCAGTGATCAATACCTAACAATCAAAGAATCGAGTTAAAAAAGGAGTTTCATAATCAACAGAACATAAATGAAAACTGACAAAATAAATTACCTTCATAATATCAAGTCTATCGGAATCACATCTAACATAAACTGAGCTACTGTATGAGAGGGGAAGTGACGTGGACAGGGTCACAGTTTCTTGAGCTAATCGTTTCACACGAGCCGGATGACAGCGGTCACCAGCAGATCTCAAATTTGATTCAAAGTGGTAAGACACAGCAAATTGGTATCCACCAGTTTCAGTATTTTCAGTGACCATTTCGAACGTATCAAACTGAAGCTTCTGCATCACTTCTAGGTACCGTTCCTCGAGGCTCCGTTTCATTGGATATTCCATCACACATGAGCCTGCAGATGTAGGACTGCGGCTGGAGGTTTCTGGATCCTCATCTGGGACCAGACGGTCAGTGGCAATCTGCAGTCATCAGAAAGGCGGGAGAAAAGTTTAAGTAGTGTTGACCACAAAGCAGGAAAGAGATCCCATCCAAGAACAAGGTACAGACCGTCACCATGCTGGCAGTGTGCCGGATGTCCGCGATGAGCTGAGCCAGGCCTTCGTCCTGCTCCCAGTCCTCCGCGAACTTGCTCGACATCCTGGACGTCGAGGCCCCGGCGCTGCCGGCGCTGGCACCGCTGCCCGCGCTACCACCACTGCCGCCACTCTTGCGGCCGGTGCCGGCGCCCTTGGACCGGTTGAGCCGCAGCCGAGACGCGTAGGTGTCCACGCAGCTCTTCATCTTGTTGAGCAGGCACGTGGCGGACAGCGCGTCCCCGCTGGGGCTCCTGCTGGAGTTGGCGTTCCTGGCCGGCCGGTCCTGCCGCTCCAGGCGGCGCCGGTCCGACGGCAGCAGCAGCGCGGCGAGCTGGGGGCTCACGGCCAGGGACCGCAGCACCTGCAGCACGGCCCGGTACAGCGGGATGTGTCGCGCCATGTCGAGCACTGCAACACACCGTTGGGGGACGTTACGTTCACGCTTTGCCACCACCGCACGCTGGAAATGACCCTCCCCACTCACCTGAGTCGTTCCTGAGGTAGGAGCAGACGGCGGGCAGCAGGCACGACTTCTGCAGCAGCTGCGGCAGCTGCGGCGGCAGGCCGAGGTGCGGCATCCTGCTGGCCGCGGCGTCGTGGCTGTCCGAGTCCGAGTCGCTGAGCGGCTCGTGGAAGCGCTGCGGGATCACGTCGCGCGGGTTGAGGAAGCTGGACGTGGCCTGCAGCAGCACCGTCACGTGCTCCTCCTCGCTGCGCTGCCGCATCAGCGCCTGCTCCACGTTCCAGCACTGCGCCGTGCTGCCCGTGCCGAAGCCCGTGCCCTTGGCCCAGTACAGCTGCGACTTGTCGTCCACCTTGGACGTCGTCTTGCTCTCCTTGCCGGAGCCGGGCCCCGCGGTGGACGCCTTGGTGGCGGCGATCACCAGCTCGTGCTGCACGCCGGGCAGGTGGATGTCCTGCGCCTGGTGCGTGAACACGGACAGGCAGGCCAGCAGCAGGTGGATGGCGCCCGTGTCCATGGCGGTGCGGCGCAGCAGCTCGCCGTCGTCCGTGTGCAGCGCCGCGCCGTCCAGCAGCTGCCGCAGGATGTTGAAGGGCAGCGTGGGCAGCGACGTGGCCAGCGGCAGGCCCAGGATGTCGGCGCCCTCGCCGTCGTCGCTCACACCCAGCGCCAGGCGCAGCAAGCACTGGGCCTTCTTGGGGTCGCGCAGCAGGATCTCGGCGTAGCCCGGCAAGCGCAGGAACAGGCCGAAGGCCGCCAGGGAGTGCGGCGGCACCGAGGTGGGCACCAGGCTGGTGCTCGGCGCCCGCTGCCCGGAAGGCCCCGAAGAGGACCCCACCAGCAGCGACGAGTCATCCAGTTCCTGAAACACAGCAGACTCGTTATTTCCAGTGTAATAAATATTAGCAGTTGATTTTTGAAGGGAGTTAGTTTCCCGTGGCCGAACTTTAATGGGTGAACCCTTTCTAGTGGAGTTGACCCCCTTCCTCTTTGAAGAAACCAAAGCAAGCGTGAGCCTACACCATTAGACGATACTCGCCTCGTAGAGGTCGATGTGCGTGCCGTCCACCTTGACCCAGTCGGCGTCCATGGCGTCGGGCGAGGACGCCGTCGGGGCGGGCTTGTCCTGCGTGCTGTACCGCAGGGTCTCGGGGTACACCAGTGGCAAGTGTTCGGCGAGCAAAGCCAGGCCGCCGTGTCTGGCGAACACCTCCAGGGGCGTGGGGAAAGTCACCACAGTGTGGAGGGGACTGCTGGCAGGGTGTTCTGGAACGGTGCAAATCATCATTGAAACGGTTGACTCTTCGCCTCAGTAACCACTGGAGAGAATAGCAGCGAGGAAAATATCTTACCCTTGGGTAGGGATGGACTTTGTTTCACTGTCACTTCAAAACTTGCAGAACACAAGGAGGCACCTCTCTCATGGAGAGCCATCAACACCTGGCCAAGAGTTGTACAACCAGGAAGTGGAGCACCTACTTGTATCTGAGACTGTTCAAGCCAGCGCTCTGGAGCAAGTCCCAGGCTGGCAGACAATGAGTTGCCACCACTTGAATCTGTAAAAGTTAAATATAATTGTTAGAATTGCTATCATAAAGAAACAGAAATAATAACAAATATATTAGAACAGTCCACTGATTCCATACCACTAATTCTTGTCTTCTTGGCATATGGACCTCGAGTAGCAGCATTTTTCGCCTCTTTGGAGCGTTTGTCTTTAGCTGTCAATCCAGCAGCAAAGAGAGGATCGGCAAAACAGAGATACTCAATGTCCTTAAAATGTCGCATGCCAGCCTTTGTTGCTGCACTGCTAGGTCCTGCGGCAGTGCCGCTCACGTCTGAGGGCAATCTTTCTCCCAACAATGGGCCCAAGGTGTCATTCCCTAAAAGAAAAAAAAAAAAAAACTTTGAACTGATGGCACTGGTTTCAACTAAGGAAAGTTATTTTGTGCAAGTTTGTATACACACCAACAACTAGTTTAACGAGTTCAGCACATGTTGTGTAGTGACTGATGATGACAACCTGACTGCGGTGACCAACACCATGACTAGGGTGACGTAATCCAACAGCATTGCCCACTCCATCGGGACGTTGCAATGGCACTTCTGAATTGACTAATACACGAATCTTTTCACTTTCAAGAAGAAGCTGAAGAACCAACCGTCGAGCAAAACCTGATATGCCATGTAGAAATGATACATCTGAAAAATTGAGAAACAAATATTTGAATTAAAGTCTACATAGACAGAGGGCATTTTTCTCTTCATAAAGCAACAAATTTCTTGCTTACTATGCTGACGAGCTTCTTGTTGACTAATAACATCGCAAAGGACCCTGGCAAGTTGCTCTTGATTTTCAGGGTGGAGACTAGAAACACGGCTGAGGAACTGAATTGTAGCTGTTTCCAACTCTCCAAATGCTTGGCTTTGAGGTTGCAGGCCACTAGTTTGTTTTGAGCTTCGGTAACAAAGGAGTCTCAACAATGGCAGCCAGAAAACTGACCCCTCAGAAGACCCAAACCAATTTCTAAGCTGGCCTTCATAGCAAAGTTCAGCAAATAGTTTCAATATGCTTGCCATCGTAGTAACTGAGAAAAGGCTGTGGTCCTCATCATAATCACTGAGAACTTTGTCCGCATCAGTGAGAATGGATGAGTGAGCTCCAAGCAAATTTTCTTGCTCTTGATCTTGTTCATAGAAGCAGAACTCAAGAAGGCTGGTGGACAGGAAGCTAAGCAATCCTGACTCAAGCAAATGCTTCACAGCTGGAGGGGACTGAGACACCATTGCTATGGTCATAAGCTGACCTTCTGATAATTGAGTACTACTAGACCAAGCATCGAGCTGTTTACGATCATCAGTCATTGCTCCTTGGTCCTCATCCATAGTCTGAGTGTCTTGATTGACGTTGTTGCCAGGTGCAACAGCACCTATGGTCCTCAGTAAGGCAGGGAATAAATCTGGCTGAATGTAACACATCGAGCACAGCACAGCATCAAGTGCAGACTTCACTCCGCTTTTGACAGGGAGGAGGAGAGTCCAATGATATATGTTGTTAAATAACTGTGGTGGGAACAAGGCAGAGAGGTCATAACCCGCACCACAAGAATGCAAACGCCACAACACAGCTGCAACACTGTGAATGCAAGCGGCACTAGCAGGAATGTCGCTTGTACAGCATGACACATTCTTCGATGAGCCTGGGGGAGGTTCAAGAGCTGCAGAGGCAGTTTCTTGGAGCCATGACAACATAGTCTCTACTCGAGCAGTTGAGTGTTCATCTTGTTCTGTCCCCAGAAGAAACAGTAGGTCAACTACAGAATCTGCACCCATGGGAGGTGACATACTCAACTGAGAATGCAGTGATGAGCGTAACAAATCCTGCAATTTAAAAAAATTAGTGGTTAGCCGCAAGATGATAAACACAGACAAGCAAATAATAAAATTTGTCCAGTCAGTTTGCGAAAAATTACCTGCATAAGCTTCAATCCAAGTTCTCGGGAATGTAGTCCCAAACGCAGTAAAACATGTTCCAGCGCTGTTGTCAGTAGAGGGGGTGCTGGTGCAGGGATTAGTAACAGTCCAGCACAAGCGTCTAACAATCCTGTAAGTCCGGCAGCTGATGCAACAACAGACTCCTGGAGGTCACTGATCTTTTTGGCAACTACCAGGCAGTGATGCAGCAGCCTTAGCCAGCCCAAACTGAAAAAAGAGACATGATAAGTTGATAATTTGCAAATACACTGGACAACCACAATCACCTAAGAAAGAATCAAACCTTGTTTTAGTGAGATGCTCCTCCTCTGGTACATCCCAATTTTGGGTTCGGTAGGCAGTCTCTCCAAAAGTAGTAGAACCAAGGAGACGGACTTGAGACAACCCAATGCTGGCCGAGTCGTGAGGGCGGTAGAGCCGAAGCAAAACACTTGTAACAACTTCAGGACGGTCAAGGGTCAAGCGCACAAAAGTCATTCCACTGGTTGGTAAGGGGGAGCATAATGGCACAAGTGGTGAGGTTCCATCCTTGGAGACTTCAAGGCCTACAGCAGATGGACATGCTGAAAAGACAAGACAAAATATTTACAATATGTTGAAATAAAGTAAAGATAAAATGCCGATTATTCAGAAATATTTTTTGGTTCACTTACTGGCAAGAGATGTTAGGTGCGGTTGAAGTTGGATTTCTTTCAACAACACAGCACACGGAAGCTTGAGAGTCAGGTCCATATACAACTCATCTGGATAGAAGTGGTATGACCATGCTGGTGTTCTTGCCCTTCTATGAGACGGAAATGACTGAATGAGAACATCAGCTGGTTGAGCAGTGGCACTGCTTGAACTGATAGTTCCAAGAGGTGCAAAATTTTGCAAGCCTTCAAAAGACTCATGAGGGGATGGAACCTTCTTGCTGACATTTGGTTGAGGTGGAGCTACTCTACTGAGGTGTTGCATTACCACAGACACCAGACTAGGATGAGAGCTTATGAGTTTTTGGCTGCAATGCAAGAGGTTCTCGCAAATAACCTGAAAAATAATTTTAACATGGTAATTTTCTGGGAACATTTTACAATATTTAGTCTAGATGCATGGAAAAATTCATCCACTGTTATACTAATTTTTTAACAAAGCATCACATGTTTACCTTGGTGCCTCCCATGTTATTGAAGATCTTCAAATTCTCTGGGGAATCTAGAGCTTTCATAATAAACCACAGTAACGGTTCTGATAGTTGCATGATTCCTGATGATTGGCCATGAACTGCAGTAGACCCATCCCGAACTAGAAAAGTTAAAAATGAAACATAATGACTTATGGGAGTTCAACAAAAATGTAACAAAATCAGAACAAGCATCTTAAAATTGCCCTTACCAGATATGAGGAAATCATGAATTGGACGTAAAAGAAGAGTAGGTTGGGAAACTTTTTTGCAAAGAAGATATAACAGATGGAATATGCCATCGCCAACAGATATGGGTTCTCCAGACAGTGCAGTTGACAGGGCCCTGGGTTCGTTTGCATCCCTCTCTCCACTTGTTCCAAGAAGAACTGCCAGGGGCGATCCCACACAGCCTGCTAACGCACTGAGCAGGCGTGCCATTGTAAGTTGATGTTGAAGCACTGTTGACAAAAAGTAAACCATGAGCCATAGCCCAGCCGATTTGTTCTAAAATTAAATTGGAGATGTTTCTTACAGGTGTCAGCAATGCATGGAACTCTAGGAGGGGTCTGAGGAGCAGCACTTGCACTTCCCATGGTTTTGGCTTTGTGTTCATCTGTTTGGCACATGTCAGCTGGGGAGCTGCCTGAAGAGGCTGTGTCCATACTCTCAGCTGAAGCACCATCAGTCTTCTTTTTTCAAGTTAGAATTTTAAAAAAAGAAAAATAGAGTTAGAAATTGTTAAAATCAACCTTAAATTCCAACTTTTAATACAAAGATAAAAGAAAAAGTTACCAATGGGCTCTGAACAATGCTGCAGGCAAGTTTCAACACAGAACAGAGAATATTATCCCATGTTGATCCCTTCACAGATTTTGCTTCTGCACCGATAACATGTGACAAAAGGCCACCAAAGCACATTGAGGAACTCTGATTGGTTTCAGTGACACTACGGCGGCGGACTTTTTCAGAAGTCATGATAAATGTATGGACGAGAATTCCTGTTGGACAAAAAGAAATACAAATAACAAAATTAAAAGATCAGACAAAATTAGAATCCAGCATACAGCATTTCAAAATTGATTTACTTACCAACAGACTCTAGATAACTCATAGTCACATTTGCATTAATACCACTGATGTGAAAGTTAAAGCCTAGCAGCAGATTGAAAAAGGCAAATTGTGCATCTAGTGGTCCTCGTCGTCCTGAGATAGCACCTCCAGGCATTATTAATTGATTTGCTAGTTCCAACAATTGGTTGGACATCCATTTAGATGTTCTGCGGGCCGGATGAGCATCTGTGCGGACCATTAGTCTGACCAAAAGGTCTCTCATTGCCCCACAAACAGTCGGTCCAACCTGTAATCAGAAGTCCAATAAAAATAATGAATGAAAAGACCAGCAACACCAAAATAACATTCAAAGGATAATTTAAAAAATCATCAGATACCCACATCAGTGTTTTGAGAGCTCAATCCAGAGCCAGCTAAAAACCTCAGGAGAACAGGTCCAAACTGAGGATCATTTGATATTATGTGAGTCATGCCTTGTGAAGCTCTTGGCCCCCACCGGGCCACTGCATCACTACACGATGTGTTTGAAACTTGAGTCAAGCATTGGAAAGCCAGACACCATGTTCGCACAGACATCTCTGGTTGGCTGCAATAATTGTTTTAAATTAAGAAACACAAGTAAAAACACAGCTAATGAGAAAATTATGAATTAATTGATGTAGGCTTATGAATTTACCACATGAGGGCGGACAGTAAACTAGATATAGCTTCTGGGCTGAGTCCAATAGTAGGACATGAAGATGGATCAAAATGATGAACACCAGAATCAAAGCTTGATTCAGAATTTAAGGTTAACCACAGCTGAAAGACTTGTTCAAGGCTTGTCCATGATCCCTGTGGAAATTAACATGATACTTTCAGTACACACAAATAAAAAAGGTTTAATAGTACAAACACAAAACCAACATAGAACAAACCTGAAGTTGCAGTTCACAGAATATCTTGTCAAAACATGCAATAAGCATGTTGTGACTTGACTCCGGTTCGTTTTCAGGTTGAGGCCAAGCTGTTGGTGCTGCTGGTGGTTTCTCTCCTTCGGGAATCGAGGGGAAAACAGTGTTCACACTGTGTGGAAGATTGTAAGCTCCAAGCATCGTCAACCGCCTTATATGAACCTCAGCATGACAGTCAACTGCAAAATCAAGTCTAGCATCCATAGCGGTGGAAATGCTAGTAAAAAAAAATTCAAGGCATATTAATTACTTTTAAAAAAATTATATAAAGAAGAATGTATAATGTGAGATTCATAAAGAGAAAAATACCATCCAACTTTGGAAGAGGCAACCATGGAGGTTCGAGAACTGCTTCCCTTCCTCAACATGCTACGTCCTTGCTCCAGGATGTCATCTAGGAAATCATCAAGCTCGCTGTCATCAGATTCTAAGGCCACCATGCCATTTCCTTTTCCAGCTCCTGAAGTTCCTGAAGAAGACACAATCTCCAGTTAATTTCTCTCTTCACCAATATTTTTACCTGCAATGTCTGAAATCTAAAACCAACCTGGTTGAGAAACAGCTGCATCTGGACAATCCTCTGCAACCATTTCTTCGGTTCCTACCAAAGACTGACCACTATCTGCAATGTAGTCCAACAGTTCAGCAAAGGAACTAGAGCCAGCAACTGCATTGGCCCAGGAGGATGTAGGCTTGGCTTTCATGGGGAAGGCATTCTTAGGTGGTGGTGCTGGGAAGGGTGGAATGGTGGGATGTTCAATCATCTCAATGACAGTATCATCTTCATCATTGACAGCCGATGTACTAGCCACGGATGGACCAGGAGGAGGTGACGGCAGGTCGGCAGTTGAAGTAGATGGAGACGGTGGAACAGCAGGTACTGCCACAGTTCCTAATCCACCTAATACAAAAAGTTTTTTCATTGGAAATAGGAGATTTTAAACCGAATACATACAAGAAAGGCTAAAACTTAAACTCACTTGAGTGTCCTCTTAATTTTTCATACAAGGTCTTTTGGGTATTAGACGTGGAAGGGCGGCTGTCATTTGCATCATCCGCTGGGCTGCTTTCTCTGCTCAAAAGCACTGAAGTGGAACGCACTCCATCAAGAATGTCTTGTAGAAGACATGTAATTGCATGGGCAGCCCATGGACCTCCCCAAGATGACTGATGGGGATCTTGCCAAACACCCATTCGGATAAGTTTGAGCAGCTGGTCATTGGTCATCAAATCACTCAGAGGTAAAGCAGGCTTGGAGCACCACACAATCCTTGCCAATACTTTACATGCCAATAGGAACATGTCAATGTTGCAAGTAAAGTCCATGTGAAGAATCAAAGCAACTAATCCACGAGCAACTTGCAAGCATTGGGCCTGTGGTAGTGACAGTGACATGGCACTCTCCCTGTAATCAGAGTTGCAATCCGGTTCTCCAACACAGCTAGTGCTAGCCAAGTTTCGTCGGGTTACACCAGCCCAACCACGTTTACTTCCATCAACAACTCGCAACCCCGAAGTATCTTTCATGTGCTGCAGAGGGGCAAAAGAAAATACAGGAGATGAGCACCAATGAAATAAATGGTTTAATGAAAATTGATGCATGGACCTGATGAACTTACACTTGTTGGGTGCTTAAAAACTTTCTTAAGGTATACTTCTTGGGGCTTTAGCTTCGGCTGAAATAAAAATGGAAAGAAAGTTAAAATATGTTAAAAGTTCTTAAAAGAGAAAAGAAAAAAAATCTTATTTTACTACGAGATACAATATTACACTATGGGTAAAATATTACCTTTGATGTGAATGTTTCATGAAACTTGACATCAGACATGTCATAAGTAGAAAACTGCTGCTTTTTATAAGCATCAAGGGCATCAGACATGGCACCATATTGCTGCTTAACAAGAATGCGCTTTGTGCGTAGAATGTTAGCCCTGCTTCGGCTTCCTCCAGCTGCCACTTTCCTTTGCATGGCAACCTCTCCTTGGATAAAATCCCAACGGTTTTGTTGACCTGGAATGTGTTGAATAAAAGGGTCACATAAAAATGTCATAAATTAAATTAAGGTAAGTCAGATTACATGAGTACTACACATTTAAAAGAGAAAACACTTGCCTTGATCCTTGTTAACAGACTTATCAGAATTTTCATCGTCCCGAGAGACAGACCCAATGTCTAAACACTGTGATACAAAGAGAAGAGCCCAGCCTACTAGGGAAATATCAGTATTTGAGCGCAGAGGCTGATTTTCATTTCCAGAACATAGTGGTCCCAATAGATTGCCCAACATTCCCAAGACTGCCTCCATGACAGGCAATCTTGCTGACGGTAAGGTTAAAGATTTGCGTCCTAAATAAGCCAATATTATAAAGACCCTGAAAAATAAAGATCATGACTCAATTGATAACAATTTAAAAGGAAGTAAGCAAAAATTAAGCGGCACAGAAAAAAAAGACTGTGCTTTTAGATACATTATATTCATCAGAAGTTCTTACCTGTCTTGAGGAAAAACAGCACTATTATTTGAGCTGAACAAATTTGCCACAGTTTCAGCAAGGAATTGTCCCCACCAAGGCTGTGATCCACATAATCTCACTAACAATGTAGCAGAGGCAAGCTGCATTCGAGTGTCTTGTCCAACACATAGCCAATAAAATAGATTTTCACACACAGAACGATCCAAGCAAGATAATTCGGGAGATGAGAATGTATACTGAAAATGATTATAGATCCAAGAAAGATACTAAGTTAATAAAACTGCATTGAGGAAAAAAAAAAGAATCCAAATAAGCAGAAAGACTTACCAAAGGTAGAGATCCCAGATATAACAACACATCTAACAGACCTTCACCAAGTACCCTCAATTTGTCTGTTGATGCTTTAACAAAATACTGGTGGCAATTGCTATCCTGAGAAAGTCGTTCTCTGCCAGGATTACAGGCTGTCTCAAGACGAGACATCACACTACGCACTACATTCAATTGATGTTGGAATGTAATACACTCCTGATGACCCAAGAAATCAACCATGATTAGAAAGATTGGAGAGAAAACAGCAAGAGAAAGACAGTTCACAATATGGGACAAACCTGGTATGCCGAAAAAACTTTCTGATTAGAAGTGTCAAGGTTGAAATTCATTTGACGATCCATATCACGTGCTCTCTGAAGATAGCAATACATGTGTGCAGCATTTGGGGTCTCTGACTGCAGCAGGGGTGACAAAAGTTCCCTCAGTCGAGAGCAGGCCAAAGCATACCTACAATGGATGTCTTCTAACAAAGACCCAAGGACACTTATTTGAGCCTGTTTGGAAAAAAGTCAGGTGAAATTAAGTTCCACTTTTAGGAATAATGTTTAACATCACTAAAATGAAAATGATAATTATCTTACCTGTAAATTTGATTCTGACAATAGTGGAATTTGAGAACTACTGGGGCCACTTTCGCCAGGTAAAATCATAGTGTGTCCGAAAAAGGATCCAATAGGGATCTTGCACTTAGTGGTTGTCATGCCATAACGACCAATTGTGGTTATCTGTAACAATAGTAACATAATAATTTTAACAAATCACTTAAGAAATTCAATTTGAAGTTGCTAAGACCCCACCAATGCATAAACTTATGAACTATCAGGGAAACACTCTCTCTCTACTCTAGGTGAGACAACAGATGTAGCATACAGTGCAAGAAGCATTGGTCACCATACTCACTTTTAAATAACGACATATGGGAGGGGGTTGGAGGTCACTCAGTACTAATGCTTTTGTTGCAATATCAGATGCAACTACAAGCCTCTGGCCATCCTGCTCCTCACTACAAAGCCACACATCCACAGACAGTAAGACTAAATCACAACAGGCTGGCACTATCATGTCAGTAAGCATGACAGGGGAACCAAAGTCCAGAACGACAAATCGCCGGGCACCTGAGTGCATACGTTCAATAACTACTGTCTGCTGCGGTGGCGGAACCAGAAGTTGCTGCCATGGAACATTCAGTGTAGACAAATCTTCAGTCTGAAAAGAAAAACCGACCAGGAATCATTCTGAATGCAACACTTTAGAGTAAAACAATTTCTAGGTTAATGATATTTGTTCACAGGATATTGACCTTTTTAGAATCTGGTACTTTGGTAGAGCAGGACGGCATTTCATGATCTTCTTCAAAAGCATTCTTGGAATCACAGTCAGGTTTACTATGGGCAGCACCTTGGGGTTGTGAGCTTAAGGGAGAGGGCATCTTCTCATTTGCAGCATACTGAGGCAACCACGGGCTGGAATTTGTAGATGACTGCTGGGATGAAGTGGAGCTGCTTTCTCCCTCTTGAATAAGCATTCCCAAAGGTTTCACCTAAAAAAAGGATCGAACTTTAGGAAAAAAAAATTCTGAGAAGAAGAATATAAGGCTTCAGATCCAAGACAATAACTAAGCAACAAAATTTAAAAAATTTAAAAGAGCAAGAGGCAAAACAAACAAACAAAAATTAACAGAGCACATACATCAATGCAGTGATTTATTCTAGGGGTGGCACATTTGGGTATATAAAATCAGACTTAGGAACCACAATAATCACAGATGATAAGATACCCAATAATGCAATCACATAAATAGACAGAACAGAACGGAATGAAACGTACTCTAAAGTCTTGGGTTAAAAAGGAACAAGTTCTACAGAAAGTAATGCATGGATGAGGGAAAAAGAGCAGTGGTGCAGACAGAATACCATTCCAGGTGTCCATAGCTGGTAACAATGGGAGCACCTAGGCAGTAGCCACAAAAGCAAATCCAGCACTGAGGCAAACAGGATTCTAGGGCATACCTGCTCCCCTTTGTAGACCGAAGACAGCCTATGGGATTCCATCAAGGCAGCATGGAGCATTTTGTCGGTAAGGAGCATTTTGTCGGAAATCTCCTCCCACTTGTCCTCAGCCAACTCCTTGCCCAGGCAGAAACACATCTGCACCAATACAACATACTATGTCCAGCCACACACACACACATTCACTCCCAAACAAATATCATGACCAATCCCACCAACAACCCACAACAGACAGATAAAAGCAAAGGAAAAAAAAACACCACTTAGTATCACTCAACAGTTAAAACAATGTCATGATGTTTTAAAATGTAGTTAATTCACTGACCACAGAAAATATTATTTCATATTTAACAACAACAATTGATACAGGAAAGACTGTTGCATTATTAGTCAAACTCTGGGAAGAATTCAACCTTCCTTCATATCAACCCAATAACCCATGCCACCACAAAGTACTCATGCAACATGGAAATCCTGAGAAGCATGAAATGAATGGACTTAATACTTACAAAATCTCCATCAGCAGCTTTCTTGGTCCCGCTTGTGCCTAAAGTGATAAAGTTACTAACAGGGATGGTGCAGCCACATCCTGCAAGGTGATTTCAAGGTTGTTATTATTACAGACAAAATGAATCAATAAGTTCCAGACATGCTCAGAAAAACTTACCTGGTTCAATTTTCTCCAGCTTTGTTCCATCACTCGCCGCATGGCAGGTGTAATGTAAAGGTTCTACTTCCAACAATCCTTTCATGTAATGGTTTGATGCTAATCCTTTAAGCCGGTGAGTACCAGATGAGCTTGAACTATTATTCGAACCTACTGAAAGAGAACTGGTTGCTTGATCCAGTTTGCTTGCAATACATTTTTCTGATGCTGCAAGTAGAATCCCATTAGAACACATACAAGTGCAAACAAAATTATAACAAAAGATAAATTTGACTTACCAGGAGCAGCCAAGAGTTCTCGCAGATCGAGAGTGTCTCCACCAAAAGCAGAAGCCCCAGAAGTTGAAGTGGTGTTCATACTAGTGTCTCCCTGCACGACTGAAGCATAAGTAAGAGGCACAGAAGTCGACTTGCCTGAGACTGGCGGATCCACATCAAACAATTCAGGATCGAATGGTGTACCATAAAGGCCAAACCTAATGACCAAAACACCAAACTTTGTAGTGACAAGGATAAATCTTAACTCACCACTTCAATGAGAATAATAATAATGATAAAACATACCTAGATCTTAAAAGCAAGTGATATGGATTTGTTCGGTTACTCAGCTCTCCAGCAACAAGAGTTAGAAGGAAAACACATTCTCTACCAATCACACCATCACCGTCTAATGGTGAAACGCGCATAAGGAGCAACAAAAACCAGCGCAAAGCACCAGCAGACTTTGTTGCTCCAATTGTGGGTAACCAGTCCATCAAAGAATCCAGGACAGTTTTCTCTAGAGCTAACCCTTCTCCCTCATTCAAACTTTGAACTCCCCTGAAAACAGGAAGATATGGTAATTTAGCATTACAAATGTGAACCCACTTTCCATTTTGTGAGGAGAAAGGGGACATGAAGAAACAGTACTTACTTAATGCAAACAAGAATAAATTTGAGGCATTTGTGGGCAATACTTCGTCCTCCAAGAATAAAGCAATGATGGATAAGTTCCATTATGTGGCTTTTAATGATTCGCCCCACTTCAAGTTGTTGCTGTAGGAGTCTCGCATCCCCTATACCCTGGCCACCACTACAGTGAGGGCTCAACCGAACAGAAACTACCCAGCTGAGAATGTCCAGAGCCAGGCCTTGGGCTGGTTGAGTCTTGTCAGGACCTTCCAAACACACAACACCCAGTAGACGTTTGATGAATGTGTTAGAGTCCAGCATAGCAAGTCGCTGATTCCTACAAGACAAAACACATAAGACAAATGGTAAAATACTATGATGAATGAAATGCAGGATTTTTGTTTATTTAGATATATAGTACCTCTCATGGGACAGAGATGTTTGTTTAGTACGTCTTATTGCCACAGATACCTCTTGTAACCAATCACAGCCTAAGAAGTTTTCAGGTTTCTTTGGGGTGGTGGCTATGACAGGGTCAAGTTTTTTGCTTGTGCTTGCAAACATTGATGTAGCAGATATGAAGAATGGCTGCTTACTAGATGGACAAGAGCTTGAGCTACCATTGGCACTACTACTAGCAGTATTGCTTTTCTTGGGAATCTTCTCCTCATTCGAACGTGGAAGATGTGCCTGCTGGAGGAAACGCACCTTTGCTATTAATTTAATACTGGAATCTTTACTATGTTAGTAAGAATTGTACCAAACAGCATATACTTACCAAATCAACTGAAACAGCTTTCAGGTGAAGCTGAAGAGTCCTGCTACGAGTGTGCATCAGTTTGGGGCTTGTTAGAGTTAAAGAGCCTCCTTGTTCAGATAAATCAAGGTACTGTGATAGGTTCACTGGACCACAGAGAATTTCTGCATTGTGAGCTCTTAGATATTCCTCTGACATCACTGGATTACCAGATGATTCTGTAATAATATCAAATTTCAATCAAGTTCTACAATATTGCAGTTGAAATACTGAGAAATAACATGAAAACATATCTTGCATACCTTTAGGACCCAGACCAAAGTCAACTTTACCATCAACAGGCATTCCTGCGGGTTGCTTGTGACCAATACCTGAGACATTCTGTTTCAGTAACGTCACTTCAATGTTTGGAGGTGGAGAACAAGTAGATTGAAAAGAGAATTTGAAACAAACATGTCCAATAGTGCAACTTTTCGGCAATGTTATTTCAAAAACATGTTCATCCCATGTGGTTCTGGAACAGAAGCAATGTGAATGAGTAACACTAAAGATACAAAAAATTGATAGATTTAATTTACGAGAACAAGTTATGTTGAAGACTTACACATCACGCTGTAACCTCCAGGTCCTTGTGTGTTGAGCATCATCACCCTGTTGCAAATGTTGTGGATGCTTTCTCTGCTTCTGAGCTTGCATGATTTCTGACCAACATGGTGGAACAGTAGCAGCGTAACATGGGGTCAAATTTTCACTTAAAGTCAACTCAAGAAGTTGACGCAGGTCAGCTATTCCAAGTGGGCCGTTAAGCAATAACTCACTAAAGAAAAAGAAACAGTTAATTATTATTTTAAGAATAAGTAGGAGATTTGCTTAAGTGAAGACCAAATTTACCTGTAAGTTGCAGTGAAGTCTAGAGGTGCACTTTGGCTAGTACTTGGCTGAGAATATACAGGGGAAGGATTTTGGGATCCCTCCTTGTTCCACTGCAGAGGGAAGAAGTGGAGGCTTCCTGTTTCAGTGCAAGCACAAATCCGTTCCAAATCTGTCAAAATAGTGACATGTTGTAATTACAAACAACTCCTCATTTCAACACCAAAATTAAAATCGAAAATTGCAAACTTTTACTTACTGTTGCAAAAAGTAGCAGAAATAAATTTAGAACCAGCTTGAGGGGCTGCCTCAGCAACAATTGAAAGAGTGTTAAGTTCTATGACTCTCAGAGTTCCATTAGCACAGATTAAAGTCGCAAGGCCATGTGATTGTTTAGCCAGAATCCCAACAGACTCATTCTCATCAGGATCACTTCTCTCATCCCGTTCTTGAAGAGGTAAGAGACTTACTTCTACCGGAATTTCACCTGGATTTGAGAATTTGGTGTACACTTTTGGAACTTCGCATATGCGGATGACATCATCCTCTAGATACAGAGGGAAAAGTAACAGTCTGCAAGGTGCAGTTGATTCCATTCCATAACAATCCTCTTCTTCATCTACATCCATGGCGGTGGTATCATCACAAGCAGTGCTATCGCCAACGAATTTGTACACAAGAACAACCAATAGGTGACCTCCGTCTTTAGTCGGGTGTATTGAGTGAATCCTGTACCCTTCAGGCATTCGAACAACCTGTCCAACAACTGGCTCAAATGGTTTACTTTTGGGAGGTTCCTGAGCAATTATTGGAGGTGGTGCAGGGATACACTTTTTGGTAATAATTTTTTTCATGTGGTTGATAGTTGTGCCTGGGTGCGAATTTCCTAAAGTCACTTGCAGCATATTCAGGGCATAATCTGGACTCGTAAATACACTACTAGGCGGCGAAAAGTCTAGATTTTCCAAAGGATCGGCTTCGCCAGTTGAGATTATGACACTCCCCTCACCATCTTGAACAATGGGAGGACCATAGAGAAACTTTGGAAGAAACAGGTCCTGATACATGCTACTTTCTTGTCGAGTTCCTGAAGATGAAGAGGCACTTGTTCCTGTTCCTGACACATACTTCTTCACATTCCCTCCAGCATGAGTAGTTAAATTTTTTTCTTGTTTCTTTTCACCGCCCCCGTTGCTGCCACTCCCATTTCCGGGACCAGCAAAACCACTAGTGCCAGTTTCAGCACCTGCAGCACCACTGGCACCACTCATACTGTGAGTTGGACTTCCATAACTCTCACCACTGTTTTCACCATCATCATCTTCACAATCGACAAAGGTTTCAGATGGGTAGAGATCGTACAGCACAAGAAATGCCGACCTTCCCCTGGAGTACTCATCATGAGATGACGAGCAGGCCAGGCTTGGATCTTGGCTTACTTTCATGATGTCTAATGAACCACTCTCACAGTTACTTGCTTGATTGGCATCATTCATTAATCGGACATCAATAGATCCTCCCCATGTTGGGGGATCTTTCCGAGGGCAATTAAAGAATGACACGAAGTCAACCCCAACCACAGCAACAGGCTGCACAGCAGAACCGCTTTTCTTTGAAGTGCAGGTAGTTGCTGCACAAGCAGCACTTACATCAACTATCTTGTCTTTTGGCAAAAATCCCTCTGAAAGAACAACAATTGCCAGATTCACATACAGGAAAAATAATGAAGAGCAGAGCTAAAGAGATGTAAAAATTTGTACATTACCTGAAGGTGAATCTAAGATGTTCCCTGTAGAATTAGCAGGCTCACTATTGGTGTCAGCCCGCAACCAAGCTTCACGAGGGGGTTTTGGCACATCAGCATACAGATCACAGTCAGTTTGGTCCCTCTCAGCTTTTGAATCATCTACTTGCACATCTGTGTTTTCTTCTGTTCTTTGAGTTTTATTAGGTCTTGGTTTCCGATTATGTACAAGGAATTCTTGTTCCTCAAGGTGTGCTCGCAGTAGTTTTCCCTCTGTTCCCGTCACTAAAATCTCTACATCACTCTGAAAACAAATTTTAAAAATTGGAGCAAGGTTCAAAATTTGACACTGACCACAGAGCAAGAAGAAAGACAAAGAGGTAGAGAATAAACTGACCTTCAGCTGGCGCTTCACATTCCAAACATTGACAAGGCCACTAGATGTAAATGAAACAGCTAATTCCGGCACATTAGAATTGCCAAGAACTAGCTGCTCCGGTTCAGAGTCTGTGGTCTGGTCAGAAAAATTTGTGTTTGACAAGGGGGCTGCAGGAGCTGTAGCGTATGTTACTGAAAGTGGGACATTCTGTGTATATTCTCCCCTAACGAAAGGACAAGATGGCGAATGTCTCTCATGCTCAGACCTAATGGGAGTCAAGAACAACAGGGCATCAAAAGTGGTCCGATCAGAACAATTATGACAGTTATTTAAATTTCTTTAAATCATGAGCACACACAAATGCGATAACCTTACCATGGTTCGTCTGTTGGTTCCCAACACACGAGACAGACAATACAGGTAAAACACATGGCTCTATCGTCCCCAGCTGAATTAGGTTGATGGAAGAATCCAGCCTGAGCCATCTGATCCGGCAAGGCCCATCTGCAATTTAAATTGATTTATCATTAGTATTGACATGGTGCTTACTTTAAATTTTAAGCAGAAAATTTTTTTTGATACATACTTATAATTCATATGAGGCCACTTGGAGAATGTTTCACGTCGGGCAGCTTCACTATGCATCAAATTTCTTTCTGCAGGGGTTCCTACATTGTCTAATGCTAAGCTTGGTAAAAGAGAGTTTAGTCTTTCATTCAGTGCAGAAGCTAATGGAAGCACTGGGAGGTGTTGGGTTTGGCGCTTCAATTCACCAACAAGGCCAGAACACACAGCTTTTAGAGCACTGTGAGGGAGCTCAAGGCAAACTGTGTTCCACTGCAAAGAAAATTAAGAAGAAATCAGTTGAGGTCGACAAATTGTGGGAGTACTGTATGAAGTTACTACTGTCACACAACAAAAATCTGACCTTTTGAGATTTAATAGTCTTTCTTGGATTTGCTTGTGCTTCCTTAGTGCGGCTAGAAAGTTCCTGCAGGACTTCATTGGCTTGGTACACTCCCCGTAGCTCAACCTGCTTGAGGCATCGCTGGAGCAGGACGGCCTGAAAAATTCGAGGTAAGTGAGCACATTTATTTGCATTTAGCCATTACTTACAGTATTTTGAAAGAAAAGACACTACCTCAGTGTGCAGAAGCTCCAGCCTGACCACATCATCAGACTTTTGAACAGGGGTTTGAAGGATAGTGTCCAATAGCAGTACTCCATTGTAATCACTTCTGACGCCGACTGCAGACCCATCAGTAAGCAGAAGTTTGTCTGTCCCTGGTAGGTAAGCTCCTTGCACATCTCCTTGCCAATTTGCTGTAGATCAAATAACATCACATAAATTAATCAGCAGTCAGAAATTTAATGGGGAATACATGAACTCAATTGCACAACTTGTAAACTTAAGACATTCAAAGAGCAAAGCAGACACTGCTGTCACAACTAAGAATTTCAAGGGAAAGATAGTAAAATTTTGTGGGAATCCATCTAGCTTTAGCAAAACTCCTTATTTACCAACATTTGATTACTGTGCTGAGTGGCAAGGTGATTAAAAGGGGAAAAAATAGAACTAGCAGAGGGGAAAAAAAAAACATTTAAAAAATACTGCTACTCAAGACAAAATATTCAACTTGCAAGTAAAGCCACTTCCTAAAAATACAAAGCACAAAATTAAACAGAAATGGGGTACTAGGCAACATAACCTAAAAAATTTATCTTAACACGAGAAATTGTTCGTGTTTCAGTACGTCCACATAACCACTTGGTGCTAAGAAGCTGCGTGGCATGAAACGTCGGTTTAAACTAATGTCAAAGTGATTGGGAAAGGAACATACTGACAGGAAACAATACAAACACTGCAAAGCGGCAGCGCTAGATAGGCAACAAGGGTTTGAATGAACTCTTCCCAGAATATCAAGAGGGTGGAAATGCAGTTGGCACGGAGGGTAGGTCACTTCGTGACAAGATAAACGTTTAATCAAAGATTGAATAAAACAATGAGCCTGTTAAACACAAATCACCAACGTGACATACCTGATAGAGAACTCCTCTGTAGAATTGACCCAGAGTTAACGTCTATGACAATTAGTTCATTGGATTTGGTTACAAGAAGAATAACGTTCAGGTTGGGATGGCAAATAACACTTTTAGAGTCTGCAGCAGCATTTAGAAAACCATCTTCACTCAAAATCCACGGTTCTTCGTCAGCCATTTTGCTCCATCAGTTCCATCCAAGGGTTCTATGCTGCGTTCTTCTAGCCCGGTACACGGGTCATGTGATCACGCGTCAATACCACCACCAACTCGATCATTGAATGAGTCTCATGAACGGCTGCAACAAAGGAGTGACCGATTTACTGACGATGCCTTTTCGTCGGTTTCTATCTGGTATTGTGGATCTACTCTAGGCAGGGTAGAAAAGAACTTTTTCTTCGGAACCTTACACAAACTTGACAACCTGGAAAAACATTGTCCAGTCATTCAGTGCAACATTCGTATTCGCGTTCCACATTCAAGTTCGTTTCGACTGCCAGAAACGCCATTGCAGTTCCACGAATCGAGGTTCCGAAAGTCGCACTAATTTGTTTTAAACCATGTGGGCGGTTGTCGCAGTCAACCTGATGGCAAGTGATTCATTTACGATAAGTTGAAATGAAGCACAAAGAGGTTCGGAGTGGTCGGGGCTATCTTCCCGACCTTCCCTTCGAATCGTCTGCTGTTATCTTCCAAGTCGTCTGCCTTTTCTTTCATATTTTGTTGCTTTTCCTATGCTACGAGGAAATTGCAATCGTATAACTGTCCAAGGTAATTTTCACTCGCCAATATTTTTTATAATTTTTTATTTTATTACTTTTGCTGGAGCTACTGCCACAGCAGAGAGCTCAACCGCGGGGCAACGTCGCAAATCATCGCATTTTCCAAAACTAACAAAACTGGGAAAAATACTAAGAATACCTAAATTATATCCGAAAATAAAACAGTACGTGTCTTCTCCTACGGAACGCACTCAAATCAGCAAAGAAGAGTGAAATAGCTGATGGAGATCCCCGGTCGATACTCCAGGACGACAGGGCCCGCGTCGCCTCGGCCCGACGATACACCGCGCTGCGCGCCACGGTGTATCGCCATCGCCGCCAACGCGACGGATCAGCCGGAAGGCTGATCCGCACGGCGTCTCGTCGCGTCGCTCTGTCTCACTCGCACCTTCACGGCACGGGCACGCCCCATGAGTGGGAAAGGGACAGAGCGTCGGGTATAATCGACAGCGATATGAGCGGAATCAGTCGGCCGATTGCTGTCTTAGAGTTTTGCTGCGAGTCCTGGCAAGACTGTTTCCGAGAGTCGTTCTCGTCACTCTGTCTATCGCACCTTAGGGGCGCCCCATATGAGTGAGAGAGTGCGACGAAGACGACTCTGGGAGTCAGTCTGCAGCCACAGAGCTGCGAGGGCTGCGAGGAGGTTCGCTGCCACGGCCAACAAGCATGAAGTCCGTGGACGTAGACCGGCAGGAGGGTGTAGGCTGTGAGGGGGTCCCGAGGGGTCGCCTTGCAGCCGGAGGGAGGCAGAAAGGCCGTCAGAGGCCCAGCAGAGGCCCAGCCGGGGTGCGGGGTAACCTGTTGCCATCCCGCCTGGACTGGAGCCTCGACGCGAAGCGCGGCAGCGCGCAGCCTCGCCGTGCAGGCAGCATAAATAACACCCGTGGTGGCGGGGCGCGGTGCGGCGCGGCGGGGCGGGGTGGGGTGCGCGCGCACGAGGGCGTCGCGGCGGGCGCGGCGGGCTCGGCGTCGCAGGGGGTGGGGTGGTTGGTTGCCGCGCGACGCGGGGCGGGCGTCCTGGGCGTCGCGGCGCGCCGTGTCCCTTCAGGCCTTCAGTCGGCGTCGTGCAGGAGCCACGGGAAGCTCGCCCCCGCGCCGCGAAGAGCGCGCCGTCCGCCCCGTCCCACCCTACCGCGGCCCGCGCGCTGCGCGCTTCGCCCCCCGCCCCTCGCGTAGTGCTCGCCGCGCGCGCCGCCAGCGCCGCCAGCATGGACTGACACGGGCCTTCCCTCTGGTCTGGCCTCCCCTCCCCACCCCGCTGCGCGCCGCGGGCGGTGCGGGCCATGGGTGCCATGGCGGTGCGTGTGTGCGTGCTCGTCATCGTGTTCCTGGCCGGCCAGGGCGGCCAGGGCCAGGCCGCCGCATACAACGCGTCTTCCAATGCAAGCGGGGGCCCCGGCGGGGGCCACGGCGGGGGGCACGCGATGGTCGAAGGCACGGGGCCCGACGGCTGGGTCAAATGCCAACCCGGCCTGCTGCTCCCCGTGTGGCGCCCCGACGAGGGCCTCGGGGTCGGCGACCGCGTGGCCAGGGGCTTCGCCTACCTATGCGCCCTACTGTACCTGTTCCTCGGCGTGTCCATCATCTCGGACCGCTTCATGGCGGCCATCGAAGTCATCACCTCCCAGGAGAAGGAGGTGGTCGTCAAGCAGAAGGGCAAGGAGAGCAAGATCGTGGTGGTGCGCGTGTGGAACGAGACGGTGGCCAACTTGACGCTCATGGCGCTCGGCTCTTCGGCCCCGGAGATTCTGCTCTCCATCATCGAGATCTGGGCCAAGAACTTCGAGGCGGGTGACCTGGGCCCCGGCACCATCGTGGGCTCGGCCGCCTACAACCTGTACGTCATCATCGCCATCTGCGTGTTCGTGATCCCGGAGGGGGAGGTGCGCCGCATCAAGCACCTGCGCGTGTTCTTCGTGACGGCGCTGTGGTCCGTGTTCGCCTACGTGTGGCTGTACGTCATCCTGGCCGTGACCTCCAAGGGCGTCGTGGAGGTGTGGGAGGCCCTGCTCACCTTCCTGTTCTTCCCGCTGACCGTGGGCACGGCCTACATCGCGGACCGGCGCCTGCTGTTCTACAAGTACCTCCACAAGGGCTACCGCATCAACCAGCACGGCATGATGGTGCAGGCGGAGACCGGCGACGTGGAGATGGAGAAGCACGTGGACGGCCAGATGGTGGACCTGGAGGACGAGGTGGAGGGTGACGAGGCCAAGGCGTTCGAGCAGAACCGCCGCGAGTACATCGCCTGCCTGCGGGAGCTGCGCAAGCGCCACCCCACGCTGGAGCTCAAGGCCCTCGAGCAGATGGCGCAGGAGGAGGTGCTGACGCGCGGCTCCAAGAGCAGGGCCTTCTACCGAGTGCAGGCCACCCGGAAGATGCTGGGCGGCTCGGACGTGATGCGGCGCTACAAGGGCGTGCACCCCTCCGAGATGGACCCCAGCGGCCCGGCCACCGGCCCCGCCCGGCCCGAGAACCAGTGCGCGCGCGTCTTCTTCAAGCCCAGCCACTACACCGTGCCGGAGAGCGTGGGCGAGTTCGAGGTGTCCGTGGTCCGCGAGGGCGACCTGGCGCCCACCGTGCTCGTGGACTACCGCACGGAGGACGGGTCGGCGCACGCGGGCTGCGACTACACCGGCGCGCAGGGCACGCTGCGCTTCACCGAGGGCGAGACCGTCAAGAAGTTCTCCATCGCGGTCATCGACGACGACGAGTTCGAGGAGGACGAACACTTCTACATCCGCCTGTACAACCTGCGGCTCGGCCCCGCGGACGACGCGGACGGCAACGACATCCGGAACAACCTGGGCGGCAGTGGCAGCCGCGTCCACGCCATGCCCGAGCTCGTCAGCCCTTCCACCGCCACCGTCATGATCCTGGACGACGACCACTGCGGCGTCTTCGGCTTCCTCGACAAGGCCGTGGAGCTGGTGGAGTCCGTCGGCACGTTCGAGCTCAAAGTGAAGCGCTTCAGCGGCTCCAGGGGCAAGGTGCTGGTGCCCTTCCGCACCGTGGACGGCACGGCGCGCGCCGGCAAGGAGTACGAGCAGCAGTCCGGGGAGCTCGTCTTCGAGAACAACGAGACAGAGTGAGTGTGCCGTACTGCCGGAGTGCGCCGTGAATCAACAGTTGTTGAAATGTCGCACGCGTTTCCCCGAGGTCGCTCGGCAAGCAGAGAGCAGGTCCCTCTCGCACTTGGGGGCGGTCCGTGTGGGTGCGAGAGGGACAGCTCGCCGGGACACCCCGCTCGGAATGAGCGTGCCCTGCCGCGGGCCGTCCGTCCAAGACAGCGAGGCAGGCAGGAAAGCTCTCTCGGGCTAGAATTTGGAGCCCCTCCAGCCCACCTGCCCCCGCGTTGTCTGCCTGTTTGTCGGGGGGATGGCGCGGCAGCAAGGGGAAAAAGGGACGGCCTCGCGAGCCAAACAGGCAGGCGCGTCCACATATTGACATTTATCGCCGGCTTTGTATTTGTTTGGTGTTTTAGAGCGTCCGGCTGGGTTTTGTTCACCGGGATGAGGGTTCGTTGGCACGTGTGGATACGAGACTAAAAAGAATTGATATTGGAAATGAAACAGAAACGAATAAAAAACAGGGGCAAACAGCCATGTTATTGCCGCGTTCCGCCTGGGGTGAAGGGTAAAGCACACCCATCTTAACTCGCCATACGCGCGACGAGCGCACCGAGGCGGGCACCGAGACAAGCAGTAAAACGTCTGTTTATCGCCGTGCGACTACCCAGTTCGCAAGGCTGTCAACGGATTATCGATTTATCGAGTATCAACAAGGCGGATAATTGATCGATTTGCTTGGAGAAATTGTTGATGTTGATGCAGTAATGCGCTTGTTCTTCTCATAAGCTCGGCGCGGGCCGCGGGGAGGCCCGCGGGGAGGGGTGAATAGTAGAAGCTGCTTACGCGTGCGAGAGTAAAGTAACTCTGCCGCCTTGGCTACCGAGCGGCGTCCCTGGGGACCTTCCGAGGCGCCCCGCGGCCCGGCGCTGGCGGGCGGAACCAGCCACCCAACGCGAAGCAGTCTTATTTTCCTGTGCCGCGGCCCCCACTCCCCATCCCCATTATCGGCCCCGACAAGCTTGAATATTTTTCGGCCAATCAGAGATGCAGATTCGACGAGCAGTTCGGCCGGCCGGCGAAAGACAAGCCAAGCCGAGGGCAAGCAGTGAAAGGGTGGAGTTTGCGCGCAGAACCAGCAGAACAACGGCGACCGAGCCTTTGTCCGGCCTTGGGGGAGGGGAGGGGAGGCCGGGGAAGTCCTCGTAGCGCCCCAGCTTGCGCAGGGCCCGGCCCAGGCCCGGCCCAGGCCGTGGGAAGTACCTCCCTATCAATGGGGTCATGAGCGTCGCGTTTACCAGGTCGGGAGCCCCCCACCCCTTCCCTCCCCAGGCAGCGGCCAGGCAGCGCCCCCGGGGCGGTAATGTAGACTACACATTGATTGTGCCATCAAGTTCGGCCATCGCGCGGCTTTGTTTGTTTGCCCGCTTTCTTTGCCGACTTCCGCTTGCGCCAGGCACACAGTGTGCACACACCCCCTCCTTCCTTTTCGCCGCACGCGGTTCGGAAAATGGATCGTCAAGTCGGAGATGGGAGGTGGCGGCCACCGCGGCCGGCGTCCTCCGCGATGCCCAGCACGTCCCGGCCTACCGCGGTAGGTTCATCGGGTGGACTCGAGCGAGGCTAGCTGGCGCAAGGCTGGCTGGCGCGAGGCTAGCTAGCGCCGGCGGGCGACGCGCTGGAGCGGATGGATGGACTGGCAAGCAAGAAAGCAGGCGAGCAGCGCGCTGCCGAGGCCTGAGTGAGAGTGATGCTTGAATTAAGGTTAGAAATGGAGGCGGCGGGCGCGGGGCGAGCACCTCGGCACGGTATGGCCGCCCGCCCCGCCCCGCCGCGGCCAACTTATAAATTCAGTTACGGCGCTTCCCCCTCCCCTCCCCCGCAAGGCGCTGCTCCGTTGCTCCGCGGCGGATGGCCTAAATAATCACGCTGCACACCTCTCAGATCGATGTGACCGGCGTGAGAAAATTCAGGCCGTCTCGCCTGCCTCGCCCCGACCGTCTTGGCAGTGCCGCGGCAGCGCTCGTGTGTCTGCCGGCCTGGCTGGGGGAGAGGGAAGGGAGGGGAGGGTAGATCCGTGGCTGTCACTCCGGCCCGGCGCCACGCCAGGGCGGCCAGGGCGGCCAGGCACTGCCGGGGCCGGCAGGCGAGGGCTCGCCAAAGACGCCCCAAACAGCCCCTCGGTTTAGACCTCCGGTTTGGCCGGCCGTCCGGTTTGGCCGGTTTTGGCCCTGCCTCGCCCTGCCTCCGGTTTGGCCCCGGACCAACAGCGCACTTACACCTCCCGGCATTACGGCGGGTCGCCGCGCCGGCTGGTTCCGGCCAAAGCAAATATTAATCTGTTTTGCGCGGGTCGCCCGCTCTAGTCTAGTCTAGCTCCTCTCCGCTGCAGTCGCTCCCAGTGGCGTGCCGGGCGTGCCCCGACAACGCAGCGGTGGCGGAGTGCGGTGCACTGCAGTATTTCGGGGGGAAGGGGGATGGGGTATGCCGGCCATCCCGGCCAGCTCGGTCCGCACCGGCTGACCGGACGGGTACCACCCATTACGAAAAAAAGGGGAAAAGAGCGCAGGAGGAGAAGACAGGCATTGTCGAGGATGGTCAAGGACGAGGAAGCGATTCAAGACGGGCAACTCTTTCTGAGTCGTGACGGCCCGGCCGAAGTTGGAGCGAGGGCACAAACTGACGGGCAAAGGGGTGGGGGAGGGTCGAGACCTGGTTCGAACGCCGTGGGCCGGCCGGGGCTGGCCACGCGGGCTAGGTACCGTGGAGGGTGGCGGAAACCAAGTCGACTGATTCTGAAAGTCGTCCGCGTCTCTCTCTCACCCAGGGGACGCCGTGTGCGTGCGAGAGAGACAAAGCGACGAAAACAACTTTCGGAATCAGTCTGCAGTCCGAGCCGGCGTCGACAGCCTGCGAGGCAGGCAATCCCGGTGGAGGCAACGCTCCGGCGTGCGCGCGTTGCCCACCTCGCAGGCGCTCGGCCGCCCCGGCACTGCACTGCTCGCCGCAGCACCGCGCGCGTCATGGAAGCCCTTTCGGAGATCGCCGACACGATTCGAGGAGGAGGTACCACACTGACCCAGTTGCAGCTCGGGGGTCTTTGCCTGCGAGGGCCCGGTACAGTGCGCGGACTCGCCTGCACGCCCCCTCTTTTTATATATTTCTCTCTCTCTCTATCTCTCTCTCTCTCGCTCGCTCGCTCAAACCACAGCACCCCTGTTGTTGCCGGATGTCCGTTCCAGAGACAGCGAAACAAAACCGGCGTTAGTGCGGATTCATATATGAATGGGGAAGGGGGGGGGGGCGGGGGGCGGTTCCACCCTCCCCCCCTCACCGCAGCTGCACCGCAGTGCATGCCTGTACGGCCGGATCTTTGTCTCTGTTCGGAAACGGGTGGCAGTCCACCGCACGTCCAAAACAGTGGCCGACGACAACTAGCAAAAAAAAATCTCACTCAACGAACGTTAATGTCTGTCTCTCTCGCGCCCCGAAGGGAGGCCCCGCGAGTGCGTGAGGGACCGATCGACGAAGGCACTTGTTCCCTATTGCCCCCGCTATTGACCCGCGCGTTTTTCACCGACCAACTAATCAATTCCGGGCGGGGAGAGAGAGCGTGCATGCGCTCGTGCGTGTGTGTAAGCGTGAGTGTGTCTGTGTGCGTGTGCCCGCCGGCGCGTGCCCAGCGGCCGCATCCAACGCCGAACAGCTGGCGGGGAAAGCAGTTTAATATTTTTTTCCCATTTCGCAAACCCACAACACAAAGTTCATTTTATTGTTTTTTAAGCGTATCTTTCTGAAACTCGGCGGGTTTTCCCTGTAGAGGTGGACGAGCCGTCCAACAACACACGTGGAACGTCAACAAAGGGACCGCGTCGCCCTTCCTTGTGCGATGGACTCCGATACCGGACCGGGCTGGCCGTGCCTTTCGTGTCTCATCCAATCGGCCAGCCATCAGAGGGACGGTGATGAAAGCGAGAAGGGGAGGGGGAGTGGGGGTCAGCTGGCGAAGGCGATCGGGGGAGGGACTCACGTCCAAGATGCCGAAAGGTCAGCCCGGCGCGGCTCTGCTGTCTCTCTCGCTCCCGCACGGGACGCCGCGGGAGTGCGAGAGAGACAGAGCGACGGAGCACTGTGCAGAGTCGCGCTGATCGGGGACGTGCCGCGGCGGCGCCCCTCCACTGCCAATTTGTCGGCCTTTCACGAGGCGTTCCTGCGAAGGCCGGAAGTAGATTACAGGGGCGGGGTAATTCGGGCGGCCCGCCTCGGAGGAGCAAGTTCAAAATTGAGCCTCCCTTGCTTACGCTGCTGCGCTGCTTACGCCCAGCCGGGCCGGCTGGCCGGAGTGCGCAGCGCGCGTCAAAGTTCCACGCGTGGCTGGGTTTAATTGTCAGTGTGCCGGGCAGGCGACCCGCGTAAGTCCTGGGCGCACGGGGTGTCGAATCCCCTCGCGTTGCCGCGCCCCACCCGGAGGCTGGCCGGCGAGGAGGGTTAGGAGGCCGCGACGCGACCCTGCACGGGCCATTGCGCAGCACTGCGCAGCAGCCCCCTTCCGGGACGGGCACTGGGGACGGCTACAGCGGCCGGCGGCAGCGCGCTCTGCGCCCTGCAGGGCTACTTAAACGGGAGGATCGCACGCGCTGCACCGGGGCCCTTCGTTAAAGATGGAGAGGGTCTCGGAGGCGTCGAGCTCGCTTACACGTCGCGGTACCCGCCCGCGGTGGCCGAGGCCCGGGCCGGGACACATGGTGCCTTATTCCTATTTCAGGCCTTCAGGCGACGCGCGGCCGAACCGCCTTTTAAATATTTCCCGCGCTCGTTCCCGCCGCCGCGATTTGATTGCTTTGGGCTGCTTCCGGGCAGCGGGCCTCTGTCTCTCTCACACCCCGACGGGGCTCCCCGTGAGTGCGAAAGAGACAGAGTGAGACGGCGCGCTGCTATTTACACGGCGGGCGCCACGTCACGTTGATTGAATTGAAGTTTGCATGTCCGCGTCGGCGGCATGGCCGCGTCGGCCGCGTGG